CCCTTGTAGAATCAATAAAGTATGACATTACACTGAATTGCCCTGCACAAGACATCCACTAGATGGCACTGGATGCCAAGACACAACTACTGACGTGAAATAATTTCTTGTTTTCAACAGGGCTCACACGTGTTTTAATCGTCTGGACCTCCCTCCATACCCCTCCTTCTCCATGCTGTATGAGAAGATGCTGACCGCGGTAGAGGAGACCAGCACCTTTGGCCTGGAGTGAACTCCAGTCTGGACTGATGCATTCACTCCTTCTCCATAAGCTCCTTCAGGAGAGACTCGAAAGCCTCAAACTTGCGAGTTCAGTTCCTGTTGCTCGATGAAAACAAATGGTCACCAAAAGCACTTAGGATCCTTTTTTCCCTTTGTACACTGTCTTACTTTGTTATATTCACGGGTGTAAAAGGCTTCAAAGATCGGAAAGGTGAACCCGTACAACAGGTAAAAGCTCCCAGCTGGTTGGGAGAAGAAAGGACTGGGACAACCCTTTCTGGAAAGAAGACAAGAAGAAAACGACTGGCCAGCCCAAAGCTGAGACTGGAGTGAATGTATGAAATGGCTTGAGAACAAACAAACTCTATGCTGGACAACTGACCCCAATGACGAGCCCCAGTCAGAGTGGCTCCACTGCAATGAACCGCTGCATTTGAAACAAGTTCTCACGGCTGAGAAAGAAACAATCCGAGCATGGCAAGCTAACTTTGTCCACTTCTTCTGCAAAAAGCCTTTCTTTCTCTGACCACCACAGCGATGCGGTGTGAATGTACACGCGATACGTTGCAGAAGCAGCTTTGTAATAAATCGCCACTGCTTTCTTAGATCGCCTCAAGCACGGTCACAATCAGCTTGTGTTACGGGGCTGACCGACACTTACACCTTACTTAATGTACTGTAAGTTCCAAATGTAAACACTTCTGTTTAGTCATATTTATACGTTGCTAGTTACATGTTTATACTTATCGTTTGACACCATGTTATTCAGGTAGGCAGACGGTCTACAACACAGACGGACCAATACACTTTTTTCACTACATTTGAAAGGGCACCTGTATACATAACACTTGGATATGGCATGTGTCCACTATAAATAAACCATCTCTAAGAATAAGTGGAGAAAGGGTTTATCTATAAGAGAATGAACTGAAAATGGCTTAATTGTATGCAAACCATCATCAATCACTTTCAAAGAAGGGAAGATTTGGAATGTTTAATAATTTTTTTTTGGCCTTGTATGAAGAAACGAAGAGGATTATAAAGATTTGAGTCCATTCCTTTTTTATTTTGAAGGCTATAGGTGTTGTGTACAGGGCTCTTATCACTGTTTGTACTGAACACAGCTTTTTTGAATGTGCACACATTTTGTTTCTCTTTTTTTGGCACTTCTTTCAAAGAATATTTCTTTCCAGGTCTGAGCCAAGAGTAGAAACCTCGGTTGCTTGTACTCGTGCTCCCTGGATTTGTAACGACACTGCCATGACCTTGGACCTTCTGGATTGTACGCTTCCTTCGAATGTCTTGCAACGTCGAAATTGGAACAAAAACGTAGAACAAAAGGAAAAAAAAACACACTTGAACTCGTTCAGATGAATGGTTTGTCGTAGTGTGCCTAGATCAACTCAGATCAGTCAGGTCCAAACCCACGCTTCTCTTTTAGTTCAACGCTGTCACGATTCCATGTTTATACTTGCACTGAATGTACCAAAGGTTTTGGGAAGGCTTCGGCCGTCCTCATCTTCCTCGCTTTCTTTGTGTTTGTTTGACGAGAAACATTGAACTTCACATTCCTTTAATCACTCAGATGTCCCTTCACTTCTGCATCGTGCTATAGTTTCATTGTACTCATTTTTTCCATCCAAAAGTAAAAAACTGGTGAAAGAACTGTGTTGGTTACATAGTGGCTTATCTGTATTCATTTTCTTTTCTCTGGCAGGATACGTTTGATTGCTTAAATAAATGAAGAAATTGTAAAAAAAAAAATGTAAAATGGCTGATTTTTTAAGAAAACAATTGTCTTGTAGAAATATTTGATTTTGTCAAAAATGTGCTACTCCACCCCCCCTCATATACAGTTGTGTGCAAAAGTTTGTGTTTTAGTGGCAAAAATCAGTATATACATGTGTATATATATATATATATATACACACAGTGGATATAAAAAGTCTACACACCCCTGTTAAAATGCCAGGTTTTTGTCATGTAAAAAAACGGACCATTATGAATCATTTCAGATTTATTTCCACCTTTAGTGTGACCCACAATCTGTACAATTCCATTGAAAAACAAACTGAAATCATTTAGAGGGGGGAAATAAAAACAACACAACTAAAATAATGTGGTTGCATAAAAATGCACACCCTTAAACTAATACTTTTTTTGAAGTACCTTTTGACTTTATGACAGCATTTAGTCTTTTTGGGTAGGAGTCTGTCAGCATGGCACATCTTGATTTTGCAATCTTTGCTCACTCTTCCTTACAAAAGGGCACTGAAACTGTCAGATTGCGAGGGCATCTCCTGTGTACTGCCCACTTCAGGTCTACCCACAGATGCCGTTGTTGATTTGGAGCTATGCTTTGGGTCATTGTCATGCAGAAAGGTGAAATTCCTCTTCATCTTCAGCTTTTTAGCAGAGGCCTAAAGGTTTTGTGCCAAAATTGACTGTTTTGAACTATTCATAATTCCCTCCACCTTGACTGAAGCCCCAGTTCCAGCTGCAGGAAAAACAGCCCCAAAGCATAATGTAGCCCCCACCATGCTTCACTGTGGGTATGGTGCACAGTGTTGGCTTTGCGCCAAACATACGGAATTTGGAATTATGGCCAAAAAGTTCAACCTTGGTCTCATCAGACCATAACACGTTTTCCCATATACTTTTGGCAGACTTGATGTAGATTTTGGCAAAACATAGCTGGGCTTGGTTGTTTTTCTTTGTTAGAAAAGGCTTCTGTCTTGCCACCTGACCCCACAGCCCAGACATATGAAGAATACGGGAGTTTGTTGTCACATGCACTACACCAACCAGTACTTGCCAGAAATTTCTGCAGCTCCTTTAATGTTGCTGTAGGCCCTTGGCAGCTTTCCAGACCAGTTTTCTTCTTGTTGTTTCATTTTTGAGGGACGTCCAGTTCTTGGTAATGTCACTGTTGGGCCAAATTTAATTCACTTCTTGATGACCATCTTCACTGTGTTCCATGGTATATCTAATGCCTTGGACATTTTTTTGTACCCTCCTCCTGACTGATACCTTTCAACAATTAGATCCCTTTGATGTGTTGTAAGCTCTTTACGGACCATGGCTTTAGCTGTAAAATGCACCCAAAGAATGTCAGAAAAATCCTACTAGAACATCTGAACTTTATATGGGGTTAATCAGAATCACTTTAAACAATGGCAGCTGTGTACTGACTACTGTTTAACATGAGTTTGGCTAATTCTGAACACAACATCCCCAATTATAAGAGGGTGTTCACACTTATGCAACCACATTATTTTAGTTTTGTTGTTTTTAACTTGAAGAAAAAAAACATTTCAGGCTTTAGAAATTATTAATTCACATTCATTTGCATTCCTTTAAGGTTATACATGACTGTAATGATTAGAAAGCTAGCCAGACAGCACTGTATAAGAGAATGTACAGCGCATGTATTCAACTGTATTTAGCATAATACATGATTACAGCTGACTAATCACAGACAGTGAACTCATCTTACCATGAATCTAAAAAATTAAAAACCCTCAGCCTTTTGCTGCATAGTCCATAAAGTTACTGAATAGTAAGTCTTGGGATGTAATAAGCCTGGGATTTTAAGGGTTCAGAGAAGTTATCTGTGCTGTATGAGATGCTGATCACGGTAGAAGAGAAGGAGCTGATCACTCCTTTGGCCTGGAGTGAACTCCAGTCTGGACCGATGCACTCTCTCCCTCTCCATAAGCTTCTTCAGGAATGCCTCAAACTTGCAAGTTCAGTTCCTGTTGCTCGATGAAAACAAAAGCACTTAGGATCCTTTTTTTCCGTTTGTGCGCTGTCTTACTTTTTTATATTCACGGGTGTAAAAGTCTTTAAAGATCAGAACAGTGAACCTATTCAATTAGGTAAAAGCTTTATAATTATAGAAATCAAAATATAAGCAAGGACATTGAGATTGTCTACTTGAACAGTGGATTTTAGTAGTAGCACTAATACTGTGTAAATGAATATTTTGCCATGGTTATTGGACCTATTTCTGTCTCCATGAGAAGTACCAGTAGAAGTATCACAGAATCAGTTCTCATTTTGGAATAAATTAGATCTAGATTTGAGAAGGGAAAATACCAAGGACCTGGTACTCAGCACTTCAGCTAACAAAGGATAAATGTGTAATTTTTATTACATTTTGTTAGTAAGATGGAAAGAAACTGAAATGTCCCCTCAAGTTCACCAAATCCAAATTTTGTCAGGAGAAAACAGCTCCCCTCAAATATAAAAAGTACAATGGGAGCCAATTATAATTTTTACACTACAAATTTGGTTTAGGCTATACACACACACACACACACACACACGTTTTCTAAGCAGCTTATCCTTCTGGGTCATAGAGGGGAGCTGGAGCCTATCCCAGCAGTCATTGGGCAGAAGGCAGGAAACACCCTGGACAGGACGCCAGTCCATCACAGGGCATGGTTTAGTCTGGTTAGACAAATTAGAAAAAGAACAAAGAATACTGAGATGGATTGCATTCAGTAATAAATTTAATCTAAGGATAAGTGAATCAGGATTCTTCAAACAGTCATTAACAAAGGGAATTACTGCCTTATGCACAGTAATTGCAAATGAAAAAATGAGGAGCTTTCAAGATCTGAAAGAGAAATTCACACTTAGGAAGCAGGATTTATTTAGGTACTTGCAACCTAAATATCATTATTATAGAGAAGTAAAATTTGCATGTCATGATAAATGCATACAATAATGAGGCAACCAAAAGTGGAGGGAATGGTGTTGGTTAATTCTTTACTCTTAAAAATAAAATTAAATAGTTGTTAGTACAAAAACATGTGGTGGCAGAGTGGAATCTTTGGTGCAAACAATGCACATATTTTCTAGAGTTGCCAAAAATTAGATCAGTTTTGGGAAAGGGCCAAGCTCACTGTGAATACACAATTCCAAAGAGGGGTAACATAATGTACCTGGGCAGCATTTCACCTGGGTTGTACTGAAGGAGTACAGATACTTGGCAAGATTGTTCCTCATAGCAAATAATAATGCATTTAATAGAAACTGGTGAGACTGATCCCCCAAACAAAGTCAGTATTTTGACACAGAAAAGGAGATATTCCAGATGAAAATTAAATACACATTGACACTGTCTGCTTTATGACCATTCATTGTAATTTGGTGAAATGTAAATTTAATGTATTTATGCTGTGTACTGCTGTTATAAGTCTTGCAGGCAGTATTCTGTTCCCCTTTTTTGTTGTTTTTTTTTCCTTTTTTCATATTTTCTTTGTCTTTTTTGAAAACTAAACAAATAAAGTGAAAAATGTACAGAGATGGCTATAATAACAAAGGAATAATGTGAGATTTTTTATGTTAGGTCTGTAGAGAAGTGACAAGAGACAAAAGGAGAGAAAAGACTTTTATATGTGGGAATTTTTCCAAATGTGAAGTGAGATATGTTTCTCTAGGGCACAGGAGGCTTCTCTATCTGACAAACACACACTGAGGAGTCATAACCAAACCCAAACCCTGCATAGAGGGGCTCATTGAATAGGCAGTGGAATGTGTGTAATTGTGTCAGTGTGTGTGTGTCAGCGGAGACGCTGTAAAATGACAGCGTGCCAGCCTTCCAGTCCAGATACACTCCTACTCTGTTGGAACAAGTTGAAGGGACAGATATTTCAGTGATTTTATCATCATGACAGGCAGCATAACCGTTATTGTAACAGCTCAGTCTCCAAGATTTTCTATTGTATCCAAATCTACACTCACGGCTCCTCCCTTTCCTCCCGATTCCTTTATATGTCACTGCTATATCTGTATCTCCACTCCAGTCAGCCTCCCAGTAACAGCGTCCACTCAGACTCTCTCTACACATCACTTGAAACCTGCAATCGAATCTCTCTGGATGATCAGGATACGACTGCTCCTTTCTCACACACACCACCTTCCTGTTCTCCTCACTCAGAGAGAGACGTCTGTGTGCTGTGTTTGGGTCCAGAGTGAGATCACAGGAATCTGAACACAAGAAAAGAGATTAGAAGAAAAAACATCAACTTAAAAGAACAGAGATTAGAAGAGGGAATCCATACAAATTGTGTATGTGCTTTGCATGCATGCCCATGTGGGCCCATTCAGGGCTATCCGTGGGCTGTATTGGCTAGGGCTAGCCAACAGATAACCCTGTATTGGCCCACTGTGAGTCAGTCCACAGGGCCCACATCACTGAACCCACAGTGGGCCCTAAAAGGTTTCCTGACACAGGTCTAGCATTATCAACAATAATATTAACAACAGCAGAATACTCTTCGCCATGGTTGACAACCTAACTAAGTAACCTACATATATGTACCCCGAATTAGTTTCACCTGAAAAATGCAATGAGTTTGCTACCTTTTTAACAGTAAAATCCAGAGCATCAAGCAAGCCATTAACATATCTATATCTGCCAAAGAGCCCATGTCCTCTCCATCACCACATAAAGATGTCATGGTTAAAATGTCCCAGTTTAGTGCTATAAATAACGAAATTTTAAGCGATACAGTGAATCATCTCAAATCCTCCAACCAACTTTTTAAAGAGTGTGTTTCACTCAATAGCAGTGGACATACTTCAGATAGTAAACACCTGACTCATGTCGGGCATTTTTCCTAACAAATTAAAAACAGCAGGTGTGAAGCTTCTCTTAAAAAGAAAAATCTAGAAGCAACTCTATTGAGTAATTACAGACCGATTTCAAATCTACCTTTCATCGGAAAAATTATTGAGAAAAAGTCTTTAAGAGACTTAATGCTTTCTGTCCTTAAATAGCTGTCTAGACAAATTTCAGTCAGGTTTTCGGCCTAATCATAGTACTGAAACGGCTCTTTATCAATGACATTCACTTAAATACAGAAATACAGGATACAGGATTAAAAAATCTGTTCTATTACTGCCCGATCTCAGCGCTACCTTTGATACCACTGATAATAAAATTCTAGACAGACTTGAGAACTGGGTTGGGTTCTAAAATGGTTCAGTTCATGCTCGCAAGGAAAGGACTACTTTGTGGAAATTGAAAATATTTCTAGGAGAGTGCCAGTGACCTGTGGACAGTCTTATTAAATTTATGCATGCTGCCTCTTGGCCAAATAGTGTAAGTCGAGACTATGGGACATCTTAACACAGCTATGCAGATGATACTCAGATCAACTTGGCCCTTTCCCCAAAACAACTATGGTCCCCTTGACTCACTCTGTAAGTGCCTTGAACACATCACGAACAAAACTTTCCGCAGTTGAATAAAGATAAAACAGAGATTATTTTATTTGGCAATAGCAATGAGAGGCAAAGACTAGCTGCCTATCTGGATTCAAGAGCCCTTAAATCTAAAAAACTAGTATGTTACCTTGGTGTACTAATCTTAGTTTTATCAGTCGTGTCAAAGCAATTACTAAATCAGCATTTTATCACCTTAAGAATATCACCAAGATCAGAGATTTTCTGACTAAAGCAGCCTTGGAGAAACTCATCCATGCCTTTATTTCTAGCAGGATTGATCACTGTAATGATCTCCTAACTGGACTCCCAAAAAGACCATCAAATAGCTTCAGCTGATTCAGAATGCAGAATGCCTTATTAGATTTGCGTGGGCAGTACATCACTGTGCAAGCCCACAGATAACCTGACACAGGCCCACTGTGGGTCACTCCATCGTTTGGCCCACACTGTAAGCAAATGAGGAGACAAACTGCTGTTGTTTTGAAAGTGAAATGTTTTCCCATTCTTACTTGATACAGGATGTCAGCTGCTCAACAGTTCGGGTCTACTAAGTACAGCTCAGTATGACAACTTAGTGTGGGTTTCCCGAAGTGGGGCCCCAGTCAACCCACACTGAGACCCATGTAGGCATGTTTGCCGGGTGTATGTGTATAAACTTACATTTCTTTAGTCCTGGTTTGATCCTCCACTCTCCACAGCGATCCAATCTAAAGAACAGACATACACAACAGAAAGAGAACAAACAGAAAACAGAAAATGTAAATATAAAGTATAAAATCTTTATTTACTTCCCATCAACAAACTTGTCCTGTATGGGCCCAGTCTGGGAACAAAACTAGCCCCCACGTTGCAAGGTCTTGAATGTAAGAACAGTGTAAGTTGATGTAAGGAGCCCACAGTAGACCTCTTTGTTCTCAATCGTGATCCTGGGCGACCCAGTCATGCACATTTTAATGTCTTCCCTGCTGTCAACAAACTTCATTCAGCTTATCAGAATCGGATTCACTTCATTTCACCAAGTATGTTACACATAAATTTGTCCTCATGTCTGCACACATGCATGACATGTAACATACAAAATAGAACAGACAAGTACACAGACTATAACAAATATTTAAAAGACAACAAGATGGCAACCAAGTAAAAAATAAAAATAGAAATATAACCACAAGTGGCAATCTGCGGGGTCTAAGCACCATGAGGTCAAAAAGGGCTTATAGACAGATAGTTTGATTTTTAAGAAAGACCTCCATTTCTTATGATTAAGACTGCTAAGTGTTACATCCACTACAATTTATACAGCTGTCCATCATCTCTGATGGGGAATCAAACCCACAAACTTGGTCTTCAAAGACAGATGTTTTCATGGTGAGCCACAAGACATCCAACTTTCAATTACTGAGATTATATTGTGAGTAATATAATTGAAAATTAATGCATAATACACCCTCAGCTTGTCATAAGTTTCAAATTTTGGTATAATCAGAAAATTATTAATGTATTTGTAGCCTTTTAAGGCAGGATAAGCCAGGTCACACCAATTGGTTGCAGCCATACCGTGCTGAAAATTCATAATGTTTTTAATGATTATTTCTCTTTGGGTTCCAAAGAGTTCTTTTGGGCTTTTTTCACAAGATAAATACAGTTAGATATTTGTTTGCTTCTATCTTTTGAAGCATACCCACTGCAATTACTCTATTGACTGGAAGTAACATTGCAATATATTAATAATTTTAATATGTTAAACATTTAACATAAACATTAATAAGATGCAATAAAAATGCAGTGAGTAGTATGACATTTTCAAACTTTGATGATTTGCTGGAAAATGTTTTTTAAAAGACTTTCATTTGCAAAACTGTCAGGCTTGGTGGAATACAAAACATTCTGCCACTTTCTATGCCAAAAAATAAATATAGTATTTTGGTTATTTTTTAAGATGGCTATTATAGTTATTGCTGAAAGTCCCTCTTGTGGCTGGTAATAATTATAGCATCACCTGATTCTGTGATCAAATAAATTTACAGGATTTCCAACATACATATATTTACAGGATTTCCAACATACATATACATATGAAAAAGATTGTCTTATTGAGATGTTTAATTTGAAACCCTTATAGTTTCTTTATTTTAATCTTCAACAAAAATATTATTTAAAATTGTTAGCAGTACATTGAGTAGTGTAAGAGCCAGTTTAAGTTGATTAAAGCCAATGTTTCCTCGGCTGATTTTTGTGAATGAACTTTTCAAATTTAGTCACAATCAGAGCATCACTGATGGATTTATGGCTTTTGACTATTGTATATTTTGCTGAAGATTGACATTTGCAGTTACTGATGTGGCTCCCTGTGGTGGCCAAAAAAAAAAAACACGTTCCGTGATCAATATTTGTTCAAATCAAATTAGGATTTCCTGTGAAGTTAAGCAACATACACATATTTGCAAAGTGTTAAGGCTCATCAAAATTTACATTAACTGAATATTAGAACATTAAAGTGCTTAGGACTTTAGATAGAACAGATTGAAAAAATGTTATCTTTAAAAAGATAAAAATAAATTACTTAAAGGGCTCTTGATGATGTTTATTAGTCAGTGATGTTTGTAAGAAAAAAAACACTCAAAAAGGGGGCTCAAAAACTTTAAATCCAAAACATTTTACAATTATATTAAATATACTTGAACAAATTTTATATAAAACAGATATGTAGTATGAAAAGACTTTCATAACAGTGTTGAAATCGTAAATATTAGGGGTGAAGCTTCCCTTTTCAGTATATAGGTGCAAGCAAGAAAGCCCAAATACTGGCTAAAAACTGCATAAAGCCTACACTAAACAATTCACAGAATTGTAAATGTAACCACAATAAAAAACATCACAGTAAACAGCTAAGCAATCATGTTTCCTTTGTAAAAAGAAACAACAGCAAAGGTAAATAAATGTTAGCATGTTTATTTTATTATGTTTTTCAATCAAAAATGTATTTTATGAGATAACAAGCACAAGATGAATGTAGCTGACATATTCTGACTAGCTTTTGAAAATGTGCTGCATGATTGGAAACGGTCCATTTAGCCTAAGCAGAATGGTGGAATCTTTGGAAGTAGCGAGCTGCATGTATAACTTATTTTTTAAATGCAAAAAAAGTTGTGATTTTACAAATAAGTTAATGCTTTCTGGAGGCTGGTCGGCATAATTGGCCACCCACCCAAACACTATGTCTGCTCCCATACACATAAACCTTACACTCAACGAACATGTGAGGGGTGTGTTGTATTCTTTGGCTGAGGAGACCACAGATGTCAGTTTAAAGGGCAAAAGGTCTTCATCTTCCTGGACTTTACCAGTTCTGTCATGGAGAAAAGAAGGCAGTTCTCAGGTTTGATGAGAGAGCTGCAGAGCTCAACATTTAACATTCACTTTGTTTCCCTGTCAGACTTTGCATTGAGGCTAATGGCCAATCCCAGACATTTACAGTGGTTAGAGAGGCAAAATGGTTTGTGGATTCAATGTTGAAGAACAAAGGAGAACTTACAAAACTGTTTCCAAAAAAGTTGGGACACTGTGCAAATTGTCAGTAAAAACAGAAAGCAACTGATGTTTAAAGATGTGGAGGGCTTCACCACTCTGTGAAAGACTGCATGGGCAAATTGTGCAACAATTCAAGAATAACATTTCTTAACATAAAATAGTATCATCTGTCATGATTGTGCAGTGGGAATCATGGCATGGGCTCCAGAACACTTCTAAAAAACAATGTTTATGAACACAGTTTGTCGCTGCATCCACTAATGCAAGTTAAAACTACCATGCAAAGAAGAATCCATGATTAAACAGGATCTGGTAATACCACTACTTTCTCTGGCCCCGAGAGAAACTGTGGTGAAGGGAAAAGTCTCCTGTGGTCCGATGAAGCAAATTTTTGTTTGGAAATCATGCACTCCATGTTCTCCAGGCTGAAGAGAAGAAGGACTATCTGGCTTGTTATAAGCATACAGTTCAAAAGCCAGTATTCATGATGGTTTAGGGATACATTAGTGCAAATGACACTGGTGACTTGCACATCTATGAAGGCACCATTAATACTGAATGATGTATACATGTTTTGGCAACATATGCTGCCATCCAGATGACGTCTTTTTCAGGGAAGGCTTTGCTTATTTCAGCAAGACAATGTCAAACCACATTGTGCACAATTTACAACAGCATGACTCCGCAGTAAAAGAGTCTGTGTGCCCGAACTGTGGAGCAGCAGAAATCTTATATCAAGCAAGAATGGTTAAGAATTTTTGTGGCAAGCAAGAATTTTTGTGTAAGAGGCCTACTTGTGTAATTGTATATATATATATATATATATATATATATATATATACATATATATATATTCATTTCCAAAGCTAGGGGGTTGCTATTCTCTTTAGAATTTTATGACCAATGGTGACTGCTCTAAATTTTTTTAAACTCCACCACGGTGTAGTGAAATATAGGCAGTTTAGAGAGCATCAATAGTAATTTAACCTATGTTACTCCTGTACCACACACACACCTTGGTTTGATCTCATCTAGCTAGGAAAGTGTGGGTTACCCAAGGTCAGAGATCATTCAGGCAGACAATGATATTTCACATATATGACATATATGATATTTTCACTCCATATTGTTTACAGATAGCTAGCTTTTTTATTATTGGTACAAATTGACATGATAATCAGTCTAATCAACAAGTTGGCATATATGAATCTAATACAAGAAATTAAGCACAGATTACATGAGTTATTTATGGCTAAATGGTAGAGGGGTCTCTGGTAAGAACTGAGACAGATGGCTAAACTTAAATGATGCAAATATGCTGATATTAAATCAGGTTAGCTTCAGAGGAAGGCTAGCAGGGCGGCCCGGGCATCAGACCTGAGCATACAAAGGAGTTTCAGCCTTAGTGCGCTAGCAGGTGCTAGGTAGATGTTGTTCCTTTTATGCAGGGTGCACATCTGGTCACTTGGTTTAGGTCTTGGCAGGCGGCTTCTTGTCGAGCTTCTACAAGCGCAAGACTGGGTGGTTAGACTCGGCCTAGAGCTCAACCGTTGATAAGGCACAGAAACTGCATGAGTCTCTGTGGGACGGGCTCCAAGCCACATCTTCTAGGCGAGGATTGGGTATGGAGCTAACATATCATATATATACATAGCTAACGTATGTTCCAGGCTATTAAGTGTCTTACATGCTGATTGGTGGACTCAACCCCAGGTGGTTCTACTCACTTCTTACCAGAGATTTTAACGTAACTCAATTTTTTTCTCTAAATTGAATGAGCCCTTCCTTGACTGAATAAAAGTTTTAATCTCACAGGCCATATATTCATTTACATTGATAGTGCCTGGGTAATTTGATAATTCATTTTCAAGCATATACTTTTACCAGGCTATGAAAATATTTTCCTTCTAGGACAGACAAAGAGATATTCTGATTATAGGTTTATAGATTACAGGTTTTTATAGGTACAGAGTATTACTATTACTAATAAACATATGGATTTTTGAGGTACAGAAATACATCTTCTATGATGGACATAAAAACATTGATAAGATGATAAACAAACACATGCAGTTTCAAAACTAGGTCACACTTTGTTTGGACAGTCACCTATAGATGCTCTACAGATACCAAAATCACTAACAAACTTTCTGGTGATGTTCAGTTGATTATCAACGAAAGTATGGTTAGTGTTAGGGTTAGGAGTAGGTGTAGGTTCTGCCTTGAGGTTAAGATTAGGGTTAGGTTTAGGATTAGGAATAGATTTAATAAACTCTTTCACACTGAACTTGAAGTTTAGGTTTATTTCATGGATATTTAGTTGAATGTTACTTAAAGACAGACTGAGCATTTACAAAGTATCTACAGTGGACCATCCAAATAACACTCAACTTTACGTCAAGTTGCACTTAATAGATATTTAGTTTAATGTTACTTAAAGATATACTGATCATTTACAAAGCATCTGCAGTGGACCATCCAAATAAAGTGTTACCTAAAACTATACTAGGCAGCTAAATACTCATAGCTAAGGCAACTATTAGGATTATTAAGGTTCTATATGACTAACATTCGGACACTCCTAGAACTCTAATTAAATAAAAAGCCTTAATTTGGACCCAATAAATAACATTTACAAAAGATCATAACAGAGACAACACTTAAAAAACAGAATAAGGGAGGCAGCTGTGCCTTAATAAAGGCTGTTACATGTTATTAAATGTTAATAAAGGCTAGACATCAGTTCATTTGAGAAAAACCAGACACTACAGCAGAGTGAGACAAGGTGATCCTCTGTCTCCCCTACTCTTTGACTTTGCTTTGGAACCATTGGCAATAGGAATTGGCAGCCACTCATGCATTCATGGTATCAAGTTAGAAGATATAGAAATCTTGGCCAATCTATATTTGAATGACTTGCTTTTGTACATTTCAGATCCTGTGTCTTCTGTTCCTAATTCGCTAGACTATACTGATTCATTTCGTAAGCTATCTGTTTACAAAATCAATTGAAAAAAGTTAATTTATACAGCTTACTAAAATTTTAGATCATAGTTTTTTAAATTCATTATCATTCAAATTGGTGAATACATGTTTTTCATAATTTGGTAATCCAAAATTGTTGTATAGGCTAAACTTTCTCTTGATAAGTTTAAGGCAAGTGCTGAAAAGAGGAAATTATTTCCTTTGTCAATGGTGGGATCATTAACGCAATCAAAATAGTGATGCTACCAAAATGTTTGTATCTTTTTCAGAACCTAGCAAATGTCTGGGCTCCAGCTTTTTGGCAGTGGAAATCTCCAGATGAGCCATCACTGAATCCATTATGCTCACTTAAGATTCTTAACCAGATACAAAGTTTTACTAAAGCTCAATCAACATCTCTTTGTACTCCAGTCTTACATAGACACTTATTTCAGCCTTCTCAGCTGGATGGGGCATTCTTTGTTTAGAAGGACAAAGGTTTGCAGTGTATTGGGGATTTTTTATGAGAATAGGAGATTTGCCTCTTTTGACCAGCTCAAAGATCTTTTCTATTTAAGTTTTTTTTTGCTATCTACAGTTTAGATATTTTGTCAGAGAAAATATTCTTTAACTTTACAGTCAAACCTGATGATTATTCACTTTTTTGTTTGGTGTCCCATTTTGTTTAATTTTTTCATAAATTCTAGATAAAGCCAATTTTTAGCACACTTATTCTGGTTTTGCCTTCTGTTGCAAAACTTCTGGTTAAGTGTTTTTCAGTGGTTCTCTAAAACGCTTACATCCTGACCCTGTTATTGCGATCTGTGGCTTCTCAAATTCATGTGAATGACACTTCGAGTGAAACTAACCAGCACTTCTAGTCTATCTCTCTCTGTCCCACCCCATGTTGAGTAAATCGTGTCAAACATGCTTTCTGGTTTTGTGAGAGATGCAGGGGAGATTAAAGCAGTGCTTCCTTCACTTCCACAGGGACAGAAAAAAAGTATGAATATGTCAAGGTTTAAACAAAGCAGTTGGCCAAAAGCACAATGCACTCAATCATATAATTACTCACTCTAGCCAGACAAATGTGACTTATGCATGCAGCTCAAGCCCTGCCCAAAACATCATGTGTTTGTTGAGAGTGAGGTATCTGTATGGGAGTAGATATGATATGCAGACTCACACTGCTTCTGTAGTCATTTGAATGTGTTCGGAATATGTGTGCATAGACTGGAGCTTCAGTGGGTGACCAATTATGCAGACAAGCCTCCAGAAAGCAGTGAACTATTTGTATTCAATTTCATTTCTATTTTTTATTTGCTAAAGGTACAGACAGTTGCAGCTCGCTACTTCCAAAGATTCCTCTGTTCTGCTTCAGCTAAATGGGCTATTTCCATGCAGCACATTTTCAAGAGCCAATCAGAATACAATCTGATACGTTCAACTCATCCAACTACTGCTTGTTATCATATAAAATATATTTAAATTAAATTAAATAAACATGTTAACCTTCATATACCCCCACTGTTGTTGCTTTTTATGAAGTAGTGACAGTTTTTACTGCATGATTGCTCAGATGCCTAGTTCCTGAATACATCTGGACATAAAGTGTATCTAACAACAAGAATGGTGAGTCTGCAGGCATTGCAGCAAAATCCTGGCTGAGTCTTATTTCAAAACACCATGGTTCCAGCATCTTGGTTTACAGAGATTCTGCGCTCCAATATCATATGGTTTATGTTCTACATCACTGGTTATCAGATCAGTCCTTTTTTTTGCTGTAAACCAGCTCCAGACACACTTGAACCAATGATTTAAGAACACTTATTACCTGGAACAGATGTGTTGGGTGCTGGGTTAGAGCAAAATTGTGGACTGGCTGTGGGCCCTGAGAACCAAGAAGGACTGGTTTGAGAATCGCTGCTGTACATACCTGAGTGTCTCCAAGCTGCAGTATGGATCCTCCAGTCTAGCAGACAGCAGGTTCACTCCTGCTTCTCCAGGGTGATTGTAAGTCAGATCTAGTTCTTTCAGGTATGAGGGATTTGAACCTAGAGCTGAAGCCAGAAAAGAGCAGCCTACCTCTGTAACCAAACAACCAGACAATCTGCAGACAGGAAGTACAAAAGAAGGGTGAAAATTATGAGTACATAGTGTAAACAAGTCTCTACATAACTCTACAATCATTACTTTTTAAAATATGTACACAAACAAAAATTAGATTTTCAACCTAAGATGAATCTTCTGTCAACTCTAACACTTATTAACAGAAACCTCACCTCAGGGTCGTCAGTTTACTGTGTGGACTTCTCAGTCCAGCATAGAGCAGCGCCACTCCTGAATCCTGCAAGTCATTGTTACTGAGGTCCAACTTTTTCAGTGATGAATTGGAAAATTGCAGAGTTGAGGCCACAATTTCACAGGACTGCTCAGTGAGCTTACAGACAGCTAGGCTGAGAAAGGGGAGAGGGGGTAAAAGATTTCAGAATCACTCATGGCCCATCCACCAAGACAGTGCTCTTTATCACAGTCAAAACACAAACAATGCTATTATAAAAGTAAAAGAACTTGTCACAGCAGCGAGGATGGAGGAGGGGCAAGGAGCAAGACTGATGATAGGAAACTGGAACTGGACAAAGTTCTGGATTAGAGACAGGACAGCAGACTGGACAGGCAACTGGGCAGGAGACTGAACATGGGACTGGATAGGGGATTGGATAGACATAATGAAAGGGACAGGAACAGAGATAGTAATATAAACATGGGTGGTGAAATAATAGGGACAAGGATAGATGCAGAGACCAAGATGGTGATGGACACACGCCGTAAAAGGGTGAAGACAGAGACAGGGAAAGGAATGGGTAAACAGTGATGGGACTAGCAATCAAAATAGAAAGCAATCACAACCTGAAAACAAAACAGGAGGTGAACCATAATCAGGGAGAAAGTCCAGGAGCACATGAAATCACCAGATGTAAATCCCAAATAAAGCACAATGCATGACACAGAGACACAAGGAAAATAAAGGGGTATGAATACACAGAACAAAACAAAGAACAGCCAACAGAAATAATACATGGAGGGGTTACAGAGGGCAGGGGGCAGTTGTGGACTGGAGGTTAGGGAACCAGCCAGGTTCAATCCCCTGAGGGGACAGGATGTGACTGAAGTGCCCCTGAGCAAGACATGTATGTACAGCTGTGTTAATGTTATGTTATGGAAGTGAAATTTCCCCATTGTGGGACTAATAAGGGTCACTTAATCTTAATCAGAGTCAACACAGGTGAGAGGCTTAACAAGCCAGGGTGGCTTGGCAGACAAACTAAAGAGGGAAAGGGAGAGACAAGTTAATTTATATAGCACCTTTCATATACAGTGGCAATTCAAAGTGCTTCACACAGAAAAAAAGAGTGATAAATGATATTAAATAATAAAGATTATGATGTCCTGAGATGTAGCACCTCAGAAAGGCATTCACAAAGACAGTTACAAAAATTAAAAGTAACATGCTAAAGATAAAGAACATTAAAATAGAAAATAAAATAAAGATTAAAAAAAATAAAAATAGTGCTAAGATAAAGTGTAGTGTGAAACAAAGGCAACCTCATCGGAGAGTTTGTCCCAGCATTTGGCAGCATAACAACTGAATACTGCCTCACCCTGTTTGTTCCTGACTGTGGGCAGTAATAACTGTCTGGCCTCTAGTGAACAGAGAGACCTGTTGGGTTTGTATATTTCAGGCAAATTAGCAATGTATTTTGGTCCAAGTCCACGTAGAGAATAACATGCAATTAGAGGCACTTTAAAGTTAATTCTGTAGTTGACTAGTGGCCAGTGCAGTTACATGAGGATTAGAGTATCGTACTGCATGTAATGCAGCTGCGTTTTGAATAAGCTGTAGTTGTCTGAATGTGGTCTTGAAAAGGCAAGTATAAAGACCACTGCAGTAGTTCAGACTGTTGGAGATAAATCCATGAATTAGTTTTTATAGCTCGTTTTGACATGGAAATTTTACATTTTAATATAATCTTTAGATGGTAGAAGGCTGCATTTATTGTTGGTTTTTGATCTGAATCAACAGTTATGCCAAGATTTCTGACTTCATCTTTAACCCTCAAAGCTGTGGTTCCACAATGAAAACTGACCTCAAATCTTTGCCTCTTTACTACCAAATACAATGATCTCTGTTTTTTCTTTATTTAGATGGAGAAAACTTTTTTTCATCCAGTTTTTGTTGACTCTAGGCAATGACATAGAGTGTCAATGAGACTGTAGTAGGCAAAAAAGTAGTTCTGAGTGTCATCAGCTTGGCTACGGTGAGATATGTTATTATTACTAATGATTTGGTCCAGTGGTGCCATATAAAGATTGAACAGAAAGGGCTCATCAAATGATCCTTTTGGGTCATCAAATCAACTTTTCCCATTTAGATTTGTGGCTGTTGATGGCAAAAAATTAGCTTCTATCTTCCAAATATGACTAGAATCATTCCAGAAAGCCCTACCCAGTTTCCAGTCTGTCTTAAAGAATTTTATGCATAATTGTATCAAATGCACCCTGCAATGGATTGGCGACCTGTCCAGGTTTTTTCTGCCTTCTGCCCAGCACCCCTGTGACCCAGGAGGATAAGCAGATTAGAAAATGTGTGTATCAAATGCAGCACAGAGATCAAGGAGCACTAGCACAAATATTATGCCAGCATCTGTGTTCATACAAATGTCATTCAAAACTTTTATAAGGGCAGCCTTTGTGCTGACTATTTGCAATAAATCTGCTCCTAGGCAGCAAAAGATGTCTTTCAAAAAGTGAGTGGGCAAAACATCAGGAACACATGTGAAGGATTTTAGATACTGAAGTGTGTCCTCAGGGATTTGCAGGTCAATAGCAGTGAATTTGGACATATTTTATACCCTCTTATTTTGAGGCAATACATGCTGACTAGCTCTATTTATAGAAGGCATAATAGTGATAGCCTGTCTGACCTTCAGGATTTTATTGCTAAAGAAATTTGCAAATTCATTATCTTTCTCCATAGTTCTGGGTCTACCTGTGCTGGTGGGGGTGTTAACGGTTGTACATAAAATGAAGGCATTTTTAGCGTTCTTTTTAATAATGTTAGAGATGATGGATTATTTAGTCTCACTTTACAGATGTTGTGTCTTGAAGTTTTGTGCATCTCCATCTATGCTCAGCTTTCCTGCAATCACTTGCAATCATTTTTCTTTTCTTTTGTTTTGATTCTCACACGTGCCAAAGCATCAATATCACTCACAAATTTAGGCTGCAGAGACCTTTTTTTACAGTCAGATATTATGCATTGCATTTTATCCATAACCTTTATAAACAGCTCCCCAGTGTTCTCAATTATTTACCTTTCTTTACACATACAGACCTAGTTTGAACAGCTGGAGAAGTTACAAAATTAAAAAAGAAAGAATATTTAACCCTTTGCTAATAACTAAGTCCCATGTCTGCCCGTGGTTGTCTGTAGGCCCTTTCACAAGAGCCAAAAATTGGAGTCAAATTTGCAAAAAATGAGCCAAGTGTTGAGGCTTAAATGATGGGACAACACGTTGCCTAAAGCTGGAAGTGCTCCACTAATGCATGTTTCTAAGTTTAATCTCTCAAGTGTGTTAAAGAGTTCAGAAAATTCCTTCTTTAGGAACTCAAATGGCTCCCATTGAATGTCGTGCTTTAAGACATGCACAGTAATATGAGTGATTATCTGATGGCTAGCTACAATATCAGAAGGCTTACTACAGATGTCTGAAACTGTAGCATCAGGGAGGCAGTGTGTTACTGTAGCCCTGCTACTTAAATTTTGTAGGTCCACACAGTCAGAGTATTCAACTGGGCTGAGGGTTTCCACTGAGAGCCACTTCTGCTAGGTCCTGGGTGTCCAATGCTCCCTTTGCTGGGGCTATTGCCCTGGTTCTGCACTCTGTTTGTATGCACTGTGAGGTGATAAGCTTTTATATACATTTGTTAACATTGGAGATGTCTTTCATTATAGTAGCTTGAATCTTTCTCTAACCACAGAGGTGATGATAGTCTAGTGCTGTTTGCATTCGCTTAGCATTAAACTGAGAGGGGCAGCCAAGTGTAATGCCCATGGTAGTGCTGTGCTGCATATAGCTTTGGGTCTGGCACCCTGCTTGTGCCATCTGTCAGTGCCCTCTTTTGGTCAAGTCTGATTCTGAGGTGCGGCTGACCCTACTTCAGTACATATATTAAACTCTACAGGATTGTCCAAGGCTAACACAGCCAGCTGTGCTGTGCTACACTGAGCTAACTCACTAAGATAGTGGTCTTAATTTCCCATGGTTGAGATAATGACCTTAATTAGTAAAAACTTACCTGAGTGATTCTAGTTTACAGTGTAAACTCTTCAGTCCAGTAGAGAGAAGCTCCACTCCTAAATCATGCAGCTCATTGTAACTGAAGTCCAATTCTTTCAGGGAAGAATTTTCTGTTTGTAGTACTGAGGTCACAGATTCAGCAGACTGCTTACTTAGATTACAACCAGCTAGTCTATAAAGTTTTGAAACAAATAAGAAAATAATTATACACTACATATGTATATATCATGTTTTAGCCGAGAAATTTCACTGCGCCACTTTCCACAACAAGACTTGCATTCCTTGATAATATCCATAATTTCTGGTTGCTAAGTCCTTGTTCTGTCTTTATTCTAAATGTAAATATTCATAAATGTGTTCTTCATTTGAGGCCCAGGGCTATGAATATTAATATTTTCCAGCTTTCCAAATCGGCAGTCATGCTAAATGTACGGAAACGTACATTTCTTGACAATTGCTATTTAGAGCATATGAATAGGCTTGAACATGATAAATGATGTGTGATAGCACTATGTTTTATGTGCACTGGGGAGGGACATGTTTCCTGCTGACCTAACCCAAGATGACTAAACTTAAATACCAGAAACTCATGACGCAGCCCATCAAATTCTCTGTCAGTTTCAGTCATCTCTCAGTTAAAGACATGAGGTTTTGAAAAACAACACAAAAAAATAAAAACACAAAGCTGCAATAAGTGACAATTTTCTCAAGCCTTAACAAAAAATGTACTATTGTTAATGTTATATTGTTACTTTCGCTGAAAGAATGTAAAACAAATTACGTTTATGGTTCTAACATAATATGGATTTCTGGGCCTTACTTGGACATATGCTTGCTAAGCATTGTTTGTTATCATACTGTTAAAGGGACACTACAGCCAAAAATAAAAAATTGCCCATCGCTACATCTGCTGCAAGTTAATCCCCTCTTCTGATGATGTATTTGGAAGGTGCAAGGATAATGCAGAAGAAAGCGAGAGAGTTAATGTCACTGCTTGGAAACCTAATATCTATGGTAACTGTGTTCTTGTATGATCATTACAAAACAGAACATGGATCACTTGTGCAGCAAAATGACTCATCTGATGGCATCCATTCCGTGTTGAGTACTGATGGAATTGACATTTTATTTTTAAAATCTGCTTTGGTGGATATTCCAGTAATTCCACATTTAAATCATTAAAGTAGCCCTATGGTTTAAAGTACTGGATGCAAATTCCTGAATATACTATATATTTACTTAACATTCTTTCTAATAGTCACTTACCATTTTTTGCAGGTTAATATTTTTGTACCTTTGCATATTTGGCAGACAGTGTTATTTAGAAAGAAAAGATAGAAGGTAGGAGAATTTGCACACAGATTCGCCTCTTTGTATTTTACACATTTCTGTATGCTGCATTCCAGAGGTATTCTTTAATTGAGTAGTGTCTTTGATGGAGCTATTCTGTTCAACATCTGAGGTAATGCTAACTAATACCAAGGCTGTATATATTAGCCTCTACATCATGGCTATGCTATCAGTCAGGATTTCTTGCTAATACGTGCTGGGTACTGCAGCGAGAGAAAACTAATGGAGGAAAACACAAAAAGGATACAAAATCATGAATTCTGTCAAAACAATGAGAGATGCAATGCTTAACAACCTGGGCTATCATTATGGTATTACCAACATTTTGTACAGTCAGCATATGTCTGTATTACTCATGTTACAGTACAATGTACAAATGTGAAATAATAAAATGAAAAATAAGTTTTAAAAAGAAACTGACAAACACTGACCTCAGTATCTCCAGTTTACAGTTTGAGCTCTTCATCCCGGCAGACAGTAATTTCACTCCTGAATCCTGCAAGTGGTTATAACTGAGGTCTAGTTCTTTTAATGTCGAAGTTCCAGATTCTAGCAGTGTTGCCACAGTTTCACAGGATTGCTCATTCAGACAACAGCCAGCCAGTCTGAAAAGTGGTGTTAAAAAGGAGAACATAGCCAGATACATTGCTTCCTGTTATGACTAAAAATAAAAACTCAGTTGTAAGATGTATTAAGCACAATCTCCCCAAATGTCAGTTTATCACTGTTTCTAGATGGTAATTCACACAACAGTCAAGAAGATCAGTGGAGAAATGAGTATGTAGTGGGATTGGATGGGATGTACTTTCCCTCAAAAAACACTTCTGTTTCACTTTGAAAGTGACATGAAAGTGATTGGTTCCAAACATTTGGTTGGTTCACATGCTTGAAAATAATTTTAAACTACACACAAGTTTTGGGACACACCCTAACATATTTTACTTCATAAGACCATACATCTTGGTGAAAATTCTTCTGAAATTTAGTCCTAATAGTTGTCTTATTTCAGCAGTTAAAGGGGAATTCCACAGATTTTTCAAATCTCTGTATAATCGTGCAGTTGAGATATAAACAAAATCATTCAAATTGGTTTGATGTGAAATGGTTCCTTTGCAAAGAAACTTACTGACTCAGATTTCTTTACAGTGGTGGTGATGGGAACCAGGAGTCCTGAAGTCTACAATGCAAATGTAGCCATTTTATTTATTATCCAAAACATTCAGTGAATCTACACGTGTCTTCTGAGTTGTATATGTTGATGATGACAAAATAATAGTCATTCTACAAAAATAAGTTTTGCCTTAGAACACCCTTCATGGATCCCTCCAACATGAATGGATTACAATTCATTGATTAAAACATGTTTTGGACCACACCTTCATCACAAAACTACATCAGACATTAGGCAGTGTATTCATAAGCATTTCATGCGATGAATTTCTGTAAGGGAGCTTTTAGAGACATTAAACTCCTCAGATGTCTGGATCGCCACTGTGAACATTTCTGACTCTGTAAGTTTCTCTGGAGCTAAGCATTTCAAGCCAAACCACTCTGAATGATTTTGTAGACATGTTAATCATTTAATTATGCAATTATCAGTGGAGTCTACAGATTGATGGAGGCTAGAACAGTGATATACCACTTGCTATTAAATATAGTAAATACATATAATGTGTAGTATATGCTAAAAACAGTATAGCTTCAAAAATGTTCAGATGAGTTACTCACAGAGCCTTTCTGCAGTTTGTAATTGCTGGGATCAGTCTCCTATAACCCTCCTCTGATGTGTTGTATTTCTTCAAGTCTAACTCCTCCAGCAGCTCATCTGACTGCTGTAGCATATAAGCTACTGCTGAGCAGTGTGCAGGAGAGAGATACTCTGAACGATCCTTTGATTTTAGATATTGCTGAATCTCACTGTGAAGAGACTGATCATTCATTTCAGCCAGGCAGAGGTAGAGATTAATGGAAGTATCCACTTTCATCTTTGTCATCTGCTTCTTCTCTTTCACTGATGTACCTCTTATCCGATCCTGGATGTACCTTACAGTTTTCCTAATGCTCTCTGCGTTGTTTTTAGTGACTGTCAACAGTCCTTGCAGAAGTCTGTGATTAGATTCTAATGAGATGCCCAGCAGGAAACGGAGGAAAAGATCCAAGTGTCCATTCTGACTCTTTAGGGCTTTATCCACTGCTTTTCTTAGCAGCTCATCTAGTGAAATGGTTACATACTTTTTCAGCTTCATGTGGTCATGATCCTGTGGAACACCCTCAGGACAGTCCACATTGTTTGACTCATCATGCATGAAGAACTGCAGTGCCCCTGTGCTCTGGCTTAAATAGCAGTGGAAGACATACAAAGCAGCCAGGAACTCCTGAAAGCTCAGATGCACAAAGCAGTAGACCTTCCTTTGGTAAAGCACAGATTCCTCTTTGAAGATCTCAGTGCATATCCCAGAGTACACTGAGGCCTCAGTGACGTCAATACCACACTCTCTCAGGTCTTCTTCACTAAATATAACTTTGCACTTCATCAGCTGTTTAAAAGCCAGTTCAGCCAGTTTCAGAAGCATCTGTCTGTTAGATTTCATCAGTTTCTCAGGATCACTCACTTCCCGCTCATCATACTTCTGGTTCTTCCTCTTTGTCTGAATGAACAGGAAGTGTGTGTACATTTCAGTCAGAGTTTGAGGGATTTTTGCACAGGCATCTTCATTCAGGATTTGCTGTAGCAATGTTGCTGTGATCCAGCAGAAGACAGGTATGTGGCACATGATGTGGAGGCTCCTTGCTGTCTTAATGTGTGAAATGATTTTCTCGGCTTTGTCTTGGTCTCTGATTTTTTTCCTAAAGTATTCCTCTTTCTGTGAATCACTGAATCCCTGAACTTCTGTCACACGGTTGATATAGCAAGAGGGGATCTGATTGGCTGCTGCTGGTCGGGAGGTTACCCAGATTTGAGCAGATGGGAGGAGAGTTCCTTTGATTAAGTTCATTAAAAGTTTGTCAACTGAAGATACTTCATTTATATTGGAGACCAGTTTTTGGTGGAAATTCAGTGGGCAATAAAATTCATCTAGACCATCGAGAATGAAGATAATTTTACATTTGTCATACATCTCTGTGGGTAGATCTTTCAGTTCAGGGTTGAAAATGCAGATAAGTTTACACAGACTAAACTGGTCAGCTTCCACCACATTCAGCTCTCGAAAAGGCATTACAATCATGAGATCTATGTCCTGGTTGGCTTTTCCTTCAGCCCAGTCCAAAATGAACTTCTGCACAGAGACAGTTTTCCCAATGCCTGCAATACCTTTAGTCAGCACAATTCTGATGTCTTCCACTTCAGCTGCCTCTTCTTCAGCTTTCTCTTTTAATTCTGTACTTGGTTTACAATGAGAAATTTCTTTGAAGATGTCATTGCAGAGTATAGGAGTATGATGCTGGGACTTCTGCCTTGATTTTTGCTCAACCTGACAAATTTCATTCTTATGTTCCTCCACTCTTCTGTCCTGTCTTTGTGTTATAAAGAGTCCTGTGTAAATGCTGTTTAAGAGGGTTTTGTGCTCAACCTTAGAATCACCCTCACAAAAGAATGTGAACTTCTTCTTCAGTCTAGTTTTATGGTTCATTAAAACAGTTTTCAGGATTGTTTTCACTGCAGAGAACAAAAAAGACAAAACTTAATTTCTGTTAAGTGTAGCAGAATACTAAATATACTAAGAATATAGTAAATTCAGTAGTGGAAAACATTATTTACCATGGTCATTCACTACAGCTGGGCTTTGTTCTGCTGGACGAAGTGCATGGAGGGATGGGGGACAAACAATTGTCACACATTCTTCACTTAATTATTTAGATGGAAAAATATTTTTCTATATCAATTATTTGTTGATTTGATCTCAACCATGGGAAACTGGTATCTAAAACAATCATAACTTACCTGTATGTCTTGTGTCAGCATAGAAGTTTAAATTAACTGAAGCATTGAATGTGTTGCTAGCAAGCACAGGGGCAATTAAAGAGCTTCTTGGGTGAGCCTTTATATTGGTCTGGACTGGGATGACATCAGCATTTGTGGAATGGACAGGGGTAGCCTTGGTTTCAGCAGACATTGCAATCTTGTCAACTGGTATTTTTCACCCCTAATATGAACTAAGAAAGAAACCAACACTTTAGTCACAACTATATACACAGCACAACAACTGAAACACATTGTGGGTCCACAAGAACCCAGAAACCTTCAGAAAGTACTGGGCACAACTTTGTTTAAACCTTCATTTAAACAAATTTCATACTTTGCCATTCAGTTAACAGGTTTGACATGAAAAGACCAGGGTGAGTAGCCACTGCATTTGACCATGTATACATGTTAATTAATTGGACACTTCAAACAGTAAACAAGCCCAAAATGCATACCTTGGAGAAAAGCACTATAACAGACACTGAGAATATTGACTACCTGGAAGACCAACATAAGAGGCAAAACCTTTGGATCATTGGTCTTCCTGAGAACACTGAAGAGAGAGAAATAGAGGTGTTTTGAAAAAATGGTTGCCTGAAATGCTCAGCCCAGAAAATATTCCATCATCTGTGATAATTCTTCATACATGTTTGTGGGTAGTTCTTTATGTTCAGGATTAAAAATGCAGGTAAGTTTACATAGACTGGACTGATCTGCTTCTACCATGCTCAACTCCTGAAAATGCATTGGCATTACAATCATGAGCTCCATGTCCTAGTTAGCTTTTCCTCCTGTCAAGTCGAGAATGAACTTATGCACAAAGACAAACTGCAGATCATCATTCCTGAGAACACTGAAGAGAGAGAAACAGAGTTTTTTTGGGGAAAAATGGCTGCCTGAAGAACTCAGTGATAATCAAGCAAGCCCATAGAATCCCCAGCAGGAAGCTGACACCCAGTACACCAACACGTCTGATCTTGATCTACAGGTACTATGATGTATGCTCCTCAAGACAGTATGGTACCCACAGACATACAGTAAAAATAATTTTACAATTCAGTGAGTGACCTTAATCTGTGTGATGTCTGGAGGACCGTGAACCAAAAAAAAAAAAATTCTTTTGTTACTGCTCCATGCATAATATACACTTGTATGTGAAAGTTTGGGCACCCCTGGTCAAACTACACAATTTGTTAATTTTCTAAGTAAAGAGAAATTAACACCATCTCTGCTTGGAACAAACTAAATACAACATATTTCTGTTAGTTTTAATGCGCAATTATAATTCATTTGGTGAATTTAACATATTGGAAAAAAATACAAAAGAAAACGAGATATTTACTTTGCCTTTTCTTCTCCAAATATATCTTTAGTGATTGTGACCAAAGAATTAAATTTCTTATCAGACCACAGAAATCGATATCAGAGTTATTTACATACTTCAGAAGTTGACTTTTGTGATTAACTCACAGATAAGGTTATCCTCTGATCACCCTTCCATGTAGATTAGGTATCTGAAAATACTGACCTTCAGGCTACATGAGAAAACAACTTCATATTTACAATTTATCCATAAATAATGCCCACAAATTTTTGTTTCTGAGGCTAAATTTTACGTCTCATGGGCCTAGGATTATATGGTTCTAACTTGCATTTTTTAAACTGAGTTATGTACATATAGTTAATCATTTAATGATGATTACCGTTGTTTTGGCAAATAAAAAAAAAAGCGTCATGGTCTGTTTTTTAAAAAGTAAAAGAATTTCTTGAAAATAGCCTACTAATGGAGATTTCACATCTACCTTGTTTGGTGCAGACCTGTCTACCTTTTTGTTTAGTTAGGTCTAGTCTGACAGGTGTGAATAGTCCACCCATTCTCAGGTCTGCACCAAACAACAAAACCATAGTCTACCAAAAATCATGGGTCTTTGTCCACTTCCAAGTGAACTCTGGATCAGTTTTCTGCTGATGGCAACACATTTTTGTGGTGGTCTGCATCAAAGAAGGGAATAGAAACATCAGAGTATGTTTTTCTGGCACTGTACTATCAACGAGCCCTCTACTCAGACACTCATATCTTTTTTGCATCATGAGTTGCTGTTAATAACAGCAAATAAGCAATGAAATTAAAAATAAAAGTAATAATTATAATAAAAGTAATGCATTTGATTTTGGCTTATGAATCAATGAACATATTGCAGCAGCAACATGACAGGTTAGAATCAAATTGACAAACCAATCATAAAGCAGATATTAAGTAAGGCGTATTATTACATGGCTTTGATTGTGATACATGTCAACATTAATTATCTCTGTTTTCTACTTTCCTGTTTTTAAGAAAGCAAAAGTGAAAGTAACAGAGTGCTTGCATCCCTGCAAAATTTCTCACCAATAAAGAAAAAAACACGTGTATAAATTGGTGCACTATAGCCATTGCAGTGTAAAACCAGCCGAACCAAATGAAAACATACAATATCAAAAAAACCCAAACTCTGGTGTGCACTTTAGCAAACAGACAAACAAAATTCAAACAATGCATCTGCATTCAGGAATTTAAGGTCCGATTTTCAGTGAGTGATCATCGATCTGATTTCCAAAACTGTTTGTCTATCATAAATTACAGTGTTGGCAACATTTAATGCAAAAGTAGTTACAAATAAAAACAAAATTAATAAGAAGTTGATTTAAAATATCTGAGTTTTGAATTGCAAAATATGCTTTTGTTTCATTTTGTTCTCTGTTTATTTTCTTTTGCATTATTTCATGTACATTATTTGAGTTTAATAATAACCACATGAAGTCATGTAAATAGGTTCAACTGAAAAACTATGTCTCACCATGTATTTGCACAGGAACTGAAGTTTGCTATTTATACTTTATAGTTCTATTCTTTTTGATGCAGTCTTGATTCAAAATACACTGACAAATTTCAAGTCAGAAGTGTGACAAATTAACAATCTATCCAGGTGCTGTCACTGACATAAAATAACACACACACACACACACACACACACACAAATCAAAATTTTCAAATCAAATTAAATATTTTTAAATAAAATTTTACAATGTTACTAACTCACAGATGTACTTTGAAAAGTATTTGAAAATACTCAGGAAAGTATGAATCCATCAAAATATTAAATGAGTATAGGTAACTAGTTACTATCCACTCCTGGAAAACACCTGCCACCACTGACCTCTCTAAAGTTGAAGAGGGGAAATGCATAGCCTCTTATGCCCTTGGAAATTTACAAAGTACAAAGAATGTAAATGTACTCTTAAAGGTACAGCACTGGTTTTAAGGTGCAGGTGAAAAATCATTAGTTATAAAAGGGGTTGATCAGACATTATTTTTATTTGTGAACTTTTCAATGAACAAATTGACTTCTGTGCCTATGATAATTCTGTGGCATTGAGAGGGGTTACAAAAAATTATTAAGGTTACAAACTGCATTCCACTCATTTTAAGATCTTTATTTAAAGGAAATTTAAGTTATGGTTTTTTGTCAAAAACATTCCTTTACTCCCAATTAAGGGGGTCAATATTTAGAATGAAAAATGCAATAACTACTTTAACAGGAAATCCTTAATTTCAGGAGATAACAGTACGCTTAGAGTATGTCATAAGTGGAGTTTATATATCTGAAAAATCAGTAATAAGTGGATTGACTTGTGACCCGCAAAATTAGAGGAAGTGATTTTAAGATTCTTCACAGCTACTATCTATGTCATGTTGTTTTGTAAGTTCTTTGATAGCATATCTCCTCAATGCTTCTGTAAAAAAGATGAAACAATCCAACATTTATTTTACAACAGTCCCTGCTCTAAAAATGTTTCTGTTTTACAGTCTAGAAATCACACTGACTTTATAAACAATAAGAATAAACAAACAGCGTCTGTTCCTGGCAGCTTCAAAAAAACCATACACTTTGTGTCCGACAAAACATCCACACACAAACATGTATATTCCACAGCTCTTACCTTACTTTGCCACAGTGAACTGATCAGTGCAGGTGTCGCGGTGCTTCTCTGCTGCTGCTCTAGTGGCTCCCGTGCGCTGAAAGGAAAGAGAAACGTTCCCTGTTAATGCCATCCTCTACATTACGTGTTACATCCAATGTTTATGAAAGTATTTCTCAGACTAAAGCCCAAACGTTGCACAGAAATAAAACCAGGCACTAACTTAGCGGAGTGTAGCCTATCACAACAACATTAATTTTACATAGGCGACCACACCCATGGTTCAGCCACTGTTGAAAAAGCGTTGCTAACGTGCCCTACAGAGTGGAACAGGAAGAACAGAACGACACAAAGCGACTTATTTTGTGGCATGCACTACACATCTACAGGAAGCATCTATACCACAATGCATAAAGGGACAAGCTAACCACAAACAAAAAGACTGCACAGGAACTCAAACTTCTACAACAAACTGTCAGAACTGCTTCGAACCAGTCCATCATTATGGACCCTTCTCACCCAGCTCACACCTTGTTCACCCCTCTCCCCTTGGGCAAACACTGAAATGTTACAGTGCACATCACAAAACAAAAAAGCTTCTGCCCAGAATTCAGGATTATTTGAATCATACACTGACTGACTGCTGTCTGTCTATACAGGTTTTTTTGTATATATTGCATTACACTGTACCATTCTATTATACACTGTATTACCCCATACATGGTATGTTAGATACAAAAGTATGTGGACACTTGCTGTCACACCTATATGAGCTTGTTGGACATCCCATTCCAAATGTATCAAATGTGGCAATTTGTGCCTGTTCACTCAAAAGAGCATTTGTGAGACCAGACACTGATGTTGGATGAGAGGGCCTGGCCCACAATCAACATTCCAATTCATCCCAAAGGTGTTTAATGGGGTAAAGGTCAGGCCACTGAAGTTCCTTCACACCAAACTCAGCAAACTATGTTTTTATGGAGCTCACTTTGGCTACAGAGACCAGAAAAGGGGTCTTCCCCAAACTGCTGCCACACAAGTTGAAAGCATATAATTGAGTAAAATGTATTTGTTTGCAATAATATTAACATTACCCTTCACTGGAAAAGGCCCAAACCCAGATTCATCTATCAGACAACCAGATAGTGAAGTTCACTTCATCACTCCAGAAAACACGTTTCCACTGCTCCAGAATCCAGTAGTGGCGCTTTACACCACTCCAGCCGACACTTGGCACCGTGCATAGTGATCTTCGGCTTGTGTGCAACTGCTCAGCTGGAAACCCATTTCATGAAGCTCCCGACACACAGTTCCCGTGCTAATGTTGCTTCCAGAGGCAGTTTGGAACTGTGAGCCCCACTCTGTGAGTTTGTGTTGTCTACTGCTTTATGACTGAGCTGTTGTTGCTCCTAGTTCCATTTCACAATAACAGCACTTACAGTTCACTGGCACAGATCTAGGAGGACAGAAATTTCACCAATTGATTTGTGGCAAAGAAGGCAGCACATCATAAAGTCACGAGCCATGAGCTCTTCAGTACACTCAATTCTACTGCCAATATTTGTCTATGGAGTTTGCAAGGCTATGTGCTTGATTTTATACATCTGTTAGCAATGAGTAGCTGAAATGCCTGAACTCAATAATTAGAAGGGTCCACATACTTTTGGCCATATAGTGTATCATACACTGTATTATTCTGCATGTTGTATCACACTGTTACACTTTATGCTGTATTATTATGTGGTATTATTCTACTGTACTGGTCTTCTCACAACCATGTAACATCCAAACTAGCATTTTTGCACTATTTAGCTATTCATTCTGGAGACCAACTAAAGTAGGATTTTAAAGACTGGTACTCATTTTGATATTCAAGGATTTAAAAATCTGATACATCCATTATATAGGCTGATATTCTGTCTTCTTCTTCTTCTTCTTTGGAAATATATAACATAAACAAAGATTTCCCCAACCCCCATTATGTGTAGTTATTTAAGAGTCTTCACCAAGGTAACATGACATTGTGCAGTTTAAACATAAACTTGCAACTTTGGAATTTCACACTGTAGTGTTACGAACACAAATACGCATCTGTCGTTTAAAGAATTTAAAGACTGACCGGATTAACATGCAGGATCATCTGAACATGGCGTGTTACTCATAACTATATCGGAACTCCTTATTGAAACGTGAATAACTTCTCACAGCCTATCAATGCGCACTGCGCTCTAACAAAATAGTGCCATTAGACACTCACACTACATGTTTGAAAGAGAAGCTAGATAACTTTGTTTGGCTACCAAATCATGTTAGAATCTTGTCTCCCTCTGGTTTAATCGTTTTCAGTGCACCAACTGTAACTGCAGACATTTGAGTGGCAGATAAATTTACCATTCCTTCATTTAGCCCTGAGGCTGGAGTCCGCTTCTTATTTGCCAGCCTGTAATTTGAATTTTCCAGTTCCACCTTAAATGGTGCAGCAGTTACACTCTGGTGCCTGAGGCTGCTGCTGCAGCTGCTGCACAATTTAAGTTGGAACTGGAAAACTTGCACAAGAAGCTGGCGAATAAGAAGCTGACTCCAGCTTCGTCATCTAGGTAAAATGTAAATGTTATAGTTTAGCCACTGATAAACATTAACTGTTTTCCACTTATAAACATAGTATTAGCTAGCTTTGTGGGTATGGCGGTGCAGTGCCGCAAATGACACGGATCTGATCGTGAAAATGGCTCACATACACAGAGGCATGTCTCTTGATTTTGAGAAAAGGGGAAAAAAGTTCAACAAGAAGCTGGCGAATGTCCTGAGAAAATATTCTTTGACAGCATTAAAATAATAATTAGGATATTTTGAGAGCAATCAGCAGTAATTTTCAGTGTTTCGGTGAGTATCAGATGAAGGACAGATAACTTCATCATAACTTAACAGGGAACTCTGTTCCTAAGTTCCTAATATGGGTATAATGCAGACTACAGAATGACACACAACTACAGTGGTCTATTAAGGAAATGTGTAGTCTGCAAACGGGGCGGGGCACTTGACGATGAGAGTGTGGGGGTCGTAATCCTGGCTTCCCCACCTCTGCTACACCCTTGCATAGAGTGCTCCAAAGTTACTTGCTAAGGTAGCTAGGTTGAGAGGCTCGTGTGCACGAATGTGTTCTTAAGGGTACAACTGTTTTGCCGTGCTGGATGTCTCTACTCAATTTAAGAAACACTATTGAATATTTTATGGGGCAGTAAACGATGCAGTTAATTTTGTTCGAAAATGTTTGAGAGAAGATTATGATGTTTGAGAAAGCAATATTACACTTTGAGAGGACAACAGTGCTCTGAGTGTGCAGCTAATGAACTTGAATGCACTTGTCAGCGTGAAGTGCTCAGATAAACACATTCGGATTTGTTTATCAAAACAATCTGGTTTCATGCAAAACTCAAAAACTTGTTCAGTGGTGCTCCTCACACGCAAAACTAGTACGGGCGCACAGGTTATTTTCACTCCCAACTCCACAAACCTCTGTCAGGTTTCACATTTGCTCCACGTAAAACATTTGAATGTTTGTGTCAAAACTCCAGCCAATTAGGGGTTTTGAGGGGTCTTTCCTGTCGTTGTACCAATCATGAGACTTCTTTGTGCGCCTGTACTAGTTTTGCACTAGCAAGTTTTCACGTTTTGCATGAGACCAGATTGTTCTGATAAACAAATTTGAATGTGTTTGTCTGAGCACTTCAGGCTGACAAGTGCATTCAAGTTCATTAGCTGCACACTCAGAGCAATGTTGTCCTCTCGAAGTGTAATATTACTTTCTCAAACATCATAATCTTCTTTCAAACATACTGGCACAAAATTAATTCCATAGTAAACAATCTGATGTGCTGTTAGAAATACAGAGGCTTACAATGAGAAAATACAGACTTTTTATGCTTTTATCATTTTCAGAATGCATCCGTCATCCACAAAAGCTATAAAAGTAGCTCACTCAACCTCACTAGCAAGCTACCTTAGCAGGTCACCTAGGTTAGAGCTCCAAGTAAATTTTATCCAAATAACTGTCTTCCCCCCCAAATCTCATCTACCTACAGTTCTGTAATTAAACCACATATTTTTACTATTATGTAAAGCTGTTGTGAATTTGAAGAAAAGAAAGAGAGCTGTTCTTGTTGTTGTTGTTGGTAGCTGGAGTTTTCAAAAATGACCTCTGTTGGATCCTGTGATAATCAAAAATGTTCCAAAGCTGATACATTTTGTCCTGTGAACATTCTTCTCTTGAATGTCACTGGATCCTCTGAATTACGATGTCGTTAAACGTTAGACTGGCAGCCTCCTTAAGCACGCTTTGGCAGTGTGGTAGTGTATTTCCATGTACAGACTGAGGGCAGATGAAAAGAAGAACAAAAGAAACAGGTTTCTCTGTTAAGTTATGATGCAGTTATCTGTCCTTCATCTGATAATCATTGAAACACTGAAAATGACTGCTTATCCTCTGATAAGCTGATTTAGACTATTAACATATCTCAATTATTTATTTCATTACATTTAAGGTGGAACGGGAAAATTCGAACAAGCGGCCGGCGAAAAAAGAAGTTGACATCAGCTTGAAAGGCATGATATGAGCAGGCTGTTCTGTTTCTGCTGAACCTATTTATTATTTCATTTATTCATTATTAAGAGATGGATCCCAAAACTCTTGTCCATAGAGTGTATCAACATCAGTACTGACATAAGATCATTGCATCTCTTTATGGAAGGCAGCTCACCACATGAAGCTCAATCTTACTAAGGCTGAGCTGCTATTTGTCCCTGGAACTACAGGTCCTCATCGTGATCTTGCCATCTCATTTGAGAACTCTTTGATTGTTCCGTCTGAAGATGCAAGAAGTCTCGATGTGTCTCGGTTCATCTGGAATGCAGCAGCAAGACCCCTTCCTCTTTTTCTCCTTCGAAACCTTCTCCTGCCTGCAGATTTTGCCTCAGAATAGACATGTTTTAATAAGATTTCAAATGTCGGATGGTTGTGTGCAACGATTCTAATGTTAGGCACAGATTTCCATTTTTCCATCACATTCCCCCCTTGTTATGATTTTTTCATAAACAAACATAAAGAAAAAAGAAAATGCAACAGATATCATCAATCAAAGGACTGCTCTGTTTTCGGCCTGGGCATCATATCTAATGCACTGTACAAAATCATAATATCTATTTACACTTCTCACTTTCTTCTTCAGTCATCAAGGTAACTGGGCTTGGAAAAAGATCTTCCTCAGAGTCAAAGTCCTCAATACCAATCAGAGTCATGCGAATCACTGTGACACAAGTGACTGACCATTCAATAGTCTGCATGACTAATCCTCTCAGGTGTGGGATAACACAACACCCTAACACAGCTAACACTACCACAACCACTACAGCTTGTTTCATAGCCAGTGCACCCCATCCGACAAAGTATGAACTCAGCCACTCAGTCCAATCATTTTGCACACCCGAATGCCTTAATTTCAACCATCAGGGCTGTTAGTTTTGCCACTGCAGCCACGAATGAGCCATTAGCTGCTGATGGCTACACGGTCATCTTTGAATCCAGTCTCTCTTTTGATACACGTTTGCAACATCGTTAGAACCGCATTCTTTCACTTGGTTCCCCTTTTGAGTCTTGGTTCTTCTCAAGGTTTCTTCCTCTCGCTCTTCCGGAGTTTTTCCTTGCCACTTGCCACCTGTTGTAAATGAACTTTGACTTGACTTGACTTGGATATATGTACGACACTGGTCCCCTAACATGTGGCACACCCTTCCCTTTTTTGCCAGTAACATATCTAGGGCCACTCGATTCTGAAATGCCATTTAAAAGGGTGGGATGCGATTACTCACCCAAAGCTTTCAGCACATCTCTTGTCAAGTTTGGTAAACGTTACTGATTACACCAAATAAAATTCATCCAATCTACATTCTTATTGACAGTAACCCAAACAAAAATAGACTCAAATCCTGCATCTGATTACAGGCTTTATGCTCACCAGGAACTCCTTTTCGCACACCAGTAGCATCAATATAAGGCGGTCTGTTAGGAAATCCCTTTTTTCTCTACCCTAGTGTGTGTAGCTTCAGCTCAGTGGTCCAATATCTTCCTAATTTTTTTTTCTTAAATTTGTTCTTGAGAAAGGTTCTAAGAAAAACTTTCAGGTTCATGACGTGTTCTTAAACCACAGAACTGTTCACACCTTTGTGCTCTTGAGTGTGTAGATCTTGTTCTTAACTAAATGCCAAATAAAACACTGGTGAATATCAGAATCTTAATGAAAACTGTGTGGTTTTTAAGAAAAAATTTCTTCTTAAGAACGGCTGGTGAATGATTGTCAATGTCTTTATATGACGGACTGCCTGTGGGTTAAAACACAGAGAGTTAGGTTCTCAGTTGGGTTTCTGGATTACAAGTCAGAGTTCAGTTTCCACAAACACTTTCTGGCTTAGGGGGGCAGCAATGGACCTTTCCCTTTCCCTAACTTCCAAGGATTACAGGGCCGAGGATGCCAATTAGATCATGAGGTGGCATGTTGGTTATGACTGATATGATTAGGCTAATGCTGCTTGCCAGACAACATCAACTAGCAAATGCTAGCAAAAGCTGACAGTTTATTAGGCAGACCCAAGGTGCAAAATGTGGCTCAAATGCGTCTCAGTCTACCTTCTGAAGTGGTTTAAAGCGATCGGATTTGCATCTGTTTTAAATGCATCGTGGGTGTGTTTACACTTTTTATTTATCTTTTCTGTGGCTTGGCCTTATCAAGATATAATCCTGATACTCAACACACATGGTGTGACCGAGTGTAAATGGGGTCTTATTGTATGTTCAACTAACAGAAAATAAGTCAATACAACTTCTAAAGTCAAAGAAGTACATCAGTACAAACAAAACAAAAAGGCATTAAAATTATATATATATATATATATAAATATATATATAAAACAAAACATTTGAAAGGGCATCTGCATATTTAACACTTGGATATGGCATGAATAAACCATCTCTGAGAATAAGTGGAGAAAGGGTTTATCTATAGTCCATTCCTTTTTTATTTTGAAGGCTATAGGTGTTGTGTACAGGGTTGTGTATCACTGGTTGTACTGAACACAGCTTTTTTGAATGTGCACACTTTTTTTTTTTTTTTAATAAAGTCTTCCTTGGAATATTTCTTTTCAGGTCTGAGCCAAGAATAGACACCACAGTCGCTTGTACTCGTGCTCCCTGGAATTGTAACGACACTGCCATGACCTTAGACTTTCTGGGTTGTACGCTTCCCTCGAATGTGTCATAACGTCGAAATTGGAACAAAAACGTAAAACGTGCTGGAAAGAACAAACAAAAAAACACACTTGAACTCGTTCAGATGAATGGTTTGTCGTAGTGTGCCTAGATCAACTCAGATCAGCCAGGTCCAAACCCACGCTTCTCTTTTAGTTCAACGCTGTCACGATTCCATGTTTATACTTGCACTGAATGTACCAAAGGTTTTGGGAAGGCTTCGGCCGTCCTCATCTTCCTCGCTTTCTTTGCGTTTGTTTGACGAGAAACAATGAATTTCACACTTCTTTAATCACTCAGACATCCCTCCCTCAACACGAAATAACGGAACTTCGTATCTCCAAACAGGTAACTTTACAGGAGAAGGAAAAACTATTAATGGAAGTAAATAATTATTAGATAAATAATTTTTCCAAGTAATTTTCTGATGCTTTCATCATGAAATTTTGACACATCATTTTATATATATATATATATATATATATATATATATATATATAGCAAACAACACCTAGAGATAACGGTGGAAGAAATAGCCAACAGTACAGAAAAAATAAAAAAATAAAAAAATAAAAATAAAAAATTCCTCCTTGGAAAATATAATTGTGTGGTGACAGAGGAAAGCAAGAGACGAGGACAGGCAGGAACAGATAAATTGATAAATTTAGAAGCTGACCTTGTCAAGTCTTACAGCCTAAGACAAGTGTGAGGCTATCGTAAGGTTAAGAAAACACGCACTCACGCACTTTCTAAGTGCACTGCTTTTTATCCTGGGTCGCGTGGGGGGCTGGAGGTTAAGAAAACATTTGAGAACATAATATTTTCAGGAATAATTCGTAATAAGTTTTTTTAAGAATAGCAACTTTTTTCTTAAGAATGAAGAAAAAAACACTATTAAGAAGATTTTCTTTCTCAAGACACTTTTGCATATCCGACCCCAAAAGGACTTACTGTGTATTCCTGCTTGTGCCTTTGGCCAAGACACTCAACCTCCCCCACTACCCAAGGCAGTGCTGCTCTGCTGGTGCCACTGTTCTGCTCCCAGACTGGGGCAGCAAAATGACAAATCTCCCTTGCAGAATCAATAAAGTATGACATTAAACTGAATTGCCCTGCACAAGACATCCACTAGATGGCACTGGAGGCCAAGACGCAACTACTGACGTGAAATCATTTCTTGTTTTCAACAGGGCTCACACGTGTTTTAATCGTCTGGACCTCCCTCCATACCCCTCCTTCTCCATGCTGTATGAGAAGATGCTGACCGCGGTAGAGGAGACCAGCACCTTTGGCCTGGAGTGAACTCCATTCTGGACTGATGCACTCACTCCTTCTCCATAAGCTCCTTCAGGAGAGACTCGAAAGCCTCAAACTTGCAAGTTCAGTTCCTTTTGCTTGATGAAAACAAATGGTCACCAAAAGCACTTAGGATCCTTTTTTCCCTTTTACACTGTCTTACTTTGATATATTCAGCCCAAAGCTGAGCCTGGAGTGAATGTATGAAATGGCTTAAGAACAAGCCAACTCTATGCTGGACAACTGAACAAACCAAATTATGTCAAAAAATGAAAACGCAACGTTTTATATATATATATATATATATATATATATATATCGCTGCTGTCGTGTGAAAACCTCGTATCTTCATTTTTGTTGTTTTTCAGTTTTTCCATAATTTGAAAATGCCTGCTGTACTTTACATTCCGTGTTAGTTAATGCAAAAAGGTAATGTAAATTGTATTCCAAGCAATTTTGGACCATTTCTATTTGGCCATTTGATATGAAACTACATTTTTTTTTTCAAATTATATCAAATGATGAAAACTTAAATGGAGATTTTGGAGGTTTGGTTCTGACAGCGGCAATAAACAAACTCTATAGTCTGCATGTTGGTTGCAAATCAGAGAAAAAAAACTGACAATGTTCCTCATCCATTTCATTTTCCTTTAAATTCAAAATAATAAAACATCCAGAGATCCAGTTTTCTATAAAACAGTAATCTCATAATACACTCGTTTATTCAGATACAGCCTTTTTACTGAACTGAAGTGCTGTACTGATGTTTTTCCACCTGTGTGACCCAGTAAGCCTGGGTCCATATCATTCTTCTTACATCATTAGATGGATATCTAACTTGAATAAAACATGGTTTTGATTATATACGGTTTTGTAGCGGTTTAAAGGCAGTGTGGCCTGTGCAATCTGCGATACTCACACTTGCTTGAAGCTCAGATTTCCAAATGTTTTCTGAGATCTTCCAAAACATCACATTTTCTTTCCCTCAGGAAGCTCCAATCTCTCCCTTCCTTTACTTATGCACTATAAAATGGTGCAAAATGGAGTGATGTGTTAATCACTAATGGACAAACAACAGAACCGTGTCTGCAGGAAAACAAAGCCCAGGATAATCAGGATACCGTATATATATATACATACTTTATTATTTCTCCTCTTAAAAACAGCCCACTATTACTTGCACACAGCACTGATACAAAACACTTATGAAAACATATTTACAACCAGGACTGCATTCTTCTTTTTCACTATGAACTGAGTGAGTTCTGATGCTTCCAGGCTGAATTTTTAAGTGCTGTAAATCACCTGTGTTCAGGAAGCTTCCTCAGCAGTCAGCAGTCCTGAACGGTCAGCTCAACACAGTAACGGAGAGCTTATCAAGTTCACTTCAGTCCTCACAGTCTTCACACTTCTTCCTCTATTTTAGAACTTTCTCCTTCAGGAAAAATAAACCTTTTCAGCGCCTCAGTCCTCTCCTGGTTGGTCAGGGAGTCAAACTCATGGACTGGCACCTGAATAAATACATAAACAAAGTCTATAAAGTAATAGTTTTTAGAGAAGAAAGCTTTGCTGTAATACCAATTTAATCCTACTTCCATTAATACAATTTGTTTTTCTTTGCATCACACAGCATGAGACTTGAGGCTATTACCAGAAAAAAAAAGGTTATTTATGAAGTGCATACAGAGCAAACACAGAGTGAGCACTAATTTTATGTTTTAATGCTGTAACAGAGTGTCCACATAATCAGTAAGTCACATGTATGACACTTATTTTTATTATTTGTTTGTATGACATTTATTTCTTGTTTTAGGACAAATCATCTTTTTTCTCATAACATTGACAGTTCAGGTTCAAGTATAAAGGTCAGTGCTAAAGGTCAGTTTTAGGTAGGAACCATTAGTTTTAGTGTCCTTTAGATTGGACAGCGACCAGCTACTGTAATGAACTCTCCCAGCAAGTGTAATGTCAGTCATGCTTAACTAACGTTACAGTATACTAACAATATCCAGCACCTTTCTGGTGTCATTAGCATTAAAAACTTTCTTTACTTCAGCACCACCTGACTTAGAGACGTACAGTCGTACGCACCCCGTCCAAATGAAATGTGGTGTTGGTTTTCAAGGTGACCACAAGTTAAAACATCCTCTACAGAGTTAAATATGACAAAGTGCACAAAGTTTAACATGTTGGAAAAAAATAAAAAAATAAAATATTAAATGTGCCATAAGTTTTGCATAGACCACATTTTTAAGGAATTTTTTTAACGATTTTTAAGGAATAGAAACAGTTTCTACTTGTAATCTGTTTTAAAACATAAAATTAGTGCTGTCACAGAGTGTCTACGCTATCAGTAACTTATGCTCACGGGTATATTTTGGTTTTTCCATCTGAATTTACATGTCCAAATCATAAGGCAAATTATTCAGTAACTGCATGAAATAAATGTAAATTTAATATATGAGTTTTTTGGTAAAAGTTCACCTCAAACTAACAGAAAATGTGTTCTCTGATCGTAAACATATTGTTATATGCTTACAATTTACTGCTGAAAGCCAAAAATCTTAGACGCTCTTTGTATTTTTTTATAAAAATAATCCTTACACAGCAAATCACTGAAGAGACTCCAGTTCATAGCTCAGGTTTGTGGAAAAATGGGTCGACTTTCAGTAGAAAAAAAACTGCAAGTTCAGCTTCTTTTATTATAAAGTTTTAAAATTACATTACCCGTCTATTTGACTGGAAAGAAGACAGTTACAGCTCTCACGACACCCACCTTTTAAATGAAGCTTATGAAATATGAAAGTTATGAAGTAAATAATATGACAAAGTGTATTTTGGAACCAAAAAAAGGTTTTCTGTGACATTGTTATGACATTTAATTTTATTATTTGTTTGGTTTGTATGACGTTTATTTCTTGTTTTAGGACAAATCAACTTTTTCTTATTCAAAAAAATGCACTGATTGACAGTTCAAGTATAAAGGTCAGTGCTAAACATTCTGTCCAGTGCAGAGGTCAGTTTTAGGTAGGAACCATGAGTTTAAGTGTCCTTTAGATTAGACAGCAACCAGCTACTGTAATGAACTCTCCCAGCAAGTAAGCAAGTAATGAGCCAAAATGTCTAATTTTGGGAGAAAGAAGAAAAAGGAAAAATGGATGAATGAATGAAAGTAATGTTTATGTTGCAATTAAGACCCCATCAGTTTAAATGTTTATTATTAAATTATATTTAAGGCTTAATATAATAATAATAATAAGAAGAAGAAGAAGAAGAAAAAGAAGAAGAATACAATTAGACTTTTTAAACAACTGTAATAAGAGAAATATATTGACTCTGCCTATATATTTATTTTACTGGAAAGGAGGATTATTTTATTTTTACCTACAAATCTAATTCTGCTGTCGAGCTGCAACAGGGCAGTAAAAGAGCTGTATGTTGCCGACCTCTGACCTAGAGGAAGGTTTATGTGATGCAGTTACTGATGAGGTCATATGCTTCATCTTAACAGCAGGAAATCACCTACCAGAACAGTTTCATAACCCAGTTTTCTGAGGTGACGCATTTTCATCGCCAGTCTGCTGCGAGGGTGGGTTGTACCAAAGCAAAAAGAGGACGGAGGGGCACAGAGCACTGCAATCCTGAAAATTCAAAATTCATTTAGTTTCAATGTTTCTCCTTAAATGATTTAATTAATTAGGCATTCAGCATCTGAGAAAATTATATGTAAAGCCATTTATCAGGGCAATAATCATTTATTTGCTTGAAAAAAAAAAAAAATAAACAATCCATTGTAATTTTGTGTGGGTCAGTGTGGTATATTAACGATTTCCAAAGCTCTCCTGGATGAGGTCCAGTATTTTCAGTTATGATCCAATACCTACTTTACCTAATTAATTCTTTTTTTTATTAAATTAAATCAGGTGCTGCTGATGGAATTGAACAAATGTGAAGGCTGGAGTGCAGCATGAAGTCTTCTTCTGACTGTATTATCCTAACCCACATGTTAAGAACTAAAAATAATGTAAAAAAATGTATCTTTTAGTGTATATATGTTTAATTGTATTTATTCTAGTGCGGGGTGCCCAATCTTATCCGCGAAGGGCCAGCGTGGCTGCGGGTTTTTACTCCAAACAAGCTGAAGCACACCTGATTCTACTTGTTTAAGTTAGTCTTAAGCTCATTTCACATCAGATGCGATGTGGTGCGCATGCTAATCTGGAACCACTCTGCGATGCTTGGTATTTTATACCGGACGCGACACACACATGTCGCAAAGTGAGAGCGGTTGCTGTTTGTGTTGCATTTTCACATAATATAAACGCCTACATTGTCCATTTAATTCATATAAACACTGGCCCTCTGCGGATAAGACTGGACACCCCTAGTGTGTTTACATTTAATGCCAAGAAAAATAGTTTTGAACTATTTTCATGGTTGCCTAATACAAAAATGGCCTTTAATGGCCATTTAGGGATGGGTAATATGAAAATATTTTACCATTACTGTGATAATTTTTGTTATCGTGACAGAGAATACGCATTTCAGTTACCCATTTTCCAGTTACCCATTTATTTTCTACTACTGTCTAATTCATGGTCACTGGTGAAGGTTACCTCCGGGGTTCCTGAGGAGTGTCAGAGTGCTCTTCAGGAGAACGACGGACATTTTTGGCTTCTGGAGACAAAGTGATCACACAGTCTGAAATAGGAACAAGACTGAAATTACACCTAAAGGCAGAACAACAGTGATCTGTGATGGAATCAGCCAAAGAATGACGTTGATCATGTATCTATAAGCCATTGATATCTTCAGCACATTTGATCATACAATTAAAACAAATACATAGAATGACTGACCATCACAATCATACCAGCTGACCTTTTAATATTCACGTCAAAAGATGATTATTACCAAAGGTGTGTCATAGCTTTGGTACTGGAGGTGTAACTATCTGATCTCACAACAATTTGATTCGTCCCAAGAGGCCTAACGAGAACGTCTGGGGACAACCATGAGAAACTTTGGGCTAAATGTGGGTGGGAACGTAGACTTATTAGTACCACATTTCTAAACTAATCCACCATCTCCTGAAAGTGGAGCTCAAAGTAGGGGTGACAGGGGGCTTGTCAACACTGATGAACAGCAAGCCTGTCGTTAGCCTGTTTATGTAACTTAAGTTAGCACTGTTGTTTGTACGGAGAACAGTTCCATTAGCTAACGATGATGTTACGCTGTTTTGCTTGTGTTATCACTGTATTCTGGACATTAAAAGAGCCTGACTAGAGCAGGGGTCAGCAACCCAAATGTTAAGAAGAGCCATTTTGTCAAGTTTCAATAAAAATCAACCCACCTTGGGAGCCACAACATTTCATGTCCATTTTATTGAAGTAATGTTTCACCATCTTGGCTGTAAATATGTCTCATTATGTGCTAATATACTAGTATAGAATAAAAAATATAAACGAAAATGCAGACTTACTTTGCTCTGCTTTAAACTTAAGCTCAGCTATAGCCACTTTTCTCACATCTCCGGCAGGAAACTATTCCACAAAAGTAGAACAGTTTCTTGTAAAATGTCTCTCAATGTTCGACTTTTTATGAGACCGAGGTCAGCTTCTTATTCACCAGCTTCTTGTTTGAATTCTCCTGTTCCACCTTAAATGGTGTCCAAGGTGCCAGAATGTAGCTAACTGTTGCACCATTTAAGGTGTAACGGAAAAACTTTAACAAGAAGCTGGTGAACGAGAAACTGACTTCAGCTTTGTGACTTTTTAGTGTTTGACAGTTTCTCGTTGAAGATTAAACGCATCAGGAAACCAGCTGGAGTGATTATAAACGCAAAAAAGTCCATTCGTCTCCACAGCATCAATACACAAAGCTTTTTTGGAGGAATTTTTAGGTTTGAAAAAATCTTGAGAATTTAAGTTTTATTTTAAAAATAAGCACAAACTTTGCTAAATATTACTATAATTCATTTCAATTGATTATAGAATTGATTTAGCAGGTCACTAAAATAGAGCAAAAGAAAATTTCTGCTGTGGGCGTATACGGTTTTAGGTTAGTTCAGAGTCCAGGGTTATAGCATAAAGCTTAATAACTTTTAAAAATGTCCACCAATGTAATCAGTTTCCACTGAATGTATGCATTCTTTTTAAAATGTTCACCCAGTTTAATTATCTCCAGCCCGGAGTATGTTCTAATGTTGAAACTTCAGACTAAAGCCCAAGCCCATGTCTTATTTTTACCCCTTTCCCTCATTTTTGAGTGTCACCTTGACTCTTGGAACTGAGTTACAGGGTAGTGGTTGAAATCTTCCCTACAAAATGGGACCCTCAAATAATTGCTTCATTAACAGGCTACTAGCGTTGCTCTGTAGGCGACCCTGCCAGTCTGCAGTGATAGCAGAGGAGGATAAAGTTCAGCAACCTCACTGCTGGGCTTCAGTTACATTTAGGGAATTGTATGCCTTCAAGGAGTGTGACTCTGAAAAACCACCATTTGGAGGGCCATGTAGCCCTAACACTTCACCCTACCCCTCTATCTCAACAAGAATCAGGACACCCTACCCCTAGACATGTACACGGAGAACGGAGGGGTAAGGGCTAAGTGGCAGGGGCAAAGAGTGAAATGGGACTGGGCCTATGTCTCCTCAAAACTCCAGCGTGTAACCAAACTACTGGCACGACAAACACTTATCACTCTACTTTTCAATGCTATGGCAGTAATGACAGTTCCCTCCTCAGAGCAGTGCTGAGAAACAGACACCACCACAGCTATAGACGTATAACAGCCCTTTCAAATATTTCAGCAGCACTGTGTAAGCATGAGCTGTGGATCTTACCAATAAAATAGACCCTCTCTTCAACAACAGTGTCCCTCACATCAGTTTCCCCAACCACATCCTTCAGAGCACTGAGAAGTCCAGGGTTTACAGGGAGCTCGTATGGAGGGAGGAGGTGGTGGAGGTCCGGAATGGGTGAGACGGTGGGAGGAAGAAGAGGTCTGTCCAGCCGCAAACACAGGTCCAGTGTGTGTAGCTTCAGCTCAACACCTTTATACAGCGGACTGCCTGAGGGTTAAAACAGGAGGAACTGGGTTCTCATTGGGGCATGAGTTTACTTTCCACAACCACTTTCAAACATATGGGGCAGCAGTGTTTTGCCGCAAAACAGCAACTAGAAAATGGTGCAAAATGCTGAGCTGCCAGCTTTTATCTACAACCAGTGGCCATATTATCAGAAACACCAACTATAGAGATGCATTTGCTGGTTTACGATTACTGATTGTAGTGAAGGGTTTGGCGATGTGGCAAAAATATCATATCACAATACATTTTCAGGTCTCACTGTATTCGGATAGTCCACTATAGTCATTGACAGGTGTTCAAATTGTTATCAAACTATCTGTTGAAACTCAGTTGATTCTAAACAGTGGTGGGTTTAAGGTTGGGATCTGGACCAGGGTTAGGGCTAGGACCAGGGTGAGGGTTTAGGTTTTGGGTTGAGGTTGAGGTTAGAGTTAGGATTAGAGCAGGTTTAGAGTTAAAGGAAACTGTGGTCAATTGAGTAGATGTTAGTTGAATGTAACTTGAAAGTAAAAAAGCGTTTAAAATAGACTATCCAAATAAAGTGTTACCCATTTTCACGACACGTATCCCAAAATTCTGACACAAAGACACAGTATACCAGTAATGCCATATTCCAAACAGCTATATATAATGATTTTTCTCGAACTTTCAATATAGTGTTGCACACAAAATCCAATTACTAAAACATGCACTTACTTAGTTTCTTTTAGTGTTGACGATATGCTCAGAAAAGCATATTGTTTGTGATAATAAATGATAAAAATTATATTTCTAACCTCTCCTGTAGCCCATCTTCTGCTGTACAATTTATCTGTACCCTGTCCTTCAATCACTGACAATAAAATAACATATGGTAAAATGACCTCTTGGTAGCAGCTCATCTAGGCGGTCCTTTTGAAGCAGCTTCTCCAGAGGAGCCTGAGGAAAATGCTCCATCACACATAAACAGCTGATGGCCTTCAGCAGATCAGCACTGGACATTCTGGTGAGATAGGACTCCAGGACGCGTGTAACGCTATCCAAAAACCTGGACGGAGACAGAACATGATGCCAAATGAACAAAGCTGATTAAAAAAAGGGAATTCAAAGAAAGAATCACACCAATAGTGAGATATTCTACTACATGAGTAGAGGCAGGAAACATTGCTCCACAATCTTCTACCAACCTGATTAAACATTAAAAACTCACTGTTGCCGATTTTCTTTCAGATCGTGATTGAGGGAGGAGTACGACTTCAGAATGCTGAGGAGGTCTTTGAGCGTGAGGCTGTCCGGTTTTCCGATCACTCTCTCCGCAAACGCGTCCATCAAGGCGACCGGGCAAAACCGAAGCCCCTCAAACTCCAACAGGAAGAATATCAACTATAAATCAATGACATAAGACATGGTGTAATAGAAGGTGATGTCAGCGAGTAGGTGACACTTTATTTTGAGTGTCCTTTTTATACTCAATAAACCCTCAACAGACTCTCAGCAACATCAATAACATATGAATGATGTAGCAGCAGAGAATACATTCAGTAGATCATCAAGAGACTTTAATTAACTGCATAAATAAACTGTTTATAATCTGCTGAATTCAGATGTTTTTCACTTCATTTGGAGTCCAAGTTCAGATCTGTAGCTGTTCAACTGAGAGGTCACTGAACACGTAACAGGTTTAATACTGACCATCAGCATCCTCAACAAGCTGATACAGACACACTGACATCATCCTGTAACTAGAGCTTCAATGGATTAGGGTTTAGTTGAGGTTAGGATTAGGGCCAGGGTGACGGTTGGGATTAGAACCAGGGTTGGGGTTAGGATTAGGTTTTGGGTTGAGGTTAAGGTTAGGTTAGGGTTAGAGTCAGAGTCAGGGGGTTAGAATTTGGATTAGGACCAGGGGGAGGGGTAGGTTTAGGCTTTGGATTGAGGTTAAGGTTAGGGTTAGGATTAGGGCCAGGGTGAGGGTTAGGATAAGGTGTTGAGGTTAAGGTTTTGATAAGGGTTGAGGTTAAGGTTAGGGTTAGGATTAGATTTTGGGTTGAGGTTAAGGTTAGGATTAGGTTTTGGGTTGAGGTTAAGGTTAGGATTAAGTTTTGGGTTGAAGTTAAGATTAGGATTAGGTTTGGGGTTGAGGTTAAAATTAGGGCCAGGGTGAGGGTTAGAATTAGATTTTGGGTTGAAGTTAAGATTAGGGTTAGGATTAGGTTTTGGGTTGAGGTTAAGGTTAGGATTAGGGCCAGGATGAAGTCCTGTTTAGTGGTGACACTACTACTGAATGTTAAAGGAATGAATTGCACTCATCAGTTTGGATCTCTAAATTTCAAACTCAGAACATTAAACTTGATACGAAAGTATTTCAAATGCAGAAAATGGCCTGAGAGAAAAACCTTTTGATTAACAGGTGTCAGAATGGCAGGAAATGATCAGGGCTTGTTTCCTAAACGCATCTTAGCATTAAGATTATCTTGACTGATAGAGAGAGTGTTCAGTGTGATGCTCGCTCTACCATTTAAGAATCATTTTTGTGCTGAGATTCTTCTAGGAAACCCAGTATTCTCTAAGTATTCTCAAATCATCAAATGTATTTTATCCTATTAGACATATTTAGTATAAACCAGTTCAGTGTATTTTGTGGATTATGACACCTTTACAGTGAATAATAATTACAATAATAATAATGATAATAATAATAAATTATTATTATTCATTATCAGTCTAGTCCACTTTTACATTCTGATTTGCTTAACATTAAAAATGACTTGAGGCTAAACATTAGTACTCCTGCCCTCCATTATGAACATCTAACCTGTTTGTTGCTCCACATGGTGAATGTGTTGGCCACATAGTCAGAGATGGATGAGAAGAGAGAATAGTTCCTGTAGCGGAGCTCACGACAGGATTTCAGCACCCCCAGCAGCCGGGTAAAGGGGACGCTGTGCACATTTTCTGAGGAAGAATGGAAGAGGAGAACAACATAAGAATCAAGGAGGAGTCAAACCAAGAGAGAGAGATTAGATTAAAGTGAAAGAACATTGGAAAATCACAGCATTTTCCTTTTGTACCATGCAGTATATCTGAGTGAAATACAGTATCAGAGAGGGTTTCTGAGTTAGCTGAGCATTTCTGAGGAGGTTGGGGTGGCAGGAGGGGGAAGCAAAACATGATATTATTGGTTAAATATTATTTTTCCCCATTTACTGGCACATAGTAACATAGTCAAAAGTCAGAAGATGTTTTAAAGGTGGCTAATACAGTGGTGTGAAAAAGTGTTTGCCCCCTTCTGGATTTCTTATACTTTTGCATGTTTGTCACACTTAAATGTTTCAGATCACCAAACAAATTTAAATATTGGACAAAGATAACACAAGTAAACACAAAATGCAGTTTATAAATGAAGGTCTTTATTATTAAGGGAAAAAGAAATCCAAACCTACAGGGCCCTGTGTGAAAAAGTGATTGCCCCCCCTGTTAAAACATAAATTAACTGTGGTCTATCACATCTTTGGAAAGCTGAGTTCAATTTCCCTAGCCACATCCAGGCCTGATTACTGCCACACCTGTTCTCAATCAAGAAATCACTTAAGTAGGACCTGCCTGACAAAGTGAAGTAGACCAAAAGACCCTCAAAAGCTAGACATCATGTTGCGATCCAAAGAAATTCAGGAACAAATGAGAAACAATGTAATTGAGATCTATCAGTCTGGAAAAGATTATAAAGCCATTTCTAAAGCTTTGGGTCTCCAGCGAACCACAGTGAGAGCCATTATCCACAAAATGGCGAAAACATGGAACAGTGGTGAACCTTCCCAGGAGTGGCCGGCCGACCAAAATTACCCCAAGAGCGCAGCGACGACTCATCCAAGAGGTTGCAAAAGACCCCACAACAACATCCAAAGAACTGCAGGCCTCACTTGCCTCAGTTAAGGTCAGTGTTCATGACTCCACCATAAGAAAAAGATTGGGCAAAAATGGCCTGCATGGCAGAGCTCCAAGACGAAAACCACTGCTGAGCAAAAAGAACATAAAGGCTCATCTCAGTTTTGCCAGAACACATCTTGTTGATCCCCAAGACTTTTGGGAGAATACTCTGCGGACTGACGAGACAAAAGTCGAACTTTTTGGAAGGTGTATGTCCCGTTACTTCTGGCGTAGAAGTAACACAGCATTTCAGAAAAGGAACATCATACCAACAGTAAAATATGGTGGTGGTAGTGTGATGGTCTGGGGCTGTTTTGCTGCTTCATGACCTGGAAGACTTGCTGTGGTAAATGGAACCATGAATTCTGCTGTCTACCAAAAAATCCTGAAGGAGAATGTCCGGCCATCTGTTCGTGACCACAAGCTTAAGCGCACTTGGGTTCTGCAGCAGGATGATAATCCAAAACACACCAGCAAGTCCACCTCTGAATGGCATAAGAAAAACTAAATTAAGACTTTGGAGTGGCCTAGTCAAAGTCCTGACCTGAATCCTATTGAGATGCTGTGGCATGACCTTAAAAAGGGAGTTTGTGCTCGGAAACCCTCCAATGCAGCTGAATTACAACAATTCTGCAAAGATGAGTGGCCAAAATTCCTCCACAGCGCTGTAAAAGACTCACTGCCAGTTATCGCAAACTCTTGATTGCAGTTGTTGCTGCTAAGGGTGGCCCAACCAGTTATTAGGTTTAGGGGGCAATCACTTTTTCACACAGGGCCCTGTAGGTTTGAATTTCTTTTTCCCTTAATAATAAAGACCTTCATTTATAAACTGCATTTTGCGTTTACTTGTGTTATCTTTGTCTACTATTTAAATTTGTTTGGTGATCTAAAACCTTTAAGTGTGACAAACATGCAAAAGAATAAGAAATCAGGAAGGGGGAAAACACTTTTTCACACCACTGTAGTCATTAGATTTTCATTCCATTGCAGGAAAACAAGCCTTTTGTCTTTTACATATGATAAGATAAATCATGCTTAACATAACCAGGGACTGAACTAACAAAAAAAGGTCCAGTTTGATTTCAGGTTGACTTTACGGTTGAACAGCGACCACATAGCATGACTAAGTGTTTTCAGTTGTGTCAAGGAACATCCATGAATCTAAAGCCTTCTGTGGACAGTAAGGCTGCATTAAGAAACGATGAGATTTAAACATAGTTCTACAAGATTAAAGTTACATTGCGCTCTGGAACGGTTTCCTGGAGATGTTGTCAGCTTAGGTTTGTACCGAACAGCAGAAGCAATGGTTCTAAACATCCTAAAACCCAGTCTTGTTTTAGGCCTGATCTTGGTCTGGAGGACTACCCTTAAATGTCAGATCTCAAATTGCTTGGTATGGTATGAGTGATGGGTACAGTATGTGTCAATGAAACTGTCTTTACCAGCTATCTTCTTGCTGCACAGGTCCAGAAGTGGTTTGGAATTTAGATGCATGGCAGCCAAGGTAGTCAGCATGTACTGAGCATTGGGAAGAGTGAACTCCTCTGCCATGGACAGCGCCTTCATCTGGAGGGAACACAAAAAGCAGATTAGAAAAATGGTAAGTCAGAGCAGGAAGGTAAAAAAAGGTATTTAGGACTATTTAACCATTACTAAACTTTAATGACATTCTTTACCCCTTAACAGGCCATGGCCCCGAAGGTTTATTACACACTTCCATAATCTAAGAATAGCTCAGCCAGTTTGCATTGAAGCCCCTGTAGTTACTGAATAATAAGCCGTAGTATGTAATAGATCTGGGTTTTAAGGGGTTAAATTAGATCACACGACATTTAAATTATCGCTGCTGTTGGTAGAAAACCTTGTTTCTCCATTTTTTTGTTTTTCAGTTTTTGACATCATTAAAAAAAAGGCCTATAGTCTTTCACATTGTGTGTAAATTTCATGATGAATGGACCAAAAGAAATGGTCCAAAAGGCCTTAGAAAAAAGTCTGGTTCCCTTGACTTACATTAAAAGTAAAGTAGGTTTTTTCCTTCTCCTGTAAAGTTACCATTTTGGAGATATGAGGTTTTCTTCCGACAACAGCGTCATATTAGTTTCAGAGAGAAACACCTTTAGCATCAAACTGAAGACAAAATTTCATCCAGGTTGCACTAAGACTTTTTCTTACAATGGTGCTTGAGTTCATGGATGGGATCATAAAATCAGAAGTGTGCAACACCATTCTGTATGTAAGTCCTCAAACAAACTGTTCAACCTGTTCGAATCTCGCCAGCCACCTTTCCAAGGTACACAAGTAGTCTGTTTAAAATAAACTTGAGATTTTGTCTCTCAACACAATGAAGGTTAAACATTTTTATGTCCTGTGCAAATGTGCAAATATTCCTGGCGGCCACTGTATTTGACATTCCAACGGCCGCATTGCCCTTTTCTTCAAACCCTCATATCAAACTCTGTGCACAGCTCCACAATCTAAAACGAAGACACATCCTAATAGTGGAATAATAATCAAACCTCTAGTTTCTTCTTTACGGCTGGTGAAGTATCTTCCCCCAACAAGCGCATCATCGTCTGTAGAAGCATCACGTTCTGGATCTGAGGTATTCGGTCCTCCAGTATAAGCCTTAAAAACAAGATTCACTGATAAGACACAGACACAACAGAGCACGCTACTCACTGCAGGGGCTGTCACTTTCTGCAACAACTGTCTGGGTCCTTTAAACTTACTTTAAACCCTGTTTAAGCGCCTCAGCATTTTTGCTGCTTTTCATCTCTTCAAGGCAGGTGGACAATATGGAGAGGGACTTGTCATCGAACTGATTCAGTCGCTCCTACAAAGCGAAAGGACAAAAGAGCAAAGAAGGTAAGAAACTGCGTCATGTTTAACACAGTGCTTCAGCCAAAAGTCCAATTTATATTCACCACAAACGTAGTCGGTCAGCCATGTTTGTAGTTTCTTTAGCTTAGCACTGGAGCTTTGTGGCCACCAATTAGCATCCAAACTGCAAGCCTAAAACATCATGTACTTGCTTCAATCACCTCAGAGTTGTTATGTAAGCTAAATAGATTGATGTGGTTTCTGACACTGTACAACACACTGCTCAATGCAAACTAGTGGCTAGAAGCTTCCATTACTGTTAGCGACATTAGCCTAGCAGTTCCAGTGCAAAACTAAAGAAGCAAACGTCAGACACCAAACATCCAGATACTGTCAGTAGTTAGAGGCCTTTATCCTGCATTATTCTTATATTCAAGGTCCACTTATGATGCCATGTGTGGGTTTATGTGCCAAAAGTAGTACAGTCTATCTTTTAGAATTCATTATTCATTTTTTACTTGATCATTTTCCAATCACTGTTCATCTCTTAGAATTATATACACTTCCTTTTCTTCTATCATGGCATATTTGTCACACTTGAATGTTTCAGGTCACCAAACTATTTTTAATATTAGACAATCCATATTAGATAATCCATATAAACTGATTTTGCTGTTTTTAAATGATTATTTCTTTAATGAAAGGAAAAATGCTGTCAGTTCAAAACGCAGTTACCTTCTTAGCTAATTAATCAGACAATTAGTCGAATTCAAATGACTATTGGGTTCAGTTTCACCAGCCACACCCAGGCATAATGTATGCTAGACCTGTTGAGTCTAAACATCACTTAAACAGAACCTGTCTGGCAATGTGAAGCAGCTAGAACGTCTCAAAAAGCAGCGATAGATGCCACGTTCTAAAGATCAGGGTTACAAAGCCGACGCTAAGGCTCTGAGACTCCAGCGAACCAAAGTGAGAGCCATTTTCCACAAATGGAGAAAAAGCTGGAACAGTGGTGAACCTCACCAGGAGCGACTGGCCTACCAAATTTTCACCAAGAACGCATCAATGACTCATCCAGGAGGTCACAAAAGAACCCAGACAAGCATCTAAGGAACTGCAGGCCTTACTTGTCTCAGTTAAGGTCAATGTACACGATTCCACAATGAGAAAGATCCTGGGCAAAAATGGCATCCATTAGAGAGCTGCAAGGTGCCACTGCTGACCAAAAAGAACACAAAGGCTTGTCCTGCATTTGCCACATCTAGGTGACCCCCAAGACTTCTGGGATGATATTCTGTGGACTGATGAGTCAAAGGTGGAACTTTTTGGAAAACATGGGTCCAGTGACATCTAGCGTAAAGCTACCACTGCAGCCCACCATAAAAACATCATACCAACAGTGAAACATGGTGGTGGCAGTGTGATGGTCTGGGGCTGCTTCCCTTCTGTAGGACCTGGACAACTTGTCATAAATAATGGAACCATGATTTCTGCTCTCTGAAAGTGAACGCCCAAGCAAGTCCACCACTGAACGGTTCAAAAGAAACAAAATGAAGGTTCTGGAGTGGCTGAATCAAAGTCCTGACATAAATCCCATTGAGATGCTGTGGCAAGACCTTAAACAGGGAGTTTGTGCTTGAAGACTCTCCAGTGTAGCTGGATTAAAACAATTCTGTAAAGAAGAGTGAGCCAAAGTTCCTCCACAAGGATGTAAAAGACTCATTGCAAGTTATCGCAAACGTTTGCAGTTGTTACTGCCAAAGGTGGCACAACAAGTTATTACGTTTGGGGCAGGTACAATTACTTGTTTACATCGGTCATATATGTTTTGAATAAATCTTTATCTCTTTATAAATGGAACAATCATTTAAAAGCTGTATTGTGTCTTTATCTTATATTAAACTCATTTGGACAATCTGAAACATTTAAATGTGACAAATTAGCAAAAACAGAAGACGTCGGATGAGGGGCAAATCATTTTTCGTCTTTTTGGACTAATCTGGAAATTGTTTGACAGCAGTATGCTACACACGCCATTTAGAGACCAACGGTATATGATTACAGTGGGTTACCTGTATGACCCGCAGCAAGGTCTGCACCACGAGGCTGCTTTGGGAAACGCCCAGCTTGACCACAGCCAGCAGGGTGTAGGCCAGGTCGTCGCTGTGCATGCGGGGGGCGTCTATCCTGGCCCTGTGGCACAGACCCTCGAACCCCGGGTGCTCCAACATCAGCCTGAGCTCACAGCGCCTCTGCTCTTCCGACATCTTCTTGGTGGTCTCCCACATGCGCGTCAAGCTGTTGCTGATGTGCCTGTGGGTCAGTGTGGTCCTGTCCACTAGATCCAAAACGTCTGAGGGCGACAGGCACCCCTGCAGCTTTCTGTAGAACGGGACCCTCACCTCCGTCATATCGGAGAGGTCTCTGCTCCCTCTGGACGCAGCGTCGGGAGGCTGGACGCAGAGAGATTTATCCTGCTGTTCTTCAACACTGGGTCTGTGGGTCTCTCCTTGACACAAATACCTGGTGTTATGTGTCCAGTTAGGTTCCTGCAATGTTCTCCTCGACCACAGAGAGGGTCCTGCACAGTTCCTACAGCTGAGAACAGCAGCCCTGGTCCGTGAAAGAGGACCAGGATTTTTCCACACTGAGCTAAACCTGCCAAAGAAGATGGTCCACCTCAACATCTCCTCTCCTGATCTGAAGGCGTTCATGTTGTAAGAAGGCAAATGAGTTAAGGATGGAAAGCTCCAAATGAAGATAAACCTGTGAATAAAGGAAAGTGAAAGGATAAACAAAACTTTTCAAAAAATGTTTTTACTCCGTAAAACAAAAATAAAGGAAACTAAACCTTCGCACAGAGCTGACATGGTGATTGTTTTAATAAGGCCTGGCAACAAATCAATATACTAAGGCCACAAATTACTATATTAAGGCCACAAGTTAGTACATTTACTACACTGAGGTACAACATTGAGGTCACAAGTCACTATACTGAGGCCACAAGTTACTACATTTACTACACTGAGGTACTACATTAAGGCCACAAGTTACTACAATGAGGTCACAAATTACTATACTGAGGCCACAGGTTACTATATCGAGGTAACAAATTACTCAATATACTATTTTGTGGCCACGCCTTATTAAAAATAACCCCCATGTCACCTTAGGAGCTCCGTACGTTCCCTGTTATAGTTTGGTGACGTTAAGCCAAACTGACGTTAGCAGCCACTTAGCCAGTTAGCTCTAGGAGCTAATAAAGCTCAGTTAGCGCTGAAATTGGACCCAAACTGTCGGCTAAAACAGTGTTTATTAAAGTTTGTACTCCACACGGGGAGGCTGAGGCTGCAGTACGTTCAGACATGAAAGTCTAAGTTGTAAAAACAGGTTTAACCTTCACTTCGCTGCCCGGCTCGTTTCGCTCTGTGGCCACATATTCAGCCTGCTCGGCGGTTTGTATCGTCAGTTTTCAGACCGTCGTTTGGAGATAAATGAGTCTTCGGCCGTACCGCAGTTAAACCGTCATCACTGCGTTAATAACACAGTTCACTGTAAACTATCCCTTCACTTTCACACACGAGGAAAGCGGTTCACTCCACAAACCGGCGCTCCACTGGCGGAGTCCCAATCTGCTCTTTACACCTAGATCCCTGCCCTTCCCTCCGTGTGGAGGCAGTTCGTTTCGTGACCTATGTAGTGCCCTACGTAGGGAGTAGGGAGCTTATTGGGATTGAGCCATTGCCAATGACGAAGCGGATATGTGTCTTTACCCAAACACCCAAATCAAGAGGCTTTTTCTTTTCATAAACGACTTAAAAATGTGGTTAAAAATAGTAAAATTGTACTAAAAATAGTAAAAAGAACACTATTCTGAACAAAAGTAACATTTAAAAATATTAATAATTTTATGTATTTTTTTTACGTCTTCTCGTCCTTTTCTTTATTCATTTTAAAGTGCACATGACGCGTAAACCTGTTACTTTAAATGAAATTAAAAACAGAATTAAAAGAAATAAAATTATCTGAATTTAAATGTAAAAATAAATATACGATTTTGTTTTTAAAATAACAAAATGTAAACAATAAACTAAAGGGGAAAAAAAGAAACGGCGCGAGTGGTTGCCTAGCAACGGATGTCAACTACAGAAACATGGCTAAGTTTGTGCTAGCAGGTTGTATACAGTTCTTCAGGCTGTGATAAAGCTGTGATAAAGGCTTTATTAATGTGTGAATAGATGTGTTTTTAATTAAAGCTGAACAGTGTGGGCTCATCCACTTGTTCTTCCTCTCTTTCCCGCTCAGGGAAGGCGGATTGTCCGTACTACGCGAAGGCTGAGCTGCTGGCAGACTCGCTGCAGAGAAACCTGCCAGATTTCCACGTTCATAAGATCTGCCTTCAGCCCGCCGACTGGAAGGTACAGCTCTGACCAACATGACTAAAGTCCACAGGTGTAGCCCTTCAGTAAATTATATTAGTGAGACTTTCATAATTATGACTTTGCATCTCGTAATCATGATTTAACATCTCATTACTATGACTTACTTTCTCCTAAGTATGACTTCGTATCTCTTAATTGTGACTTAGCATCTCATAATTATGACTTAGCATCTCATAAACATACTTAGCATCTCATAATTATGACTTAGCATCTCATAATTGTAACTTACTTTCTCGTGAAAATGACTTAGCATCTCGTAATTATGACTTAGTAACTCATAATTATGACTTACTTTCTCATGATAATGATAATGAGATAATAATAATGATAACGTAAGCATGAATTAGTATCTCATAATTATGACCTTACATCTCTTAATTATGACCTAACATTTCATAATTATGACTTACTTCCTCATTATTATGACTTAGTATCTCATAGTTATGACCTCACATCTCTTAATTATGACCTAACATCTCATAATTATGACTTAGCATCTCATAATTATTATTAGTAAGTATTTTTCTCATTATTATAAGAAATGAAGTAATAATTATGGTATAGCATCTCATTATCGTAAGACAGTAAGTCATAACTATGAGATACGAAGTCATAATTACGGGAAACTTTCTCATTATTATGACTTACTAAATGTCTATATTTTTTCTACAGTGGCAAATAAGGGCTTCCATACGTAATGTTGATTTGGACTCTGGTGAAATGAATAGCACTGATCTTTGTGTTGAAATGTTTCTGATCTTTATCTCAGGACTGGCTTGAAGAGACATGTTCATCAAGAGGCTGGAAACATGAGAGCTGTCCCATTGTGTGGAGAGAGCTGATTGATCGTGGAGGAAAGGGCATGCTTCTCGGGGGTTTCAGTGATTTTCTTGAGTTTGTACAGGTATGCAGACAAGATGATGATTTATCAGCTAAAAGAGGAATGAATGAGAGCCACAGGACCTTCATATGTATTATAAGCTACAGTTTAATGCTACTCTGTGTTAAAGCGCCCATATCATTGAAAAAACAACAATTTTGTTCACATAAAAGAGTTTGATGTAGTTCATAACACTGTTAATGCTCCAAGCATTGGTCCATACAGTACATATATGGAGACTAAGCAGCAAAAATGGCCTGTTTTCAAAAACAAATATTTTGTGATGTCATAAAAACTCATTTACATACATACCACCTGGCAGTTTAGCTCTGCCCTTTCGGCTGAAGTTGTATGGAGTGTTTCAGCCCAGGCTGGTTTTTGGGTGAGGCACAAAACAGAGCAGCAAATCAGAACAGAGCTCATTTACATTTACATCTTAAAGGGACAGTAACAAAACAGCCTGATTGATTTTCAGGAATAAAGAGAGGTTGGAAAATGGTTGTGTAAAACCTAAAACCTAGAAGAATACTGTTTTGGTTTCATGGGTAGTCTTAAACGGCTATGAGAAAACACTTAACATCAGCAGAATCATTGTATGTAATATACCTGAATAGGTTGAGATTAGCTTTGGTTTTCTGATAGATTGAAAAGCATTAGATTATTAGTATTTGTAACTTGCTAAAGGGGAAATTGTACTGATATTTGAAAATATCTGCATAATTCAGTAGTTAAGATGTGAACAAAGTCATTCAGATTGGTTTGATATGAAGTGGCTCATTGTAGAGAAACTTACAGACTCAGATCTCTTTACAGTGGTGGTGATAGGAACCAGGAGTCACAGGAGTGACTACAACACAAATATAGCCATTTTATTTACTATCCAGTGAACCTACACCTGTCTTCTGAGTTTATATGTAATGTTGATGGTAAAATAGTTGTAAATCTGAAAAAATAAATTTTCTTTGGGGGCTGTTTTGCCTTAACACCCCCCACATGTACCGCTCCACCATGAATAGAGTTTTAAAAATATGTTTTAGACCAACAGCTTCTCTCACAAAACGATGTCTCAGGCATCAGGCAGCGTATTCATAACCATTCATAACCAATGTCTGGTTCCTATCACCACCAATGCTGATTCCCGAGTCTGCAAATATGGATTTGTGATTTTTTTTAAGGCATTTGGTTTGATAAAACCCACTTTTTGGTCATCTGCATCTCACAGGACTACTACGGTATCACCTCTGACATGAGAACAGAGCTGATGCTGAAGATTGCAGAGGAGAATCTGCAGGCGACTGAGCTGCGCTTGGAAGAAGAGGCGCGCCAACGCAACTCACTCAAAGTGTTTCACATCTGGATCAGCAGGTGAGATTGAATTGTTTCCAGTACTAGTTAGCGATATTAGTTAAACTAATATTAGACTACTTAAAACACCACAAATGTAATGTAATGATATGCAAAGTAGGCTAGAAAGTGGTATCAAAGCTAAACAAATGGTTAGCAATTAAAAAACGTAGGCCATAACAGCAAGTATGGAACATTCCCTGTGATGGGCAGTGGAATGTACAGACCAGGATGGCCGAGTGGTTAAGGCGTTGGACTTAAGATCCAATAGGCGCGTGCCCTCGTGGGTTCGAACCCCACTCCTGGTATCTGTGTCCTTTAAGTACATAAAGCCAGTATCAATGGAGAATTTCTGTAATTTCAGCTGTATTTATCATCCCATCTAGTGGTTGGTGTAGAGTAGTGCAGTGGTCACCATCTCCAGGAGATCGACTTTCCTGCATAGTTCAGTTCCAACATGCTGGCCCTCCCTTACTTAACACTAATGCGTCTGATCCAGCCAATCAGAACTTCTGAAGAAGATAATTAGCTGGAACAGATGTAGCAGATGGTGATTGCTCGATTTGGCTGGACGGTAGACCTGGGCAAGCACCCTCATACTCTTCAAAAAGATGTTTTTTCAAGGGTTCTTTCGTAAAGAAAATAGTTCTATAAAGAACCATGAGCACTCAAAGAACCCTTTGCATTTGTATCATGAAAGGATTCATCAGATTGCTGGAGAATGGTTATATGGTTCTATACAGAACTGTTTTGAAAACGGTTCTATAGAGCACCCAAAAGGATTGACGTTGTAACAATAAAATAACCCTTTTGGGTGCTATATAGAACCCTTTTCAAATACACTGTGCACATTTAAGGTGAATGTGTTCATATTTTTTTTTCTGCTTCTGTAGTGCTCTAAACTGCACTTGCTACAGCCTCATTCCCCTGCTGTTCACTACTGGGGTCTTCAGGGACATGCCCACCATCAGCCTCCACCTTTTAGACATGGACAGCTGTGAAGAATCTCTGTTGGGTCTCAAAATGGAGGTTGAGGACCTGGCCCTACCTCAGCTCCACCAAGTTACTGTCCATTCTGACCTGACACAGGCCTTCCAGTCAGCTGACAGTAATCATTTTCCTAGATGAGTGGCCATCAAATATTGCAGAACAAGAAGAGCAGGAAGACAAGGAACACACGGTGAGGCTGGTAGCAGAGCTCTTTGATCGTTACGGCCGCCTCATCGAGGCCAACGCGCAAAAGGACGTCAAAGTGATTGTGTCAGGAGGCACCTACATCAACCTGAAGTGCGCTCTGCTGATTGAGAACGCGCCCTCAGTCAACCCCTCTCGATTTGTGGCCTTGGCAACACAACTGGAGTGTGAGGCGAGGGCTCAACTTGCGGAGAAGCTGTCAGTGAAGACCTCAGGTAAGAACTCCATTCCCTTAAATCGATAGTTTGACAAGAATGCTAATTTACACAATTTGTCAGCCAAGACATATTTGGTTTAAAGTTTCCTTCATCAGTACCGGCGCTATGAGGCGAATGTAATTACAGGCTAATGTAGCTACAATGTCAGAAACCAGATAAGTATGTCTGTTTGAAGTAACTTGATGGGGCTAAAGCTAAAATATCTTATTTGTTGGGTTATGTAGTATTTTGTAGTGCAGAGTTATATCCCTCTGTCTTGTTGGTTTGGCAGAATTCATGATTCATTCATTTGTTCATTAATTTCTCACTAGAATACCAAGCATGCGAGTAAACATTGGACATCCCTGTGGTGTCTGCCATTCCTGACTGCTAGCCCAGCCGATGAGCTTCAGGCTAATAAGTATAACCCAGCTGTCGTTAGTGTAACTTGGTTGTCATACAAAACTGTGAAGAGAACAGCAATTCTATCTTTATTCAGCACCAAAATGGACAACATAGACAAGTTTTTCTACACTTCTACCTAGAGAAAAGAAGCCAAACTAAAGCCATGTTGCTGCCTTCCTTCCTTAGCTTTTAGCTTGCTGTCCTCTTCATCTGACGAGTCTATGAAATCTATTCTCTCCATTTCAATGATGATTTTAAGATACAACCACCAAGCTGTAAACTTATATATATCGTCACATCCTTTGGGTATCCCTGTGGTGTCAACCAATCCTGACCGCTAGCCTAGCCACTGAGCTGTAGGCTAATAAATATAACCAGACTACCATGTAACTTAGCTCAGTTGTCAAAATTGTGAAGAAAACAGCGATTTTATCTTTATTCGGCAGAAAAACAGACAGCAGAGAAAGTTTTTAGCATTTCAGCCAGAGACAAGGTAGTTAGCTAACTTGCTTACCATCATTGGACAAGCTTGAGTAATCTATTCACTCTATTGTACTCATGTCCTTCTCATCTGACAAGTCTATAAAATCTGTTCTCTCAATTTTAATGATGATTTGAAAGTAGTTACAGAGTCATATGGCTGTGGGAAGATATTCAGCTTCCTAGCGCTACCGTTAGCTACCTGCTTTCCTTCTGCATTGAACAGCTAACATTACTGCTAGTTTGTCAGACATTTTATCGCAACTATATAACTGTAATGTGATAACTGTCTTCAAATCATCATTACAATGGAGTGAATGGATTACTCAAGCTTGTCCAGTGAAGGGAACGGCTAGCTAAAAGCTGAAGTAAGCAAGTTAGCCAACTTTTCTCTGGCTGAAATGCTAAAAACGTGTCTCTGCCGTCTATTTTTCTGCTCAACTTGAAGATAAAATCAACTGAGGTAAGTTACATTAATGGTAGTTTGGTTATATTCGTTAGCCTACAGCTCAGTGGCTAGTCTAGCAGTCAGGATTGGTTGACACCACAGAGATACCCAAAGGTTGTGACGATATAGGCAACACACACTAACACACCACCACCACGCCAGTGTTACTGCAGTGAATCCTGAGAATGATCCACCACCCAAATAGTACCTGCTCTGTGAGGGTCCATGGGGGCTCCTGACCACTGAAGAACAGGGTAAAAGGGGGCTAACAAAGTATGCAGAGAAACAGATGGACTACAGTCTGTAACTGTAGAACTACAAAGTGCACCTATATAGTAAGAGGAGCTGATAAAATGGACAATGAACGTAGAAACAAGGACATAATGTTATGCCTGATTGGTGTATATAATACTTTTAGCTCCAGTGCAAAACTACACTAAAGAAAACTTTGGACCCAAACACAAATTATGTATTCAATCCCAGGCTTGTTTTCTGTCTTTAAAAAATCCTAGATATCACTGATGTCATCATTTGGGGCAACATCAGTGGCACCTCCCACATCGACCTGCAGAGGGCGAAGGTTCTCAGATATAAGGGGGCAATCTGGGGACCAACAGGTTTCTCTCAGCAAGTACTGGAGATGGTTTATGACAAGTAAGATAAAAACAGTACACAAGGATCTCTATTACTATTACTGATCTAAATTTTAAAGTGAAATATTATTTCATAATAATAATATGTTTTATTGTGCATCAGGGAAACAGTCTGCTTATACCACAAGTTCTTCAGAATTCACGTTCAGATTTTAATCCAGATTAAATCCAAAAATCAAGCATCACTAAAAAAAGACAGGAAAAAAGAAGTTTAGAAAGTGAAAGACTATGTAAACAGTGTTGAAGTTTCAAAAGTTTCATTCACTTCTCAATTTAGACATGGAAACTAAGCTACAAAAACAGCCTGTTTTGAATTTGTGATGTCACAACCATCCTGCAGGGAATGGTTAAAATTATTTAACTGGGTGATGTTGTTCAGCCCAGACTGCGTTTGTGAAGGGATCGGAAAAAACAAAGGTCATTCACAGAGTCTTAAAGGCAAAGTAATACAAACAGTCTAATTTTACTTCTAAAAAAATGATAAATGGTCATAAAAGTTTGGTTATGACTATCAATGCCATGTAAATTCACACAGAACCACATCCAATTATATTTTACTAGATGTACAGACAAAGATTGTTGTAACGCTGCCTCAAGTCCTTCAATAACAACCTTAATTCATTGCTTTGTCCACTAAAGCACACGCATACCAGGAGTGGGGTTCGAACCCACGAGGGCATGTGCCCATTGGATCTTAAGTCCAATGCCTTAACCACTCGGCCATCCTGGTCTGAGGTGGTCATCGCAGAGGTCCTGTCATGCCACTCGGACAGTTAACAAAAATAGGATATTTTGTTAGTAAAATCAAAGATGTTGCCCCAACTGTGGTAAAATCATTGTAAAGCACGGCTGTGGGCCAAAACAGCCCATTTTGAATTTATCTTTGTTGTGATGTCACAACCATAAACACTGTAACATATCGCTGTTGTCAGAAGAAAACCTTGTATCTCCAAAATGGTAACTTTACAGGAAAAGGAAAAAACCTACTTTACGTTTAATGTAAGTCAATGGAACTAGACTTTTTCCCCCCAAGTCATTTTGGGTCATTTCTTTTAGTCCATTCATCGTGAAATTTACATATAATGTAAAGAGCAACAGGCATTTTTAAATTATGTCAAAAACTAGAAAAACATCAAAGATGGAGATACGAGGTTTTCTTCCAACAACAGCAATATCCTGGTCATTTAAGCCTGCAGCAGTTAGTTGCATATTCATGTTGAAGTTATAAGGAGTGCAGACAGTCCGTGTAGCAGCCATTGTAGTGGAAGATGTGGGAAAAACGATTAAACGTTGCGCTGTTCATGGCTGTCAAAAAGCTAATGTATGACTACAGCATTCAAATGATCCACAGCTCTGAAAGGAGTGGCTGAAGTTTACTTTTATCAAATGTCCCTGAGGATTTCAGTCTGAACTTAACATCTTATTCTGTACATTTTAGTCCAGACTTGCTTGTGGAGGGATCAGCCAATCTGAAAAGAGCATTTACAAATGTCAGTCTTAATGGCAAAGTTAAAAAAAAACAGCTGGTTTAATTCTAAAGAATGGTTGAATAAAATTTGCTACCTAGCTATGTCCAGTTTGGGGACAGTGGAGGGCTGGATGCATTGCTCAAAGATACAACAAGGGGATACCCAGTCTGTCCTGGGATTTGAACAACCTCTTGGTTGCTGGCACACCTCGCTTACCATTTGGCTTCCTGGTTACACAATTTAACCCCACAAATAACCTGCATACCTATATCCTCCAAGTAACTGCTATCATGTTCTCTTTTTTCAGAAAATGGCTGGCAAATGATTTTCTGAGCTTGGTTGGCTCACGAAGGAGCTCCATTTCCCTCAAGATGAACAGGACTGCAGCTATCTCAGCAACCAATGGAATCCTTGCAGTTCTGAATGCTTGGAACAATGGTTCTTCTCCTGAAGAAGTCTTTTCATTGGGTGTAGTCAGTACAGGTAAGAGCACATCCATGAACACACTTCCATATCGCTGTTATCGGAAGAAAACCCCCATATCTACAAAATGATAACTTTACAGGAAAAGGAAAAAACCTACTTTACTTTTAATGTAAGTCAATGGAACCAGACTTTTTTCCAAGTCATTTTGGGATGTTTCTTTTGGTCCATTCTTCATGAAATTCACACACAATGTAAAGGACAGCAGGCACTTTCAAATGATGTCAAAAACTGAAAAAATGGAGATGAGAGGTTTTCTTCTGACAGCAGCGATATACTAATAATTTCAGCCTGCAGCAGTTCAGCTGCCCATTCACATTGACGTTATAAGGAGTGTTGTTCCTGCAGACAGTCTGTAGTGGAAGATGTGGGGGAAATGATTGAACCTTGTGGTGTTGCTCAGCCTAGAGTGCACTTGTGAAGGGATTGGCCAGTCAGAACAGAGTTCATTCACAAAGTCTTAAAAATAAAGTAACAAAGCAGCCCGTTTCATTTAAAGAGATGAAATAGAGTTATGACTCTCTTTTCTATGTAAGACCACCTCCAGTATACTTCACTAGATGAGAATTGCCATATCGGCCATAGTTCATTGCTTTGTTCTCTTAAAGAACACGTATACCAGAAGTGGGGCTCTAACCCACAAGGGCATGTGCCCATTGGATCTTAAGTCCAACGCCTTAACCACTCGGCCATCCTGGTCTGCTGACCTTTTATGCTACCAGGGCTCTTTTCTATGTAAGACCACCTCCAATATACTTCACTAGATGAGTATTGCTATAACGGCCATAGTTCATTGCTTTGTTCTCTTAAAGAACACATATACCAGGAGTGGGGTTCGAACCCACGAGGGCATGTGCCCATTGGATCTTAAGTCCAACGCCTTAACCACTCAGCCATCCTGGTCTGCTGTCCTTTTATGCTACCAGGGCTCTTTTCTATGTAAGACCACCTCCGATATACTTCACTAGATGAGTATTGCTATAACGGCCACAGTTCATTGCTTTGTTCTCTTAAAGAACACATATACCAGGAGTGGGGTTTGAACCCATGAGGGCATGTGCCCATTGGATCTTAAGTCCAACGCCTTAACCAGAGAAACATTACGGAATTTCTTTGGTGCTTAGCAGTGGTTACAAACTACATGGCTAGGTGGAAGAATTGTTGCCTAACAACACCACAACACTGTGGTAAAATCATTGTAAAGCAGAACTGGTTTCCTTTTAAAAACATGTTTTAAAACTCAAGTTTAAAGTCAAATCTGAACATAGTTGTCCAAAATAACTGAGAGAAGATGAGGCCAAGAGGACTATACAACTTGAAAAATCTCAGAATTACTGTACTGCTCATCCTACACAGCATTTATTACTTTATTATTTTTCTCTTTGCTTTGACCCGAGTCTCACGTGCAACGTTAACCTTGTGATAATAAATAAGGGAACTGTCTATTACACTCATTTGTGCAGAAAGAAGAACAAGTATTCCTCTAGAACTGCCAGAGCTCTGTAAAGCCTCCTCTCAGTTTTCTTGGTTCACACAAAACACATGTGGTCTTCACCATGAATATTGTTGTTCTGTTTGCTCTAACCTCATTCATTACACCACATCCAGTCCACTAATCCTAACCAGGTGAACTGCTGTAATTGTGATAGGACTGCTTCCACTCTGTTTGTAATTCCCTTCGTTCATTGCTTTGTCTGCTTAGAACATACATACACCCATGAGGGCATGTGCCCTTTGGATCTTAAGTCCTGCACCTTAGCCTGGTCTGATTCCAGTCCCATGGCGGTCCTTTATATACTAATATGGTTAAAAAGTAACAAAAAAAACCCTCAAAGAATCTTTATGTAAATACACAAAAAATTAATTTGTTGCTTGGCAATCAGTCTGTTTATGAACTACCTTGCTGGGCAGTAAAATTGGTGCCTAACAACACCCCCCGAAAATAATTGTAAAGCACCTCCTCGGGCAGATTTGCTTTAGCAACATTTGGTCAATGACATTAAAAGAGAACATTGTTTAAAAATGATTTAGCATATCGTTGCTGTCCAATGAAAAACATGTATCTCCTTTTTTGCAATTTTTACTTTTCTGCATTATTTGAGCTCAGAAGCTGTCCTTTACATTGTGTGAAAATTCCATGATGATTGGACCAATAGAAATGCTCCAAAACTGCTTAGAATAAAAACTTGTTCCATTAACTTACATAGAAAGTAACGTTTTTGCCCTCTCCTGTAAAGTTACTATTTTGGATATACTTGTTTTTCGTTGGACAGCGACGATATATCCTGCATATACACAAATCTCAACAAAAAATGCATTGCCAATTGAATAAGACACTCTGAAGCAGCTGCGAGTCACCATGCCCAATGCCAAGAGGGGTATAAAGCCCTACACCATTGGAACTGCATTCTCTAGAGTGATAGAGCTCCATCCATCCTTTGGAATGAGTTAGCACAGTGTCTGTGATGTAGAACTAATCATCCAACATCAGTACCTGACCTTACCAATGCTCTTATTGCTGAACGCAATCCATAGTCTAGATCTAACACACTTAAAGGACATACCAGGAGTGGGGTTCGAACCCACGAGGGCATGCGCCCATTAGATCTTAAGTCCAACGCCTTAACCACTCGGCCATCCTGGTCTGATGGCTGTTTGGTTGTAGGTTCATTCATCCATCAATGGCTGGCGTATTGTACTTCACTGAAAAATTACAGTACTGTTTCAAAATATTACTAAAACAAAAGCAAAGTATCCTGGCGCCACCGAATTAAATTACATATTTTGTTGATTTTCTAAGTATAAATAAGTGAACATATCTACAGAGAAGTACATTTTGTAAAAGCAGTTTTCTTTAAACAGTTAGCTTTTACACTTTAGGAGAATGCTCTTAGAATACTTAGCCACTAAATTTTATATTACTATTTAATGCTTGTTCATGAGCTATTTTAAAATCATCACACAGCATGTAAAGATGTCCTCTAAAAAAGAATGGCTTCTTTACAAACACTGAAGTTCCTGCTAAAGCCTGAGTAGACTGATAAATCAATGTGATGATCAGTTACTAATCTCAGTGTTACTGAGCTCTGCTAAAGCCTGAGTAGACTGATAAATCAATGTGATGATCAGTTACTAATCTCAGTGTTACTGAGCTCTGCTAAAGCCTGAGTAGACTGATAAATCAATGTGATCAGTTATTAATCTCAGTGTTACTGAGCTCTGCTAAAGCCTGAGTAGACTGATAAATCAATGTGATGATCAGTTATTGATCTCAGTGTTACTGAGCTCTGCTAAAGCCTGAGTAGACTGATAAATCAATGTGATGATCAGTTATTGATCTCAGCGTTACTGAGCTCTGCTAAAGCCTGAGTAGACTGATAAATCAATGTGATCAGTTATTAATCTCAGTGTTACTGAGCTCTGCTAAAGCCTGAGTAGACTGATTAATCAATGTGATCAGTTATTAATCTCAGTGTTACTGAGCTCTGCTAAAGCCTGAGTAGACTGATAAATCAATGTGATCAGTTATTAATCTCAGTGTTACTGAGCTCTGCTAAAGCCTGAGTAGACTGATAAATCAATGTGATCAGTAATTAATCTCAGTGTTACTGAGCTCTGCTAAAGCCTGAGTAGACTGATAAATCAATGTGATGATCAGTTATTAATCTCAGTGTTACTGAGCTCTGCTAAAGCCTGAGTAGACTGATAAATCAATGTTGTCTGATGCTGCCTCTCTGGTTCTCCAGGACATTTCGGTGTTCCAGCTGGACTGGTTTTCTCTTTGCCTGTAAGATTTCAGGACGGTGACTGGTCAGTGTGCTCAGATATCACCATCAGCGAGGAGCTGAGGAATAAACTAGAGGCCATCATTCATGAGCTTACAGAGGTGAGTATGAGACAATTAATCAATCAATAAATAATAAATAATATATATATATATATATATATATATATATATATATATATATATATATATATATATATAAATAAAAAAATCATTATTCAGAATTGATCTTTGAAACATTTCAGCATCCTACAAGTTAATTGCAATTACATTTGCTTTCCTCCTGTCTGCTAGGAGAAGGACGTTGCAGGTGGAATGAAGCAGAATCGTCCAGTTGACTGAAAACATGCTGCTCTTTTCTCATTTAGAGTCTCACAATCTGATGGACAATAATAACTTAAGAAAAAACATCTACGTCTAGTTTAACTGGACAGCATGTCTTTAAGTCCCGTCAGTATTTAAATAAAACATTGAACAGTAAACACATCTGAGGTATTTCCTCAATGTCTCGATGTCTGATGACACACACGGTTCTGCCCAATGAAACATGAATGTGATCAATAAACAGGGAACACTACTGAATGCTGTGCTATTCCAGGTTTCACTGCAGCCCTCCGAAGCATCCACACTTCTGAAGGGAGTGGCTTAAGTTTTTGCACTTCATCTCACTTGTGAAGGGATCAGCCAATCAGAACAAAGACCATTTACACCCATCATTCTTAAATTCAATTGTAACAAAAAAAGCCTGTATAATTCTATAGATAGATAAATTTTTGCTACACAAAACCACACAACATTATTTTATACTTTTACTGTACTTCAGTCATTTCTCTGCCTAGCTATGTCCAGGCTGGGAGCAGTGCTATGATGTCGTCTGGGGTTTGTATTCCTTGCTCAAGGGAATTGGGGATTCCCGGACAGTCCTGGGATTTGAACCTGCAAACTTCTAAAATGAGACGAAAACATAAAACGCAATTCTCAGAAACAGAGCTATGAATTTTAAGGGAGGAAGTGCTGACAGTAATAGTTAATTATTGGTACAGATGCTTTTAACCCTTAATCAAGAAGTTTCTTCATCAGAAAATGTCTTTACTATAAAAAATGACAGGACAAAATTCAACTTTCAATTGTGGGAATCATATTTTAGCATGTAAGACTTTTTTCCAGTTTGTTAATAATTGAAGTAATGACAATTAAAGTACATACACACATCATCTAAACCACTTATCCTTCTGGGTCGCAGTGGGGTGCTGGAGCCTATCCCAGCTTTCATTGGGCAGAAGGCAGGATACACCCTGGACAGGTCACCAGTCCATCACAGGGGCAATTTTTGCATGTCCAATTGGCCTGACTGCATTTTTTTGGACTGTGGGAGGAAACCGGAGTACCCGGAGGAAACCCATGCAGACACGGGGAGAACATACTCCACACAGAAAAGACCCTGGTCACCCGGTCGGGAATCAAACCCAGGCCATTCTCGCTGTGAGGCAACAGCACTACCCACTGCGCTACCGTGCCACCCCGACAATGAAACTAACATTAATTAAATTTTAACGTATTTTTTATTACCAAAAAAATAAAACTGACATCCATTTTAGCTTTTATTTCCTATTTTACTCGCTGTCAGGAATTCAATTTGCATGTGAAAATGAAAATTCCATCGACTAGTAAAAATTCTGTTTTTTCACTCGTTTTTAAAGAGTATAAAATCTAATCCAGATCTGCTTTTTAACAGGAAAATTACCATCAGAATGATTCAAGCGCTAATTTTTGCTGGATTGTGTCGTGTTATAAATCGATAACAGCATTTGAAAAAGAAGGGAAATTGGGTACAGTAAGTACAGCTCGTAACTAATACACCACAGCAAAACACATGTAACGTGGAAAACTGCAGGAACTGTAACTTCGACTCTTGATCACCCACTTAAAGAAGAGGAGTGGGGTTCAAACCCACAGACATGCACCTATTAGATCTTCAAGCCAACACTTTATCTATTTAGCCATCCTGTGTTAACGTCTTCAGGGCCAAGTGGTCGTCTTACTGGGTGTGGTCAGTACAGGACCACATCAAACACAGCTGTAATGGTCCTCTTAACTTGCTGTGTCATCCACTTAAAGGAACCCACTACCAGGAGTGGGGTTCGAACCCACGAAGGCATGCACCCATTGGATATTAAGTCCAACGCCTTAACCACTCGGCCATCCTGGTCAGACGTCAGTGGCCTGTCGGTTAAACCTCAGGCTTTCATCTTCGAGAGGAGAAAATCAAGCTGCTCCAGATCTGAAAACATCCACAGGTAGAAACACCTCCTTCCATCCACTGTGAGAAGACGACTCAGCGCTATGGGTCTGAAAAGAGGTGCAGCTGTCAAGAAGCCTCACTAGCCACGTTTACATGCAGCCTAATAATCCGTTAATAATCCGACTAATAGCTCAATCGGAATAGAATACGTCCATGTAAACACCTCAACCTGAATAGTCCAATTGATCGAGGTGGGTGATCCTGTAAATAATCTGTTAAACAGAAGAATAATATCTGTGCAAACGCCTGTATCTGATTACATTCCCAATCAGAAAATGTAAGTCCGTTCTGCATGTTCGTCGCGTAGTAAAAGTTTATACCGTTCAACATGGCGGAGCAGAAACGGGTCTGCAGAGGAGACGAAGTTTATGCTCTGATCTTTAAAAGACGGTGGTGGGACGGACGTCCAGCTTATGTGTCTCAGAACACGACGTCTTCCTCTCGGCCTTCTTTAATACGGACATGTGAAGTACGTTTCCCTGAGTCTGACATCATTTTAAAGTAATTAAAAACACAAGCACTGCTCACTGCTGCTCATCTCACTCTGAGTGGACTCACGTGATGCTCGTTGTCATGGCAATGTTTACTCTAAGTGGTACTCCACGCATGCGCGTCATTTTGAATCGGATTACTTGTGGTGAGCATGTAAACGAAGATTTTCCGTCAGGTTGTTCAGTAGAGTGAGGAAGCAAACACCTCAGTCTCTGTCATCAGAATGTATTCAATTGGATTGGCAAAAATCTTTGCATGTAAACACAGACACTGAGCTTCTTTTCATTATGGCAAAAAAAAATGACACCGTCTGCATCAATCAATATCTCCCCCCTTCGTTCAAAATAAAGTACTGCAGGACTGTTTATCACATCACTCAGAGCAAAGGAAAGGAAAAGACCATGTGACGCTACGTTTTTGTTAAATGATGTGCCTTTTATCGATCAAGAAGCAGTGAAAGCATGAGCAAAACACGAGTACTATTACACAAACATTCTCTGTTAATAGTTTCAAAAAACAAACTAGCTGTTTCCATTGCTTTTTACAGGATCGGAGGTTATCTACAGGAGCGGGGATTAAAAAGAAAAGAAAAACAAAGTACTCTAATCTTATTTGATCCCTCTTATTTCAGTCAAATTAGCACTTTTAGCATGGGGTGAAGGAGGTGCTACTCATGCTACAGTCAGCCATTTTTTACAGTGTTGTGATGCACATTTTTCTTTTATTGATTACAAATCAAACTGTAATAAAGGCCAATTATAATAAATAAATGTCCCTAAAGCACGACTACATGAGGAGGCTGCAGACCAAAAATGTGACAGCTGTGTGGAAACTTCAGGAAACAATGGGTGCATATAACCGTAAGCGCTTTGTTCATCACTTCATTTCCAATTTCTGTTTTTTTTTGTTTTTTTTTTTAAATTAACCACTCTCCATTTTCATAGTGGGCGCTTCAAAAAAAGGGGAACAACAACAACAACCCTGCTAGGCAGGAAACATCCTTAAAAATGTATGTATGTAAAAACTAGAGCTGAATTTGCAGAATAAAACTGAGATGGGAAAATTTTTCAGAATTCCCTTCCAGTTGTTCTGCATGTAGAAGCTCAGTAGACGCTTTGCATTTGAAGATAAAGAAGAAGCCCACAAATTAAAATATTACACTGCTTTACAGACGATTACATCCAGGTAGACTTTACCCACCAGAAGGTTTGCTCTGATTCAGTATGTGGGTCTTATGAAATGGCTAATTACCATGCCTACAAATCTATTATTAATTCCAAAGTGCATCCAGTTAAAACTCCTCCATCCACACCAGTCATTAATCTAACTGCATGAAAAATGATTATAAATCAGCAAAGCTGGGGGCATTTTTTAAAAAAAGTAAGATTCTTTTTCTCCCCCACGACTGTATTTTTGTCGTTGTGCAGTATTTCACAAGTGCTTAATGGATTACAGAGAACCGCAAAGGGTAACATTGATGGCGGGACGCTTCAGTCATCTGTAGAAACATTCTTCAGATCCAATGTTTCGATTGTGCAAGACCAGAGATAATAATGCCAAATTACTTGAATGGAACCACATCTTCTGTAACCTGTGCAAGGCATACGTTTTTACTTCATAACTGACCAATGTTCATAAATAAAAAAAAATCCCCAACCCTTAACATATACACAACAGCATATATTAACATGGCTATAAATGATAAAATATCTCTTTACCGCTATAAATATAAACTTTCGCAACTACGAATAAAGTCAGCCTGGCTGGTCAGTTACTTGCTTCTTTTCAGACAGCAGGCTGTAATGTAGACTGGGTTAGTTCCTCTTCTTGAGTCAGTACAGGAATCTGGCTCATATTAGACCTGGGGAGTATTTCACAAAGCAGGATTTCTCAGTAAGCCAGGTAACTGAAGCCTGTAGGCCAGACTGGCCAATAGGAGAGCAGTTACTGAACATTCCTACTGAGCAATCTTCTCTGTGGATTTAAGTTGTCCAGCTGCCGTGAGATTATCCCCAGGTTGCTTGTGAGGTTCTGCAGTTTAGATTTCACCACTGTTAACCGGGAGTGGCAAACAGGACAAAAGCATGGAAGTAAAAAGCAAGACAGAAGGAAATCTAGACTGGCCCATAGGATGGGGGATACCAGACAACGTGCGCAACACAGAAATTTAGACGAGATTATCTGGAACTAATGTTACTAAGTGTGATATCACTTGGAAGAAATAACATGGCCCTGGTGTTTAACCTCGAGAGCTCTAATTAAGCAAGTAACTAAGTGATTTCTTTCTTTGAAAATGTTTGTTACCATTTATTTAAAAAAAAAAAATAATAAAATAAAAAAAAACTGACTGGCCAATCGAGGCCAATATCGTTTAAGGAAGAGCGCTTAATTCGGATCAGCTCCACCGGTCCGTGTAATTGTAGTTACTGGACATGGCAAGCATTGACCCTCGCTCAGCACTCTTTGTCCAAAAAGTATGCACCACTAAATTTCGACTTCATTTTTTCTGTGGTTTGTTTTGGTTCACCTGAAAAAACAAAGCAAAAAAAAGGTCACAGTGATCTCACAAATAGCAGAACTGACAGAAAAATTATTTTCAGACCTTCTCATAAAGCATATATGTCAGTGTATGGTATATATATCTACATGGACTATAAATAAAAGGGACAGTTTAGCAAGGATGATGGGCAAGCTAGGACTCCTGTTGGTCAGCCTGCTGTTGCTGGCCGCTCGGGAGCGTGTCCGTAGATGTCGGGCCACCGCCCGTCCCCTGTCCGTCGAAACCTAGACCCAGCCCCTCATCCATCTGCTCCAGTTCGCTTTGGTCCAGTAGCTCAAAGTCCTCCTCCTCGGCAGGAACAAGTGTTACGTCCGGTTGCTCCTCGGTGCTGGCTTCGGTGGTTACATCCACGTCCTCGTCGCTCGCCTCCTGGGCCGCGGGTGAACCGAGAGGCGACTCCATTGGACAAGGCGGCGTCTCGGTGGGGAGGAACTCCGCCATGGAAGGCCCCTCGCTGGCCTCTGTGGACCGCAGAAGGGCTGAAAGAGTGTTCTGCACCACGGTGGAGATGGCTGTGCTCACAATCTCCTCGCTGAGGGCTTCCAGGGACCGGGTAGGTCCTTGTGCGGCCCGAGCAGCTCCTTCTCCCTCTTGCCCGGCTCCCGCTGAACTCCGGTCAGCTCCAGAGGATCGTCCATGTCCGTTGAAGTGCGTGTTGACAAAGTGGAGTGGGGAAGCCAAGTGCTGAATAAGGAGGCTGGTGGGACTTTGGGAGTCCTCCTGGTGCTCCGTGCTGGAGCCCTCAGGCCGGCCAGACCCAAGCACACCCAGGGGAAAGTGGAACAGACCAGGTTCGATCGACGGGAACTCGTCCACTGAGGGGAACTCCGGAAGGTCCTTGGAGAAGCTCTCCTCAGGTTCACTGTGCACACTCAGCTGGTCCAAGTCTGTGACAGCAGGGAGACAGATGGAGCATTTAAGATTCATCTTTTAAGGCCAAAGCACACCAAAAACCAACAAACATCAAAGACTGTATTATTAGCCATTGACTATGGGAGCTTTAGAAAACCAACTCGTAAATCATTTGAATTAGTGTGGATAGAGCAGAGCATTCTGAAACACTGTGAATGGAAAGAACACTAGAGTTTTCCAACAAAAAAAAATAAAAAAATAAAAATAAAAAGGGCTTTCGTTTGTAGATGTTTCGAACGAGTGACCTGAACCAGTTTAACCAAGTTACCTTCCAAAGAATGTCAGGTCCAATGTAATTTGAGGTCTCTTTACATTCCAACACCCGTTAATCTAGAACTTCTAGATTGCATAGCAGAAACAATACAACAGCTTTCTAGGGAGGTTGCGGTCACTGACCGAGAATATAACAAAAGTGCTTTTAAAAAGGACAAAAAGCAAAGCATTCTTCCCTTTTACAAAAACACATCAGTAGTCACGAGACTCATAACATCTCAGACATCATTCCAAAGAGTAAAGTGACTAAGAAAAACACATGATTACTGACAACATGAGTTTGTAGTGGAATCACTGTATTCACTACAAACAAAAACAATTACAACAACACATTCAAATACGTCAGTTTACCCCCAGCACACTCATCAACTGAGAGGATCAACTAAAATGAAAGGAAACGGTAATAAAGTGAACTACACCAGCAAGTCTTGAGAACATGCTGTTCTAGACTTCTGTACATTACCTTCAGAGACGTCCGTGAGCTGTGGGGTAGTAGCTCTAGACACAGAGAACCCCCCACTCTCCAGTATAGACGCCTCCTCATCAGACAGCTCTGAATCGGTGATGGCCATCGCTAGAGCTGTGGTCTTCACATCCACCTGGCGACAACAGAACAGCTAATCAGCAGCCGGCATCACCATAAACCGGTCAGACCAAAGATGAAACTTAAGAAGTTATACTAGTAGCTTTAAGAGGAAACAGACTGTGTTTATGCATCACATTTCCTCGGTTCTTCGACGGCACACGGGTACGAATACTGGTGCACAATGCTTGTTCAAGAATATCATATGTTTATTAAACTTACAGTGGGAGCAAAGCAGGACAGCTCCTCCTCACTCTCGCTCTCCGTTTCTGCCCTTGGCTCATCTCCCTCTTCCTGCTCTTTCTTCACCTCTGCGTACACAGATACTTCATTAGACAACTTCAGGAAAAAGGACAAACTATCCTGATGGAACAATGAGATGTGTTTTGGCTGGGGCAGGGCGATTAATCAAAAAGTAATCAAAAACGACACTTAGAACTTCTAACCGTCATAATCTTGCCCATGTCGGTTATTACGATTTTTTTTTAAATTCTGTTAATCCTTTCCCCACTCTCTGTGTTCATGTACTGTTCCCTTAAAACTTACTACCGCGCCCGTAGTCACGTGACTCCGCCACGTCCACTCTGCGACAAGGAAGCTAAGGCTAAGTTCACACAGCAGGTAAAAGTGGCCCAAATCTGAATTTTTTGTTTGGCTGTTCACAATATCTTTTAAACGTGATCTGTATGCGACATCAGTCTGAACAGATCAGCTCCTAAACTGACCCGCATGCACAAAAGAACAGAGCTTCACGCGGCTTCACGGCTCATCCAGAGGTAAACAATCACGACTATGAACGAACGCCAGTCGCTCCCGGAGGATCAGCCAGCATCACAGAAGCCATCATGAAGCTTCACTGACTGAGAGCTAGGTTCATCACCCAGAATGTGTTCGAGCCATAAAAAGTCTTTACATTTGTTCTTGATGAAAGTCCTAAAAAAAAAGCTGTAAAACTGTTTGCATCTTTGTGCTCTTGAGTATGTGTGTGGATTCTGTTCTTACCTAAGAACAAATCCTAAATAAGAAAACACTGGCGAATGTCAGAATCTTCATAAAAACTGCATAAGTGGGTTTTAAGAAGAAATTTATTCTTAAGAACGTATGGTAAATGAGGCCCAATGGCAACCGATTTCAACAAGAACAAACTTGGCTTTTTCAAAGCAGTAATAATAGAGCCAAGTTCATGTCCTTCGAAACTCTGAGCTTTCTTGAGTGATTTATACTCGTAACGTTAATTTTTGCTGTACTTTCATTTTATTCAGCTGTAGTTAAAGCCACAAACTGCACGCTGAGCCAAAATGCCTCAGAAGCCTTTACTGTAACATAAAATCATAACTGACTTGGTGAAAACAGTCATGATCTGGAAATACGTTACATGAAAATTAAAGGTGAATACAGAAATATGTCTTTGCGACACGAAAACCGTATGAACTGGGGAGTGACTTCTGCAACAGTCAGTGTGTTTACATGCACTTAATAATACGATCATAATCGGATTTCTGCAGTTATCTGATTATTCAAATGGTCATGTAAACACCATACTCCGATCTAGACTTTCGATTAAGAAATCGAGGCTGGAATTCAGCACAGTAATCAGATTTCTCCATGCATGTTAACTCTTACTCTGATTTCTTTCGGATTTCTCAGTCTGTGCACGTGTGACTGCGCTACCGGAAATAAGCAAGCAGCGTTGTTGCAAGACGTCAGTAAAACACTTTTGGAGCGAAGCTGAAACAGAATGCTTGACAAAATGAAGGATTTAAATACTCTTCATCCTTTAGATGATGGATGTTCATATTTTCAGGTAAAGTGGCACAATGTTTTTTAAAAAAACAGCTGCGGCATAAAGTTTGAGTTTTACATTACATTCACGTCACGTCTTCTTCTGTGATTTTATTGATTGGTTGCAAAGCAGAAATCTGATTACTGTCTGACTCATGTAGACCTGGAGTTTCCCCATTGTCTGATTACTCAAGTGCATGTAAACGTGTTGATCGGATTACTGCCAAAATCTGATTTTCTGCAGTTATTGGATTATTAAGTGCATGTAAACGCACTCAGGGCTTACATCCTACATCAAACTCGTATGAAAACTTTCATATGAATTCAGCTTTCCTTATGGGCTTTTTTAAAAAGTAGAGCATTTATTTGTTCCACCTTTGTTTTTGGATTTCACTCTTGTATTTTAGAAGCCCCAAGCCTCAAAAATACAGGAGCAACACTACCGTAGTTGCTACCATTATGAGCTTATAATTATGGAAGATCCTACTACTGAATAGGGAGACGTTTGTGTAGGTGGACATGTGAAGAGACAGAATAATAGGTTTTACATGCTACAGCAACACAGAAGTGTCTAATACGGGAGCTACAGTCAGGTAGGACCTGGCTACAGTTGACATGAGGAGACAAGTGGGTGGCCAAAAAAAGGAAAGGCTCACTTCTTTTGTCGTGCTTGCGGTGCTGCGTGTCTCCCTTCATGCTGTAGTCCAGCTTCATCAGGATGGGCTCCAACCCCGTGTACATCTTCTGAATCAGCTCATGGTACACAACCAGGGGCCACAGCAAGACACTCAGCACTATACAAAAAAAAACATAGACAGAGACAATTAAACCTAATCACATGCAGCACCTACATATAAAAAAACAAACACGATATACAAAACTCTGAGTGTAAAGAGGGCAAAGCAACCCAAACAGTAAGACTCACATATTATGTAGGAGATCATGATTCCAGGTATGTAGTGACCAACCACAGCTAGCAGGAGGCATCCTGAGCATGTCATTGCACAAAACTGAAAGGAAAAGAAAGAGACACACAGAGAGAGAGAGAGAGAGATAAGACACAAACAAACCCATATCTTATTCAAGAAATCAGCAGAATTATAACATGAACCGCATTACATATAACTGCTATTCAAAGACAGAAGTATAAAGTCTTAAAAAGGAATTTCACTTAATTTCTTTCATTCCGAGTGGTTTGATGTGAATTTTTGTGAAATTTTGAAAACAGTCTAGAGAAAGTTGCTGAGTGCTGAGTTGTTCACAGTGGTGGTAAAAGGAACCAGACGTCTGAAGATTTTAATGCCCCTGAAAGTTATTACATGAAATGTATCCTTTATTAGTCCCACAACGGGGAAATTCACCTCGACATCGAAATTCACCTCGATATCCGTGCAGTGGAACACCCACATACACACTAGTGAACACACACACTAGGGGGCAGTGAGCACACCTGCCCAGAGCGGTGGGCAGCTCTATCCAAAGCGCCCGGGGAGCAGTTAGGGGTTAGGTGCCTTGCTCAAGGGCACTTCAGTCACGTACTGTCGGCGCAGGGGAACGAACCGGCGACTTTCCAGTCACAGAGCTGGTTCCCTAACCTCCAGCCTACGACTGCCCCAAATACGCTGCCTGATGCCTGAATCCTTGTTTTACGATGCAGACATGAAACTCTCTGTTCCTCCACACAACCGGTAGTATCAATCTATTTCCATATTTAAATCTCAAAACCCATCTCTGCTCTCTAGCTTACAACTCACCACCGAGCTATTCTTCTCTGTTGTCTGCTTCTGCTTTCGTTTGTCTTCTAGTGTTCTGCGTTTTATTACCATTGTAAAACTCTTCAACACTACAAAAATACTATACAAGACATATTTTATTATCTTTTGTTATTAACATTATTCTTATTATTAGACATGAAAACTCCTGTGCGGTGAAACAGGTGACAAGTTTAGAAACCAATCCCTTCTATAAATGCCCGTTGCTGTCGTTCCAAGAAGAACATTCCAGTGATTTTAACATGAAATTCTGGTGCACTCAAGACTAAAATACAGGGGTATGTGGAACTATTTAGTTTACTGATTTCAACAACTATACAAACACAAGCCATGTCCAAATATGGGTGTCCCAATTTTTGTTCAGATAGAGGGGTAGGGTGAAGTGTTAGGGCTACATGGCCCTCGAAACGGAGGTTTTTCAGAGACACACGCCAAACAAGAGTGTTATGAGAAAAAAGAAAAACCGGTAACATGGCTGAACAAGAGACCAATGAAACCCACAAATGTGAGAATTTTCTCTGTTAAAAAAAATACAATAACCATCATATTGTCTTAGTTTAATGTCATTTCAGTGTATTATGGTCTTTTTCTACATAACAAGCATAAAAAATTGCTAATAGTACACTTCTGTCTCAGTAGCTAGCTAAATTCCCCGTTCCACCTTAAATGGTTACATTCAGGCACCTCAGGCTGCTCCATTTAAGGTGGAACAGGGAAATTCGAACAAGAGGCTGGTGAACAGCTGACTTCAGCTTCGTATGACTGAAGAATCAGGGTGGGTAATAATAAATAACTGCCCCCTCTCTGAAGGCATACGATGCCCTAAATGTAACTAAAGCCCAGCAGTGAGGTTGCTGAACTTTACCCTCCTCTGCTATCACTGCAGACTCGTAGGGTCGCCTACAGAGCAGCGCTAGAAGCCTGTAGGGGCAAGATTTCAGCCACCACCCCTTATAACTCAGTTCCAAGAGGAAAGGTGACACTCAAAAACCAGAGGCAGGGGTAAAAAAATAAAAAATAAAAAAATGGGATTGGTCCGAACAAAACTGGCTGACATCACAACCCTTGGTTCCTATCAAAAATACTGTAAAGGAGTCCAATACAAAGCACCATTTCAGATCAAACCACTCCAAATGACTAACATTTCAATGATTCAATTATGCAGAAAAAAAAATGTTGGAATTCCTTTTTAAGCCTTTAACTTAAAGCACTAGAGACTTGCTCTCATAGTTGGGGGAACATGTGTCCTCCTCACCTTGCCGTGATTCTGCCGTTTGTACTGGAGCATCTCTTGGATGTAGAGACTACAGGTTAAGTAGCTCTCCGCCAGATGGTGGCTCAGTTCATCCACGCTCAAAAGTCTAGGGTGGACGCTCATGCTTTCTCTGCACCACCAAACAGATCAGATAACAGGAATTAATGTCTTATTATTTGTGATGCACACACTGTAACCACCACCTATCACTAAAACATGTTAAAATCACAACTTATATACTAATTAAGAGTGTAAAATTTTGAGTATGACCTTAAATGATGACTCAAAACATCTGTGCTACAAGTTTTAATGCCATTCTCAGTTAATGGGAAAAACTAAAACAACATATATGCAGATTTTAATACCTTTTCCTCCTTAGCCGTATGAATGCAATATTACTGTTAATATTCGTATTTGATTATTTGTCCCAATTTGGTCCCAAGCATTATATTCAGGGAGAAATGGTCTTTCTATGTTAATAACTGAGGAAGCTTAGAACAAAATATATATAACAAGCACTTTACATGCAACACTGATATATAAAAAGCATACCTTTCTATGACTGGGGCCTCTGGATGCCGCACTGTGTGAACAAAGAAGATGGATGAAACCACATCATTATAATAAAGCACCAATATAATTTTAATTCTTCTCTATGAATATTCTTCTAGATGAAGCAACAGTCTGGAAAAAAAACAATCAGAGTTTTACTTTTGTGAGAATTGCAGTCATAGCACACTTACACTGCTACTCAAGTATGGTTTAACGCCAGGGTGTCCAAACTTTTTTCCAAAGAGGGCCAGACTGTACTGTATTAAAATACATATTGACAAATGATTCAAAATATCAGCGCACAGAATCTGATCTTTCTGTGAGCTGCTGTGTTTCCTATCACTGTATAAAAGATGCATGAGGCTTCTTTTATTGTTGGATCATTCATTCAGAGTAGTTTGGATTAATAAGCGTTTATAATAAACAAATAAATTGTTTAAAAGTAACAATACTACATGTCTAATGTATTATTCATATTCCTATTCAAGTGTTTACTTGTTGAAAAATATAATTTGTGAGACAGACTAAACAAAAATCTATAGATTTTCGGTTTTGTTAGTTAATGTTCTTTACATATCAAATAAATGCAGTGTAGCCACGTTTTTGTTCAACCTTAAAGGGTTAATATTTGCTGAACTACTGAATTTGCTCTGATAAGAAGTTTTCCATCTCACCAAAATCATCAGTTTTCAGTGTTTAGTTTGAGCCTAATGTCTATAGTCTTGACTAAATGTTGTTCACTAAACGAAGCTGCAGGTCTTGTCAGCCGCTACCATCAGGTGAAAGGAAGAATTGCAGCGTACTGGCTGGCGGACCACCTATAATACACTGTAAAACATATGCTCTGTTTGAGTTTGATCTGTTCGAGGGCCGCATTTGGTCCCGGGGCCGGACTTTGGACACCACTGCTTTAACGAAAGCAGTATACTTTTCCCACAGTTTTAAATTCCTTGGGCTGCTTTGCTTTCTCATTTTGAGGCTTTAGTAATTTTTCCAGATCTGGGTGCGAAACTGAGGGCCAGAGTCCAGCACAGTCCGGTGATTTTCCTGCTCTAACACAATTTCTAAACCTGGCAATTACCCGCTGAGTTGAATCATGTGTGTTTGAGCAAGAAAACCACCAAATGGTCCAAGAATCCGGCCCTCCAGGACAGATGTTCCTCAGCCCTGTTTCAGACCAAAAGCCAAAAGAATTCCACCAACTGAACTTAACTGGCAGCATAGTTACATCACTGAGGTGTAAACAAAATCATTCAGAGTGGTTTAGAATGAAACGCTTCGATCTAGACAAACTTACAGTAAGAACTGTTCACAGTGGTGGTGATAGCAACCAGACGTCCGAAGAGTTTAATGCATGTAAAAGCTCCCTCACAGAAAGCGCTTACATGAACGTTGTTACACAATACTGCTTTATAATAGCGCTGAGATGATGTTTTGTCCTAAAACATATTTTTATATATCCATGCAAGGCAGAGAGGTACTCACAGGGCGCTGTAAGGCAACAGGGCCCAAATAAAACTTATTATTGCCCTTGTTTTACCACTCGGAACAAAACCTTATGACTCCATTTTTGACGTTTTTCAGTTTTTGACGTAATTTGAAAATGCCTGTTATCCTTTAAATTGTGTGTAAATTTCATGATGAATGCACCAAAAGAATTGGCCCAAAATGATGTGGAAAAAATTCTGGTTCCATTGACTAAAAAAGTAAAAGTATGTTAAAAGTACAGTATGTTTTTGAATTAGATGGATGGATGGATGGTGGTTTTGGATAGTAAATAAAATGGCTACTTTACACCTGATGGCTACATTTGCACTGTAAACAGCGTGACCCGCCCATTCCTACCACCACCACTTTAAGGACAATCAGGGTCTTTACAATCTACCATTTCACAACAAACCACACTGGATGACCTCTACCTCTGGAAAGCAGTGTTAGGTTAGACAGTGAGAGCTGTTTTTACCGGTTATCTGAGGCAGCTTGTCTTTCCATCTCTCCAGTAACGTGAGGACAAGCAGAGACGCGCTCAGGAGGAACAAGGGCCGTAAGGACGTGGAGGACAGCAGCCTAGAACACAGACAGGACTTTCAGCTTTTAGACACGGGCAACGTTACCGACCACAAAACCACAGACCCCGCTGAGAGCTAAGGAGCTAACGCTACGGCCTTTAAAAAGAAAAGGGTTTTCAGGGGTTCTTTATAGAGTGAATGGTTATGTTTAGAACCATGGGTCCTTTTAGAACCAAGAGTTCTACATAGAACCATTTCATGCTTACATAGTTCTCCACGGCTGGCAAAATAGTTCTTCATATTGATATGGAATGTGCTGTACATTGTTCTATATAGCACCAGAAAGGGTTCTTCTACTGTTACAAACTTGACAACGTAACAGTAGAAGGTCATTTTAGAACCAAGAGTTCTACAAAGAACCATTTCATGCTTACATGGTTTTCCACAGCTGGCAATATGACTCTTCAGATTGATAGAGAATGTGTTGTACAGGGTTCTATATAGCACCAAAAAGGGCTCTTCTATTGTTACAAGCCTGACACCGTAACAACAGAAGAGAGTTCTATATGGGACAATTTATGCTGCAAATCGTTCTGTATAGAACGTCTTGAAAATGGTTCTATGTAGCACCAAAAGGTTTCTGGTATTGTTGCATTGTCAAGCTTGAAACAACACAAGAACCCTTTTTGGTGCTATACAGAGCCATCTCCAACACATTCTCCATCAATCTGAAGAACCATTTAAACATGGGAAGGTCCATGTAAGCATAAAACGGTTCTATATAGAACTGTTGGTTCTTAAACGTTCTCCTTTTGTTACAATGTCAAGGTTGTAACAATAGACGATTCAATAAGAATCGATATGAAGAGCCATTTTACCACGCAAAGAACCATTTAAGCAAAAGAATCAATACAGAACTCATGGTTCTAAATACAACCATTCCCTCGGCTAAAGAACCCCTGAAGAACCACCCTTCTTAAGAGTGTGGCTTTAACTACACCATCAGCTCCATATGGTAAAGTACGTCTCAGGATAAAGGAGCGTGTCTCCTTTCTCTGTGCTAGATATGCGGGTCCCTAAATTCACCAAGTCACAGCTTATCCGAGACCCTCGGGGCGACTGAGAGCTACAGTACGGGTTCGTTTGTATGTGTGGAACTCGTGCTAGGCCTCAGAACAGCACTGAGAGCTGCGGTTCCACCATGTCAACACTGTAAACACGGGGGCTGGAACCGGAACCGGACCGCGGAGCCCGGACTTCTGCGCTAACGTTAGCCTAACTGAACAGGAGGTGCCGGAACAGTCCGTGAAGATGAAGACAGTCAGTTTGTTCTCGCTGTAAACTTCAGTTTTCCGAGCTTCCGAGCTGAGAAACCCAGTTAAACGTTAATAAAACAGCGCTAACGGCTGACTGGCGCTGCCGCGGACAGAGGGCTGGCTCGTTAGCAAGCTAGCTAACTTAGCTAGGTTAGCTGGCTAACTCCCATCACGGAGGATTAACGACGTGTAATTAAAAGTGACCGCCGTAACGGAAAACAACAACGAGACAACAACGAAAACAGCAACGTTTACTAACAGTTTTTACACAGCACACGTTTAAAAAACGAAAGACACGGCGCTCCGTAACGGCCGTTACTCGCACAATTTAAAAACCCGTAACGGTCGTTACTCTGAAAAAAAAACAAAAAACACACCAGCGTTTAAAAGCCGTTAAACGACGTATCCTAGGTAACATACACAGTGAGGGCAGCGCGCGGTCTTACCAGAACGCAGTGTTGAGCGCGAGCGCCACGGCTCCGCTGCGCACGGGCCTCTCCCACACGAGCAGGCGCTGCAGGCCGAGCACGGCGGCCTCGTGCGGACTCAACCAGGCCTGCAGCCGCCGCCGCAGACGCGCCAGCTCCGGGTCTCCCGGCTCCGCTCCGCCTGCGCCAGCCCCGGAGCAGCCCGGGAACAGGGCCTCGAGACCGACCGAAGAGGAGGACAGCGAGGGCCGTCGGGCCTCCTCCCCGCTCGACATGATTCCGCGCTGCCGCGAGACGCTGAGACGGTGACAGTGTGTGTTTGTTTTTCTTTTTTTCCTCCTCGCTACTTTTGTTGTGATGCGCAGCTGACGGGGAGGGGGAGGGCGCGAGCGCGAGCGCCAGCGCCAGCGCCCGTGACGTCACGAGCGGATCAACGAGAGCGAAAACAAGAAAAAAAATTATAATATATATATATATATATATATAGCATAAGAAATAAATAATAATAGAATAAAAAAATGAAAAAGATTACAATTGTTTAACGATAATAAAATAAAAATAACAATAATTTTACCAATAAAAAACAACACAGTACATTCTCCAGCATCTGGAGCCCTGGAGGATGTTTAAAATGCTCCTGTATCTGATTATTCCTGATACTGTACATTATTATTATTATTATTATTATTATTGGAATTGCTATTATAATTTTCGTTCATTGTGTATTTATTTAATTTTAAATTTAGTTTATTTTACTGCTATCTTGCCAAGTGACTGTTTCCCTTTACTCACTGTATTTATGTATCGTGTAACTGTTCAGAATCAATGCAATAATGATATATGATAATAACTTAAAAGGATATGAGCAAAAAAAGCAAGGGACATAAACAGAGTGAGAAAGACAAAAAACAGTGTATATATATATATATATATATATATATACATACATATATATATATATGTATGTGTGTGTGTGTGTGTTTGTGTGTGTGTATATATATACATACATACACTCACACACACAGATGGAACGTTTGGTCAAACTAGTTTTAAAGTACAGCGAATATATGAAGAGTTTAGTTCCAAAATGCTGTAAATCCATATATGACAATGAATATCAGTTGTCATATAATGTATTATATGACATTAATCATAATCTAGCACTGATATTCCTTGCATATTTCATATATATATATATCACTGTTGTTGGAAGAATCAGTATCTCCAAAATGGTAATTTTACAGGAGAAAGAAAAAAACTACTGTACTTAATGTAAGTCAATTGAACCAGAATTTTTTCCTCATTTTGAGTTGTTTCTTTTGGTCCATTCATCATGAAATGTACACACAATTTAAAGGACAATTTTTTTCAAAATATGTCAAAAACTGAAAAATGACAAAAATGGAGATATATCGCTGCTGATCATTTTGCACAAAACATACTTTACCTATAATGTAAGTCAATGGAATCAGACTCCGCCCCATATACACACACACACACACACACACACACACATATATATATATATATATAAACGTGTGTGTACATCAACGTAAGTTTGTGTGTGTATTGGTAGAGAGAGATAGAGAGGGAGAGAGAGAGGGAGAGAGAGAGGGAGAGAGAGAGAGAGAGAGAGAGGCAAAACAGAAACGCCCTTTCATGCGGCCGTATTACAGGCTGTGCTGCGTCACGTGACACTTGTTTACTGCAGCCTTGCTGCTACCTGTCGTCCCCATGGAGACGGTGAGGAAACAGGCTACGTTTAAAAGCACATTTCCACTCTAATGAGGAATAAACGGGGTAATCAGAGCACTGAGAGGCGTTTATTACCATGACTTTTCAAAATGCACCCCAGAGTGGCAAACAAATAAATGAGTAAATAAGCATCTAGCTTGGCAGAGGAGGGAGTGAAGCTGAGCACAACTGAGACTTCCTTCTCTTGTGAAATAGCCACCAGCACATAAACAACACTTGAGCAACCACTTCAACAGCACTTATTATTTTATTCTTTTCAAAACATAACATCCCAGCATGCCAGTGGTGACGCTTCGTAAAAACATACAAAATATTATTTACAGTGATTACAGACATGTAGCATCCATTACAGGGGGAACGAATCAGAATACAGCAAATGTACAAGCCCGAGCTTTATAGGTGCTGTTTGTATACGAGCCTTTACTCAAATATGCTTTACAGGACTAAAAGAGGGTTTTAGACCTACTCTAACCAGTTATGGTGACAATACATAAAACACAGAGGTGAAAGCTACTGCAGCACAGCGGCCTATTGTTTAGCCACATGACACTCCGTTTCATTTCACAGCAGAGCTGAATGGCAGTGACAAAAGGACAAGGACGGTGGTGTTCCAGGCCCTTCAGGGAAGGCCAGCATCCACGAGGACGGAATACAGCGAGGTCTGGATAGCCTGGTGTGGTGCAGACGGGATGTTTCAGATTCACACTGACTGTCTGTTTGAAAAGTTCGATTTCAGGCCTGAAATAAAGCCTCAGGCCACGCGGCATTTACAGCTGTGGAAAACACAAAGTCCGCAGTGGACGCTGGACAATGTCTGTAGCAACCTTTGTTCAATACCAAACACTTAACGAGTGAGTCACTGAGTGCTTGCTGGACAGGTCAAAGATCAAGACATTATCACATGTACACACGTTCTTCAAGGGCTCTTTAATAAAGGCAATGGGAAAGAACCATGAGCTCTACAACCTCGTTTCCAAAAAAGTTGGGACGCTGTGCAAAATGTAAATAAAAACAGAATGCAATGATGAAACCCTTATATTCATTTTAAAATAGTACAAAGACAAATCAAATGTTTGTTAAATTTTATTGTTTTTTGTAGGAAAAATGCTCATTTTGAATTCTTTTCTTTTAACAGCACCCTGTAAGTCGCTGTTGTTGGAAGGAAACCTCGTATCTCCAAAATGGTAACTTTACAGGAGAAGGAAAAAACCTACTTTACTTTTGATGTAAGTCAATGGAACCAGATTTTTTTCCAAGTCATTTTAGGTAATTTATTTTAGTTCATTCATCAAGAAATTTACATACAATGTAAAGGGTAACAGGTTTTTTCAAATTATGTCCAAAACTCAAAAATGTAAAAAAATGGAGATATGAGGTTTTCTTCCAACAACAGCGAAGTGTTTGGGAACTGAGGAGACCAATTACTGTAGTTTTGAAAGTGAAATGTTTTCTCATTCTTGCTTGATATAGGGTTTCACTGATAACAAGTTGAGTGGTCTTTAGCCCAGAGGACACAGTGGCCATGATTTCAAAAAAGAATTTAAAATTTTGATTTGTCAGACCACAGGACACTTTTCCACTTCACCTCAGTCCATCTTAAATGAGCTTGGGCCCAGAGAAGGCAGCAGCATTTCTGTATCCTGTTTGTATATGAGTTCTTCTTGTGTTTTAACTTGCATTTGTGGACGCAGCGACGAACTGTGTTCGCAAACAATACTTTTCGGAAGTGTTTTTGAGCTCATGCAGTGATTTCCTCTAAGAATTATGTCTGATTTTAATCTGTCTGAGGGCCCGAAGATCACAGCCATCCAGTATTGGTGTTCAGCCTTGTCTCCTGCATACAGTGATTTCTCTAGATTCTCTAAGGTTTTTATGATATTTTGTATGATGTTTTGTTCGTACATGATAAAATCTCCAAGTTATGTAATATTTCAAGTTGAGAAACGTTATTCTCGAATCGTTGCACAATTTGTTGGCGCAGTCTTTCACAGTCCTCCCCATCTTTACTTCTGAAAGACTCAGCCTCTCTGGGAAACTGTTTTTATACACAGTCATGTTACTGACCTTTTGCCATTTAACCACCAGGTGTTTTTTTAGCATTACACAATGCTAAAGTGTCCCAACTTTTTTCTCTTCAGATTGATGGAGAATGTGTTGTATATAGTTCTATACAGCATCAAAAAAGGGTTCTCCTGTTGTTACAAGCTTGACATCATAACAATAGCATGCAAATAACAACTTACGCATGAAATAGAACCATTGCCTTTACTGATGAACCCTTGAAAAGCTATCTTTTTAAGACTGTTGTAACAGTGGCAGAACCCTTGTTGGTGCTATATAGAGCTATACACAACACATCAATCAGAAGAACCAATTCACCATGCAAAGAACCATTTAAGCATGAAATGGTTCTATATAGAACTCGTGGTTCTAAAGAGAACCACTGCCTTTACTAAAGAAGTGTTGAAGAATTATCTTCTTTAAGTGTGTAGTGCTGTATCAAAAGTTCAGTACTTAATCAGTACTACAAGGTAAACAATTCAATACTGTCTTTCAGTCTTTTATGAAAATAGCAGGTAAAATGGAAAACTGAATTTCCCTTTTTTGAAATGAAATACTTTGATGTGGTATATAAAGATTACGTTTCAATTGTACCCAGTCCATATACAGCCCGCTTTGATTTCACAAAAACAATAAAACATACATTCACCCATTCACGCTTAAGTTATAAGTAGTGTTGTTACTGCAGACAGTCTATAGCAGAGTTATTGCAGTGGAAGATGTAAAAAGATGATTAAACGTTGTGCTGTTCCAGACTGTCAGGAAGCAAATGTATCACTGCGGCATTCCATAGAGTTCGGATAACTGAAAGGAGAAGAGGATGTCAGTCTGAACTTCACAGCTGGTTCTATATTTTAGGTTGGACTACGTTTTGAATGAGACATGATAATATAGGGCAGACAATCAGAACAGTGTTAATTTATATACACTGATCAGATAACATTATGACCAGCTCCTTGTTTCTACACTCATTGTCCATTTTATCAGCTCCACTTACTATATAGGTGCACTTTGTAGTTCTACAGTTACAGACTGTAGACCATCTGTTTCTCTGATACTTTGTTAGCCCCCTTTTACCCTGTTCTTCAGTGGTCAGGACCCCCATGGACCCTCACAGAGCAGGTACTGTTTGGGTGGTGGATCATTCTCAGCACTGCAGTAACACTGATGTGGTGGTGATGTGTTAGTGTGTGTTGCGCTGGTCTGAGTGGATCAGACACAGCAGTACTGCTGGAGTTTTTAAACACCTCAGTGTCACTGCTGGACTGAGAATCGTCCACCAACAAAAAATATCCAGCCAACAGCGTCCTGTGGGCAGCGTCCTGTGACCACTGATGAAGGACTAGAGGATGACCAACACAAACTGTGCAGCAGCAGATGAGCTGTCGTCTCTGACTTTACATCTACAAGGTGGACTGACAAGGTAGGAGTGTCTAATAGAGTGGACAGTGAGTGGACACAGTGTTTAAAAACTCCAGCAGCACTGCTGTGTCTGATCCACTCAGACCAGCACAACACACACTAACACACCACCACCACGTCAGTGTTACTGCAGTGCTGAGAATGATCCACCACCCAAATAGTACCTGCTCTGTGAAGGTCCATGGGGGTCCTGACCACTGAAGAACAGGGTAAAAGGGGGCTAACAAAGTATGCAGAGAAACAGATGGACTACAGTCTGTAACTGTAGAACTACAAAGTGCACCTATATAGTAAGTGGAGCTGATAAAATGGACAATGAGCATAGAAACAAGGAGGTGGTCATAATGCTATGCCTGATCAGTGTATATCTAGCTTGAGAGTAACGAAAGCAGCCAGTGTAATTCTAACGCATAAAGAGAGGTTAGAAAATGATCAAGTAAAACTAAATTATATCTGCGATTCGTACATAAATCCACTTAAATGTTGTAAGTGGACATCAGTAAAAAAATGACCTGAATAATAAACTCAGGGTTCAAAGGATTAAAAAGTTTTCTCTTTAAATAAATGGCAAAGGTTGTAGCACAATGAGACTTGCAGAGTGATTTCAGGCAACAAGGTCAGGAGTTCCACCAAGTCCACAAACAAAACTATAATGCTCTATACTGCTTGTACTATACAAACGTGGACATTCCGACAGAATGCAATACACTACAAGAAAATTGAAGGGGGCTTCTATTGATGTGTCTTCCATTGTTTTGTTTCATAAAAGAACAAATCAATTGACATGCAGACGGTGTGGTGGCCGTAGTGGTCCCCCCTGCTGAGCCAGTCCACCTTAACGTTATCCAATTTAGTTTATGTATTATGTATGTGTTATCTACTGCAATGAGAGCGCAACAACTACTTATTACATTTCATTTAAGACCTCATTTCATAGTGACGGTAACACATGGTAAACGTAAATGTAAACTCAACATGGCGTCTGTTTATGAGGAAAGTCCTGCCCTTCGGTAAAAAAGAGGCTTTTTGGTAAAGCTGGCTTGTTGGCTTGTTGGTAAAGCCCCAAGTGGGGAAAGCCCCCTTCATTGTGGAAAGCTGGAAATACACTACATGGACAAAAGTATTGGGACACCCCTCCTAATTATTGAGTTTAGGTGTTTCAGCCACACCCATTGCTAAGAGGTGGACAAAATTAACATAGCCTTGCAGTCTCAACAGACAAACACTGCCAGTAGAGGGTCGTACTGATGAGCTCAGTGACTTTAAACATGGCACTGTCATAGGATGCCACCTCATACTACCTCTGGTGTAAAGCACACCGCCACTGGACTCTGGGGCAGTGGAAACACATTCTGTGGAGTGTTTAATCACGCTTCTATCTGTCAGTCTGATGGACGAGTCTGGGTTTGGTGAATGCCAGGAGAACATTACCTGCCTGACTGCACTGTGCCAGCTGTAAAGTTTGGTGGAGGAGGGATGATGATATGGGGGTTGTTTTTCAGGGGTTGGTCTAGAACCCTTAGTTCCAGTGAAGGGGCAATCTTAATGCTTCAGCAGACCAAGACATTTTGGACAATTGCATGCTTCCAACTCTGTGTGAACAGTTTGGGGAAGAACCTGACTGAGCCCCAGTGCACAAAGCAGCTCCATAAAGGCATGGCTGGGTGAGTTTGGTGTGGAAGAACTTGACTGGCCCACACAGAGCCCTGACCTCTACCCCATCAAACACCTTTGGGAAGAACTTGAACGGAGATTGTGAGCCAGGACCTCTCGTCCAACATCACTGTCTGACCTCACAAAAGCTCTTTTAGATGAATGGACAAAAATTTCCACAGACACTCTCCAAAATCTTGTCTTGCCAGAAGAGTGGAAGCTGTTAAAGGGGGAAAACTCCATATTAATGCCTATGGATTTAGAATGGGATGTCATAAAAGCTCCTGGAGGTATAATGTGTAGGTGTCCCAATACTTTTGTCCATGTGCAGTAGCCATAAATATAACAAGCAGAAATATATGTTTCTTACATGTTATTTGAGCTACACCCTACAAACTACGACTGCAACTTTTGTCTGCTTTTACCAGTGATTTCCAATATGTTTCTGACACTTTAATGTGGCTTTTAATTTCAGGTTTATAGGTCTCTACCCATTATAAGAGGTAGGAGTCTGGTCTTGACTGACTGGAACTAACTGCCCAGGGGTTTTGTCAAGTGTGGACAGACTTTCCTACCAGGACTCTGGTTTAATTAACGCTCCCGTGAGATCCCCCTGTGTAACTCTGCATATCTTATTTAATGATGGGGCTGCAATTATAAGTAATATCACTGCATAAAATGATTGTGGTCACAAAGTGTCTCTGTTTAACTTTCATCCCAAATATATCTGGCCCAGAAGGTCCCCCTTGAAATGAAATAGCCCTGGGAGTTTCACAACCTTCACATAAAACAATGTCCGAATTGTGCCTTGCCTGTGAATTCATTCCTCATATTATTATGAGTGTCAATGATTATGGCAGTATATTTGCTCACGAGCTGTCTATTTCGAAGCACTTTGGAGATAAAAACACTTTCTTTAGTAGATTAAAAATGTTTTAAATCTATTTCACGTGTGGCATTTATGCAATAGGTAACCATGTGGGTGATTTCAGCCAATGGAACAGGATCTATGACGCCAGAAGGACCAGCTTGGCATCATGAACTTTGAACAATGCAGGTGCTGTGAGAGGAAACTGCAGAAGCCATAATGGTTTGATTAGCCAAATACTTTAATAATAGACAACAGATGAACAGATCATAGAAATAATGGTCAGTTGCACCCTACCTGCATGGATGAGGACAGGTGACTGTGTGGAGGATGAAAATCGGGCCTGTCCCCATCGGGCTAGGAAAGCAGAGCATCTATGCCCGCTGGAGAAAGAACTATGGCCTGCAAGAGGTCCGATAAGGAGATGATGCCACACACCACATTGTCCCGGTCCACCAGGACCAGCCTGTGGACCTGAGTGAGAGGAAAGGAGCTTAAAACCATCAGCTAGAAAGTCTCTAAAACAAAGAGAGGTTAGTTACAGGTGCTTCACTTAACTAGCCACTCAGTGGCCACTTTATCAGAAATCCCTCTCTTGTAGCTCCACCTTGCCAGTGTACAGTTAGACAGTAGTTCTGTATCTGTTGATGTGCAGATTGTCCTATTGATCCTCTAGTCCTTCATCAGTGGTCAGTTTCTGACTGCAGAGCTGCTCGCATTTGGAGGTTTTTGGATGATGGGACTGCTCTCAACCTAGTAGTGACACTGATGTGCCAGATACGCTCACACCCGCACCACACGCACCACCATGTCTGTGTCACTGCTGTTCTGAGAATGATCCACCACCCAAATTACACTTACAAACGGTGCAGATTTTCTCAGTCCTGACTTCAACTACGAGGCTAATGTTGCTAACAAACACTTCAATAGTCACCCAAATCTTTTTTGCAAATACAACTTCAAAACTTGCTGAAACTGTATCCAGGTCTTCAATAAGGTTGCACAGACTTGATGTGGATATGCAAGCTGGAGTTTTTAAACACTGTGTCCACTCACTGTCCACTCTATTAGACACTCCTACCTTGTCAGTCCACCTTGTAGATGTAAAGTCAGAGACGATAGCTCATCTGCTGCTGCACAGTTTGTGCTGGTCATCCTCTAGTCCTTCATCAGTGGTCACAGGACGCTGCCCACAGGACGCTGTTGGCTGGATGTTTTTGGTTGGTGGACTATTCTCAGTCCAGCAGTGACACTGAGGTGTTTAAAAACTCCAGCAGCGTTGCTGTGTCTGATCCACTCAGACCAGCGCAACACACACTAACACACCACCACCACGTTAGTGTTACTGCAGTGCTGAGAATGATCCACCACCCAAATAGTACCTGCTCTGTGGTGGTCCTGTGGGGGTCCTGTCCATTGAAAAACAGGGTAACAAAGTATGCAGAGAAACAGATGGACTACTGTAGTACTACTGTAATTGTAGAACTACAAAGTGCTCCTATACGGTCAGTGGAGCTGATAAAATGGACATAACAAGGAAATGTACTTAATAAAGTGCCCAGTCGGTGTATATATGGACATAGATTAACAATTTCTGTTGTTTCTATTTATAAACATCATCAGTTTGAAAATCCAAGATTAGAAATCATGAATGTAATCTGTAGCATATTCACCTGCATTTAACTCACAGTGAAGTTTTGTGTATTTTATAGTTCACAGTAAGTCATACTGTCTCCTAAACCACATCAACAAGTCTTCACAACCTGGATGAAGACCTGGATGAGGCCTCAGTGGAAAGAGAGAATTTTTGGAGATGAATATACAGAAAAGATTTCAGCGACTACTGATTTCTAGTGTTAGCATTAGCCTCATTGCTCCAACACTAAGCTAAAGAAGCAACATTTGTACATCAAACATGTCTTGGCTGATCAACTACAGCTGAGGTGAGTGGAAAATTGTGTACAGTGATTTTTTTCCTAAACAATTCAATAAAGTGGCTGAACGAAAAAGCAACCGAAACACAAAAGGCTTTGTTTCTACATCCAACTGAAACATGCTGTTACCTCTGCCTCCACGATCCTATCAATAATAGTCTCCAAAGTCTCATCAGGGTAACACTTGATAACTCCTTCGACGAAACACCGGCGTCTCCTCACGGCCTCCCGCATGGTCATGCTCAGGTTGTTGTAGGTTTTCTGCGCTGCCAGATTCTGAAACCAGCAGAACAACTGGCAAATTACTACAAGTCATTGTAATGAGTGTGTATACATGCACTCATTAATCCGATTGTAATCGGATTTCTGCAGTTATCCGATTATTCAAATGGTCATGTAAACACCATACTCCGACCTAGAAATCCGATAAAGAGAGCTGGATTTTAGCTCAGTAATCAGATTTCTCAGTGCATGTGAACTCTTACTCTGATTTCTTTCGGATTTCTCAGTCTGCGTATGTGCAAAAACAGACCGCGGTACTAGAAATAAGCAAGCAGTGTTACCATGAGATGCAGCAAAACACTTTTGGAGCGACACTGAAACCGACTACATTCTCGACAAAATGAAGGATTTAAATACTCTTCATCCTTTAGATGATGTATGTTCATATTTTCAGATAAAGTGGTGCAATGATTTAAAAAAAGCCGCGGCATGAAGTTTGAGTTTTACATTACATTTACGTCACGTCTTCTTCTGTGAGTTTATTGGTTGGTTGCAAAGCAGAAATCCGATTACTGCCTGACTCATGTAGACCTGGAGTTTCACATTATCTGATTACTCAAGTGCATGTAAACGCATTGATCTGATTACTGGCAAAATCTGATTTTCTGCAGTTATCGGATTAGTAAGTGCATGTAAACACACTGAATGACAACTTGAACCTGAACCTCCTAGTCGTAACCACTAGAGATCATGAGACCATTAATTATTTTCTAAATACTGCTCTTTCCAAAATGGCACTGCAGAAGGCTGAAATATGCAAAGTGTTCTAATGACCACAGATGTGTTTTGTTGCTTTGTGGAAAACAATCCCAGATGTTCTTCCTGACGGTCTTCTCTCAGCGTTTTGTGAAACCATAGACATTTACACAGTGTGAAATATGAGGGAATCTATTATCAGCATTATGCAGCAGCTGTATTAGAAGGAAATACACTATATTTCCAAAAATATCTGGACACCCCTTCTAATTACTGAATGCAGCTATTTTAAGGTGCTGAATTGGAAGGCATTCAATTGGACAGTTTGTATAATCTCCTTAAAAAGCATTGACTAATAGAATGGGATGCTCTGGAGCAGCCGCACGGGTCTAAGGTCATCACGCCCAAGTGTCAACTACAGAGGTCTGAAGCCCCCCAGCATTGGGCTGTAGAGCAGTGGAGCAGTGGAACTGCATTTTCAGGGGTGATGGACCTCCATCCAATACCTCTGGGATGAGTTGGAGGGATCCAGAACTGATCATCAGTGCCTGACCTCACTAATGCTCAATCAAATCCTCACAGCAATGTTCCAAAGGAACATCTTCCCAGAAGAGTAGAGGCTGATACTGCAGCAAAGGGGGATAAACTCCTTAATAGTACCCTTGATTTCAGAGGAAATACCAGATAAGCAGGTGTGTACAGATGTTTGGACATACAGTGTGTATTGAGTGTTAGTCAATATGTTTTGTCTTTTTTGTTGCTTTGTAACTGTAACAAGAAATTTTGTCCACATCGTGCTGATTATTTAATATGGTTTACTTACAATCACATCAAATCTTGAGTAGAGAGCAACAACCTTCCCTGAAAAAGAGTAAAATACAAATGACTATCAGTATCAGTGGATCTGTCTTTGTGAAGCCTCTGGAAGAACAAAGCTTTCTCTGTTGCAGGAGCCAGAGGCAGTTATGGGGGAACAGCACAACTGCATGAGAATTTCAATCATTCAGTCTACTGAGCTCCATCAGAAGCCAGATTTCCTTTTAGCCTTGAAGCATGTAAAAATATCTGAGGATCATTCTACCAAACTGGTTCAAAGTCAGAGCTAAAAACACATTTTGGACTTTAAACTGAAATCCTTTTGCTTTGAATGACCCTATACTTTCATTATGTTAGTAAAATAACAACTGAGCATTGTTTTGTGTTGTGAAAAAATGGAGTCATAACACTACACCACTGTTTCGGTAGTGACAAGTTTTGGCTCATTTTGAGCAGAACTCAAAAACACTAGTCACTACCGAAACTTTACTAAATGTTTCAGTGGCGATTGTTTCGGCAGTGACAATTTTAGCTCATTTTGAGCAGACCTGAAAAAGCCAGTTCATGACTAGGAAACAGTGCTTTGAACAGTTACACACACATAAAATCATCATATTTTGCCTGTCATGGTGTAGTAAACGCTTTGTTGCCTCAAGTTTCTATTTTTCACTTGAAACTTGTCGTACCTCCCACATCAACCACTGGCAGCGCGGACACTCGTCTCTCCACAAATATGGACAGCGCATCATAGACGGTGGCCGTCTCCTGGACTGTGGCGATGTCCCGGAACGTCCCCACTCCTGCATCCTGGATTTTCCTTTGTAAGAAGCGGGGCTTTGGGACTGAGGCTCCCTGTGGCCGGACAAATAATATACGGTCAATAATAATATACTTATATACTGTTTAATATCATAACAACCAAAAAGCTTATGAAATGCGCAATATATGCAGTCCTGTGCAAAAGTCTTGGCACCCCAGTCAGATAACATGTTTGTTGATTTTCCAAGTTAAAATAAGTGAGCACATCCATCCATCCATCCATCCATCCATCCATCGAGCAAGGCACCTAACCCCCAACTGCCCCCCGGGCACCGTGTGCTCACTGCCCCCTAGTGTGTGTCTTCACTAGTGTGTATGTGGTGTTTCACTTCACGGATGGGTCAAAATGCGGAGGTGAAATTTCCCCGTTGTGGGACTAATAAAGGTCACTTAATCTAATCTTTGGCCCCTCTCAGGAAAAGAAAGCCTTTTTTGTGCTGGTGGCGAAGTGTTTGCGATGATGTATGTACGCATTTACCTTTACATTACAGGCATTTTAATGCGCAATTACTGTTTATTCGCAAAAAATAAAACACAAAATGTGGCCTGTGCTGTAGTTGCTGTGCTGTGAAGGCAGGAGGATGTACTAACTTTTAAATGGGACTGGAAATGTTCAAACCTTTGCATACAATCGTACATCTATATGGTGTTTCTGGTAAAATGTTCAGTGAGTGGAGCTCGAGGTAGCATAATCTTCTAATAATAATAATACACTAGATACTCACAAATATGTAGAGGAACTTGAGGATTCTCTTATGTGTCAAAATGTGGAGGACGTTCCCGGACTGAGGGTCAATGACCGGCAGCCGGTGAATCTTGTGCTTCAGTAAAGAGTAGACAGCATCGAAAAGGCTGTGAAGAAAGAAAGAAAGAAAGAAAGCCATTAAGTTCTTAGTTAATATAGGAAACTGGACCAAACTAATTTTATTTACAGTCCTGTTTACATGGCCACCAGCATACTGTGACTTTATAATGACTGCAAACAACAGTCCGGTTCTCTCGGTCCGGACCAAAGCAGAAAGTAATAAATCGTTGCGTTTTAGTTCTGGTTTGCTTTGTCATACTGACGTAATTAATATTGAAACAAAAGGTGTAAACAAAAGTAACGCAACTGATTGGGCAGCTTTAATGATGTACAATTACAATAATAACTTTCTGAATTATACTCTCTGTCTCTATCTGAGGTAACTGGTTTTATTTTATTTATGTTTTGTGATATTAGAGCAATAAGCCTCTGCGTTACTATGGTTTTGCAAGACGTAAAGCAAGGTGAAATCCCTGTAACAGACGCGAGTGGCTCACTGCTTTTACAAAATGGCGCCTTAATGCATAGTATAATTTATGCATGCAGTCAAATGTGTATATTGAGTATTTTATAATGACTTCAAATGTGCCTCGGCCTCGTTAATCTCACTTAGGCTTAGGCTAAGACCTTAGTCGGACCACAACAATCGGGCAGTGTCACATCTTAGCGAGACTAATATCAAAACATTAGTGGGACGTAAACTTGGTTGTTGATAATCCAATAAAAATCATCCTAGCTCAATTACTTGTTTACACATACACATCATCTAAACCGCTTATCCTTCTGGGTCACAGGGGGAGCTGGAGCCTATCCCAATGGTCATTGGGCAGAAGGCAGGATACACCCTGGACAGGTCGCCAGTCCATCGCAGGGCAGACAGACAGACAGACAGACATCCACATTCACTCACAAATTCACACCTAGGGGCAATTTAGCATCTCCAATCGGCCTGACTGAATGTCTTTGGACTGTGGGAGGAAACCCACACAGACACGGGGAGAACATGCACACTCCACACAGAAAGGACCCTGGTCACCCAGCCAGGGAATCGAACCCAGGCCCTTCTTGCTGTGAGGCAAAAATTGAGTTTCATTCCAAAATGCTGAATATAATTACTTTATTTGAATTGCCCCTAAAAGATTATCTAGAGGTGTTCAGTCTAATAACAAAAGTATTTGTTGAAAGTCAGCTGATTCTACACAGTGTTAAGGTTCGTACCAGGTTAGGTTTAGGTTTTGGGTCTATGTTAGAGTTAGGGTTAGGTCAAGGTTTAGGGATGGGGTAAATTAAGGCAAACTGAATAGATAATAAGTAGGAAGAAAATTAATGTGAAAGTGGTGTTTATTGTATTTTGGTACTAAACCCTTGAAATAGTTAAAAAATCAACTCTAATTAGACTGTTCCTTCTTTTGGCTCTTTGAGATACGGCGGACTCCATCATTACCTTGCGTCAGGTGAGATGCTGATGAGGCTTTGGCTGTGGAACTGCAGGAAAACATCTGGACAGAGAGACAGAGACAGAGAGATAAAGGAAAACGTTAGGAGTATCTTCTGTGGCAGCAGAGCATCAAACACAATGCCATCTTATGTACAATGTGGCTTTTCAGTATCTTACGCAGGGGTCATCAGCTCTGGTCCTACAGAGTCTGGCCTGGAGTCTCTGATCTATAAATCACTCTGTCGTCTACATTTGTGCACACTTTCTACTCCACCTTTTTCTCTACGGCATTTTGGCAGGCGCTTTTATTCAGAGTGAATTACTATACACAGAAAAAAAGCTAATTCAGCATTGGGAGTCTTGCCCAAGGACTCTTAATGATATAGTGTGGTTTACTGGCCCTTAAGAGAAGGCAGAGACAGCACGTGAAATGCTAATAAAACAAGTGATAAGTAATTTCAGTTTGACCTGTATTATGTTGAAAACAGTACACAATTATGATATTTGATGTAATGTTAATATTTGTTGTAAATATTTGCTCATTTCAAGTAAGAAGCCTCCAAAATATTCCAAAAAAGTTGAGACGGGCGCATGTTTACCACTGTATCACCTTGTCTTTTAACTCACTTAATAAACGTTTAGGGACTGAAGGCACCAACTGATCCAGTTTTGAAAGTGAAATTTTTGTCATTCGTTTGTTATACAGCTCTTCAGCTGTGCAACCATATAGGGCCTTTGTTGTATTTTGCACTTCGTACCATGCCACAGCATGAATATCTTTAAAAAAGACATACTTTAAAAGGCAGAATATGATGCTTCAAAAATGTGTATAAATCTTTCAGTGTTAATGGTGTCTTCACAGATATGCAAGTTACCCACTAATACCTGCCATACCATGAAAGATGGATTTTGAACTTTACACTGGTAACAATCTGGGATGGTCCTTTGGCCCAAAGAACAAGACGCCCATTATTTCCATAAATAATCGGAACCGTTGACTCATCAGGCCACTATACAAGTTTCCACAGTGAATCAGTCGATTTCAGATGAGCTTGAGCCCAGAGAATTTGGCAGCGTTTATGCACACTGTGCCACGGTGTACAGTCTTAACTTGAATTTTTGGATGCAGCAATGAACTGTGTTTACGGTCACTGGTCTGTCAAAGTGTTCCTGAACCTATTCTGTGATATTGCCACAGGCAATCATTTGTAGTTTTTGGCTGTGCTTTTTTAATCACAGAGATTTCGCTGGATTCCCTAACCATTTGATGACACATAGCAGGGGTTCTCAACCTTTTCCACCCCAGGGCCCACCTGTGTATAACTGTAAAGCATAGTGGCCCACAGAAAAACTAACATCTTTTTTTTCCCTAATTTCTCACACTGAAAACCTCTGAATTAGGGCCTAAAAAAGATCAGATCGTCCATTTAACTTCAATGACAGAAACCACAATTTGCAGTTGAAGAACATGGTTAAAACCCATATGTGTGCAGAGATGTCAAAAAGGGGGGGAAAAGAAAAAAGGTAGGTATAGATGTGGACCGTGACTTGGAGCTGCAGTCAATCGCCTTTTTTTTACTGAAAATTGTGGCTCCCAGTGACTATTTGGTGTCAAGATGTCTCTTTAGGTTTGAGGGTTTTAGCGCCTAATTTGAAGTAAACCTCGCTAAACTCAGGGGGCTTCTGGACTACCGTCGCCACAATCTTCAATAATGATAAATCTTGATATCAGCGTCTTTGTCATTAGTTTAGCAATTTGAGTTCATCATAAAATGCGTCCCACCCGCCGTGAACTGAAGAGGGTTCGGTTTGAAGCAGATCGAGACCCGCGGGTTTTGCCAGACCATTACAGCTGTATGATGCAGACCCGAATACGGGTGGAGTGTTGACACACGTCAAAACAGAGCGAACTAAAGAAAAGAGTTTGATCAGTCCAAACTGGACAAGGTAGGAGAAACACCCTGAGAGAACTTTCAATCTCTGATTGTCTGCACTGTGCGCTGGCGGCTGCGTCGTCTCAGACTGGTGTTGTCTAATTAGTCTGCGACTGAGGTGTTTTCATTTATACGTCTCCACCGGCCCACTGGCCCAAGGACCAATGGAGGGCGCTTCACGTCCCACTGGTGGTCCGCGACCCACAGGTTGAGAAACCCTGACATGTAGCATCACAGAGGGTGAAATACCTAAAATTCTTCCAGTCGCTTGTTGAGGAATGTTATTCTCAAACAGTTGGTGACACATCCTTGGCAAAGTGGCGAGTCTCGACCCATCCTTGCTCATCAAGGACTAGACCTTCCTACATGCTTTTTATATCCAAGCATCCAACATTCCTAGTCTTAAATCGTCCCCATCCCAACTTTTTCGGAATGTGCTGCAGGTATTGATTTCATAATCAAATTACAAAAACAGTGAAGTTAATAAAACATTACATATCTTGTCTTTGTACTGTTTGTGTTCAAATACATGTAAAAGTAGATTTATAAATCACTGCTTTCTGTTTTTATTTGCATTTCACTGCAAATCACTCATACTGTTAGGGCTGTTTCATGCTATAAGCCCGAGCTACATTAGCCTCGTAGCTCCAGTGCAAAACTGAAGAAGCGAACTTTAGACACCAAACATGTCTTGGTTGTAAGTAGGAAAACTTCTCGAAATTTCAATCCATTCACTCCATGCAGGATCCATTCCTGTAGTGCTTATATACACCAAGTCACCTTAGATGCTCTACATCATGCAGCTCATTTACTTTGAAATGAATCACCTCTCCATGTCTCAATCTTGTGCTCCTCCAACTCGTAGATCTGAACCTTCAAAGAGAAAAACACAGTTACAGGGCAATGCAGGAGCATCAGGATAGGAAGCTGGAAACTACTGTAGATCTACTGACCATTGGAGATTTGTAGTAGCAGTGAAGAATGTTGATGAAATCTGTGATGGTCAGCATACCTGGGCAGTTGTAGGAAAGGGACAGTGAGTTAGCGTTAGAGAGCAGCATGAACGGAGTGGTATGGTGAAAGAACAGAACAGTCTGGGGGAGGTGACCTCATCTCACCCACAAATCTCTGGAGATTACTATTCCACAGTGGCGCTGCTCGCAAACCATTCGCCACCAGCGCAAAGAAGGCTTTCTTTACCTGAGAGAGGGCAAGAACAGATAGATAGGCAGAGAGATAGACAGATATAGAGATACACAGATAGACAGATAAACAGATAGACAGACAGAAGGACAGACAGACAGATAGATAAATATACAGATAGATATACAGATAGATGGATAGATAGATAGATAGATAGATAGATAGATAGACAGATATAGAGATACACAGATAGACAGATAGACAGACAGACAGACAGACAGACAGATAGATAGATAGACAGATAGATAGATAGATAGACAGATATAGAGATACACAGATAGACAGATAAACAGATAGACAAACAGACAGATAGATAGATAGATAGATAGATAGATAGATAGATAGACAGACAGATAGATAGAGAGATAGATATAGAGATACACAGATAGATAGATAGATAGACAGACAGACAGACAGATAGACAGACAGACAGACAGACAGACAGACAGATAGATAGATAGATAGATAGAGAGATAGACAGATATAGAGATACACAGATAGACAGACAGATAGATAAATATACAGATAGATAGATAGATAGATAGACAGATGGACAGAGACAGATACACAGATAGACAGATAAACAGATAGACAGACAGATAGATAGACAGACAGATAGATAAATATACAGATAGATAGATAGACAGACAGACAGACAGATAGACAGACAGACAAAGACAGATAGACAGACAGACAAAGACAGATAGACAGACAAACAGATAGATACAGATAGATAGACAGACAGACAGACAGATATACAGATAGACAGACAGACAGACAGATATACAGATAGAGACAGACAGACAGACAGATATACAGATAGACAGACAGACAGACAGATATACAGATAGATAGAGAAAGACAGACAGACAGACAGATATACAGATAGACAGACAGACAGACAGATATATACGTAATTCTTGAGAGAACTTCAATGTGGCATTTTTTCTGCTAATTTTAGACCAAAATTTCTACTTATTTGCTGAGTTTAATGTATTGTAAAAAAAACCCAAAACCATAAAGTTTACATGTCATAACTTTCGCACAGACCACAACTTCTGTTTTTTTTCCCCAATATGTTAAACTCAGCGGTAGGTGTGTATGTTCTGTCACGTTACAGTCAGAGACCACCTTCTATTAAATTTCCAGTTAAAACAGCCATTAAGCAAAAAAACCCAACAACTCAAATGAAATATCCATGTTTTCAGTGTTCAGTGAGTCACTCTTCACCTTTATTCCAGCTTCCATTCTTTTCAGGAGACTCACTTTCAGTTGCTCAAAGAATCTGCAGACACACCTCCAAAGTTCAGTCTTAGAAGCTGGTTTGATCATTTTCTGAAGTAATCAAACCCATTCAGTGGTGTTGAGGTCTGGACTCTGGGGTGGTCAGTCCATTGTTCAACTTCTTTGTTTGATGTGTCTCCTTTTCTCAGTGAGGTTCTTCTTGACAGCTTCACATCCTTTCAGACCCACAGCGCTGAGTCGTCTTCTCACAGTGGAAGGATGGACAGAAACACCTGTGGATGTTTTCAGATCTGAAGCAGCTTGATTTTCTCCTCTCTCTCAAAGATGAAAGCTTTAAGTGCTGTTTATCTGATGCGGCAAGTGTTGCAGATGGTTGTTAGGAATCCCATTTTCTCCCAGTTTTTTCTGAACACTCCTTTCGCAAACTCCTGTTTTTCCCCAACTTATTTTCTTTTGACGCTGCCTTTACTTTGCAAGTTGATTATCTTATATCTAATCTCCTCAGAAATATCTCCTGAAAATGAATAACCTGTGCTTAATGGCTGTTTCACTGGAATTTATAAAATAGAGGTGTGCTTTGACTTTTGCACAGTACTGTAGCTCATCTGCTGCTGCACAGTTTGTGTTGGTCATCCTCTAGTCCTTCATCAGTGGTCACAGGACGCTGCCCACAGGACGCTGTTGGCTGGATATTTTTGGTTGGTGGACGATTCTCAGTCCAGCAGTGACACTGAGGTGTTTAAAAACTCCAGCAGCACTGCTGTGTCTGATCCACTCAAATAGTACCTGCTCTGTGAGGGTCCATGGGGGTCCTGACCACTGAAGAACAGGGTAAAAGGGGGCTAACAAAGTATGCAGAGAAACAGATGGACTACAGTCTGTAACTGTAGAACTACAAAGTGCACCTATATAGTAAGTGGAGCTGATAAGCGTAGAAACAAGGCTTTGGAGTTTATCATATAAATACTACATGCTATGCTACAGTGTATTCTGATTCAATTGGGGCATTAAACCAACTCAAGTATCCGTCTGCAAAGCTCGGTAAGCCAGTCTGTCAATGCACTCGAGAACCATTTTTTTACTCTAAATCCCTAAAAACAACTAAAAAACCTGGAGAACCGCACCGGCAGAGCAGTGTCGAACACCACCAGTTTGCAGCTGGTCGGAATGGCGTCATAGCAGCGGTGCTTCTTCATGAAGTTCAGGTAGGCCTCGGCTGCCGGGTCTGGCGCTTGTCCGGGAGATAAAAACAGAGGCACAGTTGGTCACCACACACTCTTAAAGGAACCCTTAGGTTTCCTCTGGTGCTATAAGGCTAACATAGCTAACACATAATGGAAGCTTATCGCTGCTGTGGGAGGAAAACCTCGTATCTCCACTTTTGTTGTTTTTCAGTTTTTTACATCATTTGAAAAAACCTGTTACTCTTTACATTGTGTGTAAATTTCATGAAGAATGGACCAAAAGAAACGACCCAAAACGACTTGGAAAAAACTCTGGTTCCATTGACTTACATTAGAAGGAAAGTAGCTTTTTTCCTTCTCCTGTAAAGTTACCGTTTTGGAGATACGAGGTTTTCTTCCAGCAACAGCGAAATGTTCCAGCGGTTAGCGCAGTTAGCACTGTGCAAACTGTGTATGAATCATTCTACTGAACTGGTTCAAAGTTGAAAACAAGTTCGGAACTTTTAATGGACTAAATTCTGCTTATTTTATTAAAATAAATGACTGGACATTTCATTTTGTCATTACCAAAACAATCACACTACTCAAACTTTACCAAATGTTTCGGTGGTGACTATTTTAGCTCACTTTGAGCTCAAACTCAAAAACAAGCCAGTACATGATTAGCAAACATGGCTTTGAACAGTTATACACACAGAAAATCATTATATTTTTCATTAAAACACAAAAAAGTTGACCTAATTGCAGAAAATGTGTTTCGGACGTTCCACACTGATTTTCAGACTTTGGGACACGTTTATTTCTTCAGAACAGTGGGATCTAACTGCTCACCATGTGGCCATGAGGGACAGGGATGAAGCCTCACTTCCTGCTCTAAAATACAAGGGGCGTGGTAAAATAAGGCTCCGCTCACATACTAAAAATCTGTTTCAGTAGTGACATTAAAACGTGGGACAACATTTTTTGAATTAGGTTTTTTGGTTAAATTTGAACTCATGATAAATCAAAACTTTCAACTTCACTTTAAGTCGTTTAATTTTATTTTTTAAAACACAAAAAAGTACTTGATTGCTAAAAGTATGTGTTTCAGTTGTGACAATTCCTAAATGTTCCACACTGATTTTCAGACTTTGGGATGCCTCCTCATTTCTTGCTCTAAAACGCAGGGGCGTGGCTAAAATAAGGCTCCGCCCATAGACTAAAACGCTTTGTGTTTCGGTAGTGACATCAAAACATAGGACAGCAATTTTTTTACTTAAAAATTCAACCCATGATAAATCTAAATCTTTCAACTTCACTTCAAAAGTCACTTTAAAAATCAAAAATATAATTTAAAAACTATTTTGAAAAAAAAAAATCTTTTTTTTTAAAACACAAAGTTTACTTCATTACAGAAAATGTGTTTCAGTAGTGACATTTCTTAGTGTTCCACACTGATTTTCAGACTTACTTTTTCCCCAACTTATTTCAAACTGGCCATCTTCGAATATATATATTTCAGCCACATATAAACACACATGTAACATATATATTTAACAATACAGAAGACATTCATATAAGCAAGGCATATAAAATATATACATCAAACAGTATATACACCAATCAGGCATAACATTATGACCAGCTCCTTGTTTCTACAATCATTGTCCATTTTATCAGCTCCACTTACTATATAGGTGCACTTTGTAGTTCTACAGTTACAGACTGTAGTCCATCTGTTTCTCTGTATACTTTGTTAGCCCCCTTTTACCCTGTTCTTCAGTGGTCAGGACGCCCCCATGGACCCTCACAGAGCAGGTACTATTTGGGTGATGGATCATTCTCAGCACTGTAGTAACACTGGCGTGGTGGTGGTGTGTTAGTGTGTGTTGTGCTGGTCTGAGTAGATCAGACACAGCAGCGCTGAAGAACAGGGTAAAAGGGGGCTAACAAAGTATGCAGAGAAACAGATGGATGAACTACAAAGTGCACCTATATAGTAAGTGGAGCTGATAAAATGGACAATGAGTGTAGAAACAGGGAGGTGGTCATAATGTTATGCCTGATTGGTGTATATGTGTGTATAAGGCCTTATACCATATTCCTGCATGGGAATGCTAACCAGACTGGACACAGAGAGAGACAGGATGACCACAGGGAAAGGCAGCGTTAGCAGACACCGACAGGTCAGCTGTGGACTGTGTGGTGTTAACCCACCTGTGTTACTGACCCCGTGGCCCTCAGGAGACACCGCCTGTCCGAGAAACAGCGTTAAGACAGAAGGCTAGTGCTGTGAGCGGATGTAAACAGGCTGCCTCGTTCGCTCTCCGTCACTCTCTGGACTCTTTCAGCCGCTCAGAAGGAGCCCTGAGGCGGCTGTGGGTCTTACCTGCTCTGCGGCCTCCATTCTGCGGAGAGAGGGAGGAGGAGGAGGAGGAGCAGGGGGCTGCAGAGTTTATTGAGGCGAAGTTGTTGGTCTGAGGGTGTGCGCGGGTGGTAGGGGGGTCTCGGAGAGCTCAAACTTCGAGGGTCTACACTCCGACAGCGCCGCTCTGTCGAACTGTCCCCGGTTCTGTAAACTCCGGAGGCCGCTCGCGCTGTAAAGATGACCGGTTTGACACCGACCGCTGGCATGCTGGAGGGTTCGGCAGGTTAAGTCCATATTTAGCCCGCGCCCTCAGGGAAATGCGACCCGAGGCAGGCCGCGTTCCAATCCGCGTCCTCGCGTCCTAACTAGGCCGCCTATCTAGTGCGCAGAGTTCTAGAACGCTTTAGACAAAGAAATTCGGAGTTCTAGAATGTTTTCCGTCATCTGAGACAATGGCTGTCACGGAAGCTCGTTTCCGTCACTGAGAAAATATACATAATATATCAATTCAGTAAATCATAATAATTATGACTTATAATCTAATAATAATGAGATACTATGTCATAATTATGACTTACTTTGTCATAATAATGAGGTCCTACAACTCATACAACTTATGATTATGACTCAGCATCTCACAGTTAAGACTTATCTCATAATTATGACTTAACATCTCATAATTATGACTTAGCATATCATAATTGTAACTTAACATCTTATAATTATGACAGTATATCATAATTATGACTTAGCATCTCATAATTGTGACTACTTTCTCATGACTTAGCGTCTCATAATTATGACTTAGCGCCTTAAAATGATGACTTTAGCATCTTATAATTATGACTTACTTTCTCATAATTATGACTTAGCACCTTATAATTATGACTTAGTGTCTCATAATTGTGACTTTCTTATGACTTAGCACCTTATAATTATGACTTAGCTTCTCATAATTATGACTTAGAATTTCATAATTGTGACTTACTTTCTTATGACTTAGTGTCTCAGAATTATGACTTACCACCTTATAATTATGACTTTAGCATCTTATGACTTAGCGTCTCATAATTATGACTTACTTTATCATAACTCTGACTTAGCGTTTCATAATTGTGACTTACTTTCTCATAATTATGACTTAGCATCTCATAATTGTGACTACTATCTCATGACTTAGGGTCTCATAATTATGACTTAGCACCTTAAAATTGACTTTAGCATCTTATAAGTATGACTTACTTTATCATAACTCTGACTTAGCATTTCATAATTGTGACTTACTTTCTCATAATTATGACTTACCGCCTTATAATTATGACTTAGCATCTCATAATTATGACTTGCTATATAGTAAGTATGGCTTACAATCTCATGACTAACTCTCCTCTTTTGTTGAAGTGGCAGAGACAGGCTGCCGTTGACTGTTGTAAAAGCACTACCTAAATCAAATTGAAGCGAGTTGAATTTCCCCCCATTCTCACTCAAGAACACTGAACACAGTTCATTTAGTATTCAGTATGTTTCTAAAGCTGAGTGACGTTAGAACTTTAGGCTGCACTCCAGTCTGTGTTCTAATGGTGTCTGAGGGAATACCAGCTTACCCACGTATGAATTTGGACACAAGCAGTCGACAAGTCGTATTTACAAGGGGGAAACTTGGTAAACTTGCCGGTGGTCCCTAAATCTGTGTACCACCGCCTGTTATGATGTATTAGCTTGTAACTGCTAGCTACATGTGTGTTGTTCCTTCTGTATTAGAGTCAATGGCAATAATATGATGTCAGATTTTATTTACATTTTATTTTACAACTCAATCTGTATGTTTGGCCACTAAAAGTACTTCAGAAATAAAGATTAGGAAAATTAAAAATGTGATTTCTCTTTGACTGAGGGAGTCTGGGGCACCTTTTGGTGGGCCTAATCAAATGTCCTTCAGGCCCCACTTTGGGCAGCCTTAAAGCCAACTGACCTTAGAAGTTTGTACAGTTACTTTTAGGGAGAAGATCCATCATTCTTATTAACAGAGGAGGGATTACCTGGGAATTTTAAGTTGTAGATACATATGTCAGTTTATTTCAGCAGCATACCAGAGACTCTCCACTAGCTACAGTAAATATGGGGCTAATTTCTGTAGAGACCCCTCAAAGACCCCTCAAAGAACAGAGAAGTGGATAAAGCAACTGGATGTGGCCCACAAGTGAGCCAGACACATTTTGCTAACTGGGTAACTAGCTGCTGTTTGTGTGTGTGTTTGCTTCATGAGCTTGCTTAGCTAAACCTTCATGGGTGCTTTAGCTTCTGACTGACTATCCTGTGTGAATGAGATGAACACTGTGAATTCGGTGTTAAACACACCAAAAAATAGACATTTTTCAAACTGTTCAGTGCTGGGGTTAGCAATAGTGTCAGTGTTCCCTGCTGAAGATCACTTATATTCCGTGATTTAAATAAAAAAGAGCCACACATGAATAAAACATTTGATGACAACCAGTGCTTTCCAACCAAATCCTTTATTTGTCACCTCTTTACACATTCAAAACAATGAGGCCATAAAGGTCTTAAACTCTACTTCAAAAACTCAAAAACGAGAAAGCGAACGAAGGTCGGCTGGACACTGATTCAAAAGTGTGTTCAGCAACCTTTACAGATGAGAACCTGTAATACAGCTTTCCTCAAGCCGACTTTAACATTCACCACAGCAACGCACTTCACTCAACTCCCTCCATTTTCAACCCTCAGCCATTTGATTTGGCTAATGAGCTGGACAGCTAGCTATTAGCTTCATCTGAAGGTCAAGCCTTTCCAACAGAGAAGAGGAAGGCTGCGACCAGAGGAGGACACTTGTTTGCTTCAAGGAATAGTCTGGAAAAGCTCAAACTTATGATAGCTAGCTCAAGCTAACCAGCTAATTTTCCCCTCTTACTCCAAAACAAAACAAATTTGCTTCCTTAGCTCAGCATTGGAGCTATGCAGCTAATGATGTGTTCGACGTAACCTGGAACTGGGAGCTCAAATTTATATATATATTTTTCTCAGTTTTGAACTGTTTGAGTTACAAAGTGGGAAAAACTCCATGTAAACTTGTACTGTTAGCAACGAGCTAGCAAGCCGAAGCTGAGGTGTACATTGTCTGCTCTGAAGCAAACTTCATTTAAAACTGGTACTTTATTACTATTGACTGAGTGAGCAGCCATTCTGATGTGGCATCATTCGCTGAATTCCCAATTTTCCGAGTAGGAATTCCCAGTTGAGCAGGTGTTTCTAGTTGGAGGTCGGAAATTCACCTTATAATTATGACTTTAGCATCTTATAATTATGACTCACTTTCTCATAATTATGACTTAGCATTTCATAATTGTGACTTACTTTCCTATGACGTAGCACCTTATAATTATGACTTTAGCATCTTATAATTATGACTTACTTTATCATAACTCTGACTTAGCGTTTCATAATTGTGACTTCCCAACTTTCCGAGAAGGAATTCCCAACTGAGCAGGTGTTTCTAGTTGGAGGTCGGAAATTCTGAGGTACGAGTTCTAGTCGAGTGCAGCACAATGTAGCTAACAGGCTTAGAGTTACCAATTAGCACCAAGCCTAAATACAACGTTAGCTCAGTCCGGTTAAATAAAAACAGACTATAAAAAGAATTAAAAGAACTCACAACCTATAAAAATGGTTCACTGCTTGTTAGCTGTATTAGCTCTAACGCAAAACTAGAGAAGCAAACTTCAGACACCAAGCATGTCTTGGCTGACTACATTTGGAGTAAGAGAAAAATACTGTAAAATTACAGGGGAAAATAAAGTAGATTGTGGGCCAAACTACTCGTTTATGTCCACGGTTTCCACATCGGTCCTTAGGCCCACCAGAAGGTCCATTTTTCCTTCATCTTCATGTGGTGCAAGTTGGGTTGGAGCAAAAATGTGGACCTTCTGGGAGGCCCTAAGGAATGATTTTAGAACCTCAGCAAGTTATCCAGCTCATTAGAAAAGCCATATTCACCCTTCCTCAGCCTCATCAGCAACTTAGCGGTAGTCCAGCCAGCCTGATAGAGCCATCCTGAAACTGAGCTTTCAATGCTTTGCGTGGTTTAACATCCACACACGGCTGTATTATCTTACTGACCGCAGCCGTGGTGGACGAAAAATCCTGCAGGAGAAATCAGAAAGTTCGCTAAAGTAGAAGAAGGTTAAAAAAAATAACAGTAACAGACTGCAGATGATTTAATGTTCAGTTTTTTGTAATAAAACAGAACAAAATAGAACAGTTGTATGAACCTATTACGTTCCTATTACCTTATGTTTGCTATAAAAATTAAAACAAAAACTAAACCTGAACCAATCCAGCAGTAGATGCTCGTTCACTGGCAATGGACAACATTACAATCCCCTCCTCAAGAGCATAACGTCCATAACAGAATCCACTCGCAAACCATTTCCAAACCAGAGTTACATACTTCAAGTTAAAACAACTAACAAACAAAAAAATTCCTCACTCGTCGTTTCCTGTGCTTGTGCGCACTTCTGTCAACATTTTAGGATGTGAAATATTCCTATATAAATGTGTTATATAAAAAAGGCAACACACCAAAATGGTTAAAATGCGCTGTTGTGGAAAAAGCTAACTTAAATCAGGGAGACAAAGTCAAGGTAGGATTCAAATGAAAGAAGATGCCAAGCAAAACTAACCTGTAAAAGCTCCCGAAACTTATTGCAAATGCACATCTGCATGGTGCAATAAACAATCACAGAGGCCAAGTTATAACGAATTTGGCACAAGAGCTAAACTGGCCTTTGGAGAGATTTTCCAATGAGATTAACGAAGGTTAATGCCTCGTTTAAGTTTTAAAAAGTTTTGTGAAGACCATAGCCTTCACTAACGTGGACACCTTACAGGTAGCTTCTTTACACCCACCAAACTTTTATCTCGTATTCAACCCATATAACTTATTTACAATTGCAGCTTCCTATCGGTATCCTTAGCCTATTGTAAGGGTTCCTAATCCTGGTATGTTAACGTCTTAGATGCCTGATCCAATGTATTAGCTTATAAATAAGCTCGTTCTAAGTCGAGTGGCTGAGTTCAAGCAAGAAAATATTCAAATGTGCAAGACAGGGGTACGACCACGACCACCGGCCAATCGCCGATGGGGCCTAAGTGCTTTTAAAGACTTTTAAAGACTTAACATTTACCAACAAACACCAACAACCCAATGTGGGCAGTTTATACTACCCTAGAATCTAGAACTTCAAAAGCCATGTGAATGAGGAAGAACATTCTTAACACTCCCGACAATCACATGCACATTTGCTGGTGTTTGTTGGAGAACGCTGGGTCGCTGTGCTCTGGGCATTAGAAGGTTTTAAGTATAGAAACCCCATAGAAAAACCAAGGGAGGTATTATAAATCAGGAGAGTCTAAAAGACAAGCTGGTATGATTCCGCGACCATGAGCAGGGGTTTGGCGGCCCATCTTTAAGCAGGTATGAGGAGCGCTGGGGATTTCCCAAAAGGCAGTGCGGTCTCGGGGGAACAAGGGCGTCTCTGGAGGGTGGCCACCGGGATTAAAGGACCCTCACTTAGCAGAGCAGGAGACAGCCACGGTGTAGCGAACCAGTTGTACCAGGACGAGTGATGGTTTGTGGAAACGTTACGAGCCCCGCACTGCGACGGGGAAAAAACGTCCAGGTGACCGTGACAGAAGAACAGGGGGTCGGTGCACTCCTGTGGGGAGGGGTCCGAAGAAGCGAGGGCCGAGAAGAGGGAACCGAACAGAGAGAACGCAGAGTTCTGAGGGAAGGTAGAGTGTGAGGACGGGCCATGGTGATGGTGGTGAAAATCCGGCGAGATGGGAACACGGGGTTTTTGGCTTTCGTTACCTAAGACACAGCAGTGACGATGGGGGGCTGTGGAGGGGGTGTGTGTTTGAAGGCTGGAGATACGTTCAGGGGGCTGGAGGAGGGCAGGGTTCATCACGTCGACCGGGACAAGAGGATAGCGGCTGGTGCTGAGCTGGTGCAGGACGGCTGAGGCTGCGATGAGTCCGGCCACGCTGGTCAAGTAGAGGAGACCCAGCATACATGTGACCTGCAGAAAGGGAGGAAAAGAAGGATCCGTTCAGCTCGACAATCACCTCCAACTATGTGATCTCATCTTTTCAAACGTCTACATTCTTGTTCTTTCTTTACCCATAACCTTTTACAGTTACAAACAAAGGACAAGTAGCCTAAACCTTCTTTCAGGATACAGTACCTAAAAAAAACAGGCAAATATACATAATTATATTTGATATATGTTAACTTATTAACAGCGTTGATCAAAATCTTAGACATTAAGTAAAAAAAATTTTTTTTGTTATCAAATTGCTATTTAACCTCCTTAAAGGTTTTAGATTAATCAATTAGGAGATTCTTTGTCCCTAGAGCCATTAGGCTCTTCAACCCTTCCCAGTGGGGCCAGAAGAGAAGAGGGAAGATGAGAGATGTGGACTGAATCCCTCATGCTAAATTACAGGTTTATTTTATCTGTCTGCACATATGAACACCTCACTGTACATATTGCACTTTCTGCACACCTTATCACGCATCTTACACATCTGGACACTTTATTTCAGTACCAATACATGCACATATTTATTCAGTATTGTCATTATATGCTGCTACCTGCGCCTCCTTGTACAGCCATCACTGCACTGCCTTTTTAATCTCAAGTTATAGATCTTATAGCAGATTTTTGTATATATGTCTGTAGACAGATTTTTTTGTGTATATTATTCTGTTTATATTGTATCACCCTTATTATTATAACAGTCCTGTGTTGTGTGACTGATACAGGCTGCTAAATTAAAAAAAAATTAAAGTATCTCTCTCTCTATCTATCTATTTCTCTATCTATCTTTACGTACTACTTAGTAACTAAAATGAACATTTCAGTAACTTATGTAAAGTGTATATAGCTATAAGAATGAAGAAAGGATGTCCAAACCCGCTGACACATCTTTAAAGTTCAAGTGTTTAACATCACACTAAATAAATTTCATTATAGACAACTCTGTTGAGATAACTGCAACATCACTATTAGTTTTTCCAATTTGAGTTCAATGCAGGGTATATCGGTGTTTATGGATGGACTGTTCTGCCTTTACCTTGGCAAAGTGCTGATAGATGGCCGTTAGCGCCTGCCTCCAGTTGGACTGCTCCAGAAGCACACACAGGTCTGTGTAAGTAAACCAGCCCCGCTTCATGCCCTGCCGTTCCGCAATGCTGTCAAAATGGGACGAATCACAGTGTTATCATCATGAGCAGGCACAACAGATTCATTCTCCAGTTCTCTGGGAAACACTCAATACATTTCAGTTTGATCAAATATGGATAATCAGCGCAATCAACAAACTATGCAGTGCTGACTGCTGATAGAGTTGGTTCAATCATCATAAGGATCTCAACAGTATCAGACTTGGGGAGGAAAAAAACAACACTGACCTGGTCTCAAGTTGGTTGAGTACATTAAATAACTCACTGGGCTCAGTGAACAGACTCCAATCCTGAAAAATAAAAGGTCAAAGCTTTGGACTAGGTGGGAAAGGAACGCACGATAGCTCTTAACAAGAAGCACCAACTGCAATGAAAAAATGGCAGAGCCAACATACATCCAGCAGGCTTATTATGGCTCTTTTGTGAATACGCCCCGAGTCAATGTCCCTGAACCATGCGACGTTATGCACGGTGGACTTACAATAGCACTGAGGAAATTCAACTCCAGGGTGTTGACAGTCTGCACGTCCAACTTGCCGGCTGCACCCCATTCGTCATTGAAAACCTCCTCTTCCTCTCCTTCGTCGTACAAATATTTGCTGGCCACCATCTGCAGAGAGAACACAAAGAAGCACTTCATGACTCAACTGAAAAAAAAACGCCAATACACAAAGTCCTAATATGCAAAATCTCTAGCAGTCCTAACATTTCAATTCCTGAATAGACAACTTTATCAGCATCCAGAAAGCATGCTTGCTCTAAAACGCAGGCTGCTCACTGGCTGTCTAAATTATATTCTGTTTGTATCTTAATCATGTCACACTAGCCAGCTTGATGCATCTTCAGTCCACTGAGGTCAATAAAAATACCCACTTTCCGCACCTCACAACCATAGACAGATAGATGCCCCCAAAACACAGCAAGAAGGACGAAACTAAAGTTGGCTTCTAATTTGCCAGCTTCTTGTTCGAGTTTTTCCGCTCCACTTTAAATAGTGTAGCAGTCACTTACTGGTACCTGAAGCTGCACCATTTAAGGTGGAACGGGAAAATTCGAACAAGATGCTGGCTGATGCACCATTTAAGGTGGAACGGGAAAATTCGAACAAGAAGCTGACTGATGCACCATTTAAGGTGGAACGGGAAAATTCGAACAAGAAGCTGACTGATGCACCATTTAAGGTGGAACGGGAAAATTCGAACAAGAAGCAGGCAAATAAGCTAGCCTCGGGTTTGTGTAAGAAAGTGCTAATATTAATCTATTGTTAATATCTACACGGATTAAGGAATACTATAACTTACCTACAAAGCATTAACCATCTTCTACATAGAGTTAAGATCCCCTGAATAGACTGTTAAATGAAATAAGCTTAATATAAAACCAGAGGAAAAACAATCACATCAACAGGTTCTCTGTGCCTCACCAACCACACGGCCATACATAAACATCACACAGACATGAGCGTGGATCGCTGTGTTCCCTCCGTTATATAATCCTATCCCTCTTTCTGAGAGCAATATTCTCGAAATAGTGTAATTTTGGACAATATTTTTCTTAAACTGCCCGCTCTGTAATGGTACTGAATGCAGTCCAGCAGCAATGTTCACGGCGGCGCCGTTCACGTGCCTGGCTGGACCCGATTGCAGCATCTAGGTATGCATAGCTATGCTCACAAGCCACACCCACTTCCGGTTTGTAATTCAGAAGAAGGTACTGAGAAAAAATAAAGCACCAGTATTGAAGCCAAAGATGGAAAAGTTTTGAAGGATATGCAGCCCCACTGAGAACAGCATTAACTTGTTCAGTACTTCTTGACTTTTCTCTCAAAAACACCTTCTTGGGGCGTCTTTTATTTGAAAGCTTACCATGGATATCAGAAAGAGGTCGGAGGAGGAGATCTGCTGCAGGTACTCTGGGTTTCTGTGTCGGAGCCTTTCAATGTAAACCAGGGCCAACATCATAGCGCACGGGGAGATGCATGCTTCTCTGAAATGGAAAAAGGTGTATTGTAGAGGCCAAATGCACAGCAGAGCAAGAATAGTGCACGGAAGCATTGGGAGGAAAAAAGAAGAGAAACTCACCTGGCTACATGTGCGGCATATTTCTTGTGGAGCTTCCGTATCGGGCTTGGGGCAGATTTCTGGAGCAGTTCAACGGCGATATCTATTGTGAAACGAAAGTAAACGAGCATTAGGTGTAAATCATCCTACATGCTTCACTAAACTGATGGCAACCAAACATCAAGTAGACCTACCAACATGGACCCGCGCCTTGATCCAAAACAACGTAAGCAAGCATGAGTAGAGCAGCACTCTCAAGTAAAAGTACTGATACTTTGGTGAAGTTGGCTACGTTCACATTACCAGGCTGAAGTGGCATGAATCAGATTTTTTGCCCTAACGTGACTCAGATCTGATGTTTTCAGGGCTGTGTGGACACACAAATCCGATTTTTTGCCCTAACGTGACTCAGATCTGACGTTTTCAGGGCTGTGTGGACACGCAAATCTGATCTGTTCGACGTGAGCCACTTTCATATGTGGTCCTAGATCGGATACGTATCCGGAAAAAAAAAAACGGATTTGAGCAAAAAATCGGATTTGAGCGATAAGGCTTGTAATGTGAACATAGCTTCAGAAAAAAGGCTTAATTGAAAAAAGGTCACGTCCAAAAACTCTACGAGGCGAGTTCCCTTGTAGAACTGCAGAGGAACTTCTTAACAGGCCTGTCACAGTTATTACAAAGTCACCTTACTGCAATTATATACACCACAGCAAGGGAATGAATGTATGCATTGAAACACATTGTGGGACTAAAGAAAACAAAAAAGTTTCAACTTCTAACTTGCTGCTCTAACATTCAGAGGGCACTGCTGAGTAAAGTTGGTTTATCTGTTGTAATGTTTTTTGCATGTATTGTTACAGTTTTTTACTTGTGTTTTCACTCTCTGCGATTGGTTTGGCTCTACACATGATTTTGTGGAACTGCAGACATTTGTGTGAGTGTGAACAACTGTGTGGTGTATCATTCTGACAGTACAACCAACCTTAGCTGATAAGCAAACACAGCAAGTAAGCAAGATGGCTAATAAGCCTATTTCACCACATTCAAAAACAAAGACGGTTAATCGTCAGCTAAAATTTCCTGATCCTAACAGGCCTATCACTTAGTTACATCCAGCATCTTTGAGCCAAGGAAGGTTATTTGTATCTTTTTTAAATCAATTTGGGGTAAAACACAGTGCCAAAACTCAAAGTGAGGGGTGGGAGTGACAGCAAAGCTGTCCAGGAAGTACAGCAAACAAAAGAGATCAAAATTAACCCCCAAAAAAAGGAAGTGAGAGTTAATGAACTAAAAGGAAACTGAATCAAAAGTAAAATCCTTCCTCACCACTTCATTAGAACTCAACGTGCTGCTTACAAACACTGAAGTTATTACAAATGAGCCAACATGTTGCTTGAGTAACGTTACATGAATGTGAGTGAACGTATCCAGTGAGACCACCGAGTAAAAGAATGCAGTCTAACATTAGAAACAGCCTAAAGGTCATGATGGGGTCACCACACCACGTAAAGAAACGTACAGAGCCCCTGAAGTCACACGGTGACTATTTTAATAAGGCGTGGCCATGAATTGATATATTGAGGCCACAGATTACTAGGCTGAGGCCACAAGTTAAGCTTCTCATAACTCGTGGCCTCAATATAGTAATTTAACAGTAAATTGTGGCCTCACTATAGTAATTTGTGGCCTCACTATAATAATTTGTGTCCTCAATACAGTAAACTGTGGCCTCACTATAATAAATTGTGTACTCATTAAAGCACCTTCTTTATATAATAATTTGTGATCTCAATATAGCACCTTGTGGCCTCATTACATTAATCTGTGGCCTCAATATAGTAACTTATTAATTTGTGGCCACGCCTTACTAAAAATAAATCACCATGCCACCTTAGGGGCCGTAAAAACGCAAATAAATAATATAAAAGCAACACAAATGCGTCTATATATCTAATATACATCTACAGTAATAACTTCACCCACCGGTGACAGGGCAGGACAGCGCGTCCAGAGAAGTGTCCGGATCAAGGCCGTAATACAGGCGCTTCCGGACTCGGTCTGCCAGCTGCTGATGTCCAGGGAGAAACTAAAATAGCGGAAAAAATCAAAATATGTTGTCCTCAGAGCAAAACAGCACAGTAAACAGTGCAGCCGACACACCTGCTGCTCGGTCAGCGCGTAAATCAGCCTGGGTGTCAGCAGGTTAGCACTGCTAGCTAACAAACCAACAAACAGCAGCGCTGAAGCGGGTTAAATGTGCTCGTTTACCTCCCGAGAATGTCTTAATAACGCACTAACTCCTTATCAGAACCGCTAATTCACAACAAAAACGACATTATTTCGTTTTCTGTGCCATTAAGGCCTTCAGCTACAGCGCGCTTAGCTTCGAGGCTGTCGTTAGCTTCCTATTCGCCAGCTTCCTATTTCAATTTATCCGTTCCACCTTAAATGGTTCAGCAGTTATATTGTGGCGCCTGAGGCGTCAGAGTGTAACTGCTGCACCATTTAAGGTGGACCGGAGAAATTCGAACAAGAAGCTGGGAATAGCTTAGCTAATAACTATAACAGACAGTTGGCGGGCTCGGCTGTATACCCCAGTACACTATTCAAACTGACACAGCTTGAAATGTGTTTATGTCGTTCATGATGAAGATATCGAGCTAACTAAACTGACAGAAACGGCTCTTTACCTCGGGCGGAGTATCGTTAACGTTATTAGGGAGTCGGCTAACGGGCTAACGCTAATGTTATTTAGCGCGATGCTAACTCGCGCTCGCTTTCGACAGCAAACATAAAATATCCTTTTCTGTACCGTAAACTCTTGAAAGTCGGAGAAGGGAAAGGTCCGCTCGTCAAAGAGATCCCCAAAATCCATGTTTTAGAGGTGAAAGGTGGAGTATAGAGAAGCAGAAGCCCCGGTGAGCATGTAGAAAGGCGTCTCCCCTCCGCTCACAGCCGCTAGAGGGACGGAGCTCAGGCTAAAGCTAAAGCTACAGCAGTCAGACCGGTCTGACCTGCGCCTCTGCTGGAAGAGCTCGAAACACACCGTTAATAACGGCCGTGTTAATGTACAGCAGTATTAATGTACAGCTGTGTTAATGTACAGCAGTGTTAATGTACAGCGGAGAGTAATGTACAGCTGTGTTAATGTACAGCGGAGAGTAATGTACAGCGTGTTAATGTACAGCGGGAGTAATGTACAGCTGTGTTAATGTACAGCTGTGTTAATGTACAGCAGTGTTAATGTACAGCGGAGAGTAATGTACAGCTGTGTTAATGTACAGCAGTGTTAATGTACAGCGGAGAGTAATGTACAGCTGTGTTAATGTACAGCGGAGAGTAATGTACAGCTGTGTTAATGTACAGCAGTGTTAATGTACAGCAGTGTTAATGTACAGCTGTGTTAATGTACAGCGGAGAGTAATGTACAGCAGTGTTAATGTACAGCAGGGTTAATGTACAGCTCTGTTAATGTACAGCAGTGTTAATGTACAGCGGTGAAAAGGTACAGCAGTGTTAATGTACAGCAGGGTTAATGTACAGAGGAGATTAATGTACAGCGGAGATTAATGTACAGCAGTGTTAATGTACAGCAGTGTTAATGTACAGTGGAGATTAATGTACAGCAGTGTTAATGTACAGCTGTGTTAATGTACAGAGGAGATTAATGTACAGCAGTGTTAATGTACAGCTGTGTTAATGCACAGCGGAGAGTAATGTACAGCAGTGTTAATGTACAGCAATGTTAATGTACAGCAGTGTTAATGTACAGCTGTGTTAATGTACAGCTGTGTTAATGTACAGCGGAGAGTAATGTACAGCTGTGTTAATGTACAGCAGTGTTAATGTACAGCAGAGAGTAAAGTACAGCAGGGTAATGTACAGCAGGGTTAATGTACAGCGGAGATTAATGTACAGCAGTGTTAATGTACAGCAGTGTTAATGTACAGCGGAGAGTAATGTACAGCAGTGTTAATGTACAGAGGAGATTAATGTACAGCGGAGATTAATGTACAGCTGTGTTAATGTACAGCAGTGTTAATGTACAGCGGAGAGTAATGTACAGCAGTGTTAATGTACAGCAGGGTTAATGTACAGCTGTGTTAATGTACAGCTGTGTTAATGTACAGCGGAGAGTAATGTACAGCAGTGTTAATGTACAGCAGTGTTAACGTACAGCAGAGAGTAATGTACAGCAGTGTTAATGTACAGCAGTGTTAACGTACAGCGGAGAGTAATGTACAGCAGTGTTAATGTACAGCGGAGATTAATGTACAGCAGTGTTAACGTACAGCAGAGAGTAATGTACAGCAGTGTTAATGTACAGCAGTGTTAATGTACAGCGGAGAGTAATGTACAGCAGTGTTAATGTACAGCGGAGAGTAATGTACAGCAGTGTTAATGTACAGCAGTGTTAATGTACAGCAGAGAGTAATGTACAGCAGAGATTAATGTACAGCAGTGTTAACGTACAGCGGAGAGTAATGTACAGCAGTGTTAATGTACAGCAGTGTTAATGTACAGCAGTGTTAATGTACAGCAGTGTTAACGTACAGCAGAGAGTAATGTACAGCAGTGTTAATGTACAGCAGTGTTAATGTACAGCGGAGAGTAATGTACAGCAGTGTTAATGTACAGCAGTGTTAATGTACAGCAGAGAGTAATGTACAGCAGTGTTAATGTACAGCAGTGTTAACGTACAGCGGAGAGTAATGTACAGCAGTGTTAATGTACAGCGGAGATTAATGTACAGCAGTGTTAATGTACAGCAGTGTTAACGTACAGCGGAGAGTAATGTACAGCAGTGTTAATGTACAGCGGAGATAATGTACAGTGTTAACGTACAGCAGAGAGTAATGTACAGCAGTGTTAATGTACAGCAGTGTTAATGTACAGCGGAGAGTAATGTACAGCAGTGTTAACGTACAGCGGAGAGTAATGTACAGCAGTGTTAATGCACAGCGGAGAGTAATGTACAGCAGTGTTAATGTACAGCAGTGTTAACGTACAGCAGAGAGTAATGTACAGCAGTGTTAATGTACAGCGGAGAGTAATGTACAGCAGTGTTAATGTACAGCGGAGATTAATGTACAGCAGTGTTAATGTACAGCAGTGTTAACGTACAGCAGAGAGTAATGTACAGCAGTGTTAATGTACAGCAGTGTTAATGTACAGCGGAGAGTAATGTACAGCAGTGTTAATGTACAGCAGTGTTAATGTACAGCAGAGAGTAATGTACAGCAGTGTTAATGTACAGCAGTGTTAACGTACAGCGGAGAGTAATGTACAGCAGTGTTAATGTACAGCGGAGATTAATGTACAGCAGTGTTAACGTACAGCAGAGAGTAATGTACAGCAGTGTTAATGTACAGCAGTGTTAACGTACAGCAGAGAGTAATGTACAGCAGTGTTAATGTACAGCGGAGAGTAATGTACAGCAGTGTTAATGTACAGCAGTGTTAACGTACAGCAGAGAGTAATGTACAGCAGTGTTAACGTACAGCGGAGAGTAATGTACAGCAGTGTTAATGTACAGCGGAGATTAATGTACAGCAGTGTTAACGTACAGCAGAGAGTAATGTACAGCAGTGTTAATGTACAGCGGAGAGTAATGTACAGCAGTGTTATTGTACAGCAGTGTTAATGTACAGCGGAGAGTAATGTACAGCAGTGTTAATGTACAGCAGTGTTAATGTACAGCAGTGTTAACGTACAGCAGAGAGTAATGTACAGCAGTGTTAATGTACAGCAGTGTTAATGTACAGTGGAGAGTAATATACAGCAGTGTTAATGTACAGCGGAGAGTAATGTACAGCAGTGTTAATGTACAGCAGTGTTAATGTACAGCAGTGTTAACGTACAGCAGAGAGTAATGTACAGCAGTGTTAATGTACAGCAGTGTTAACGTACAGCAGAGAGTAATGTACAGCAGTGTTAATGTACAGCAGTGTTAATGTACAGCGGAGAGTAATGTACAGCAGTGTTAATGTACAGCGGAGAATAATGTACAGCAGTGTTAATGTACAGCAGTGTTAATGTACAGCGGAGATTAATGTACAGCAGTGTTAATGTACAGCAGTGTTAATGTACAGCAGTGTTAACGTACAGCAGAGAGTAATGTACAGCAGTGTTAATGTACAGCAGTGTTAATGTACAGCAGAGAGTAATGTACAGCAGTGTTAATGTACAGCAGAGAGTAATGTACAGCAGTGTTAATGTACAGCAGAGAGTAATGTACAGCAGTGTTAATGTACAGCAGTGTTAATGTACAGCAGAGAGTAATGTACAGCAGTGTTAATGTACAGCGGAGAGTAATGTACAGCAGTGTTAATGTACAGCAGTGTTAATGTACAGCAGTGTTAACGTACAGCAGAGAGTAATGTACAGCAGTGTTAATGTACAGCAGTGTTAATGTACAGCAGTGTTAACGTACAGCAGTGTTAATGTACAGCAGTGTTAACGTACAGCGGAGAGTAATGTACAGCAGTGTTAATGTACAGCTGTGTTAATGTACAGCAGTGTTAATGTACAGCTGTGTTAATGTACAGCAGTGTTAATGTACAGCAGAGATTAATGTACAGCAGTGTTAATGTACAGCAGTGTTAACGTACAGCGGAGAGTAATGTACAGCAGTGTTAATGTACAGCAGTGTTAATGTACAGCAGTGTTAACGTACAGCGGAGAGTAATGTACAGCAGTGTTAATGTACAGCAGTGTTAATGTACAGCAGTGTTAATGTACCGCTGATGATCATTTCGACACAGAAGGGCTGATGATACCGGATAAAAGGCACTTTAAAAAGTGACAGTCAGCTGGAAATATTGTGAAACAATAACTCAAACTAATTTGAGGCCATGAGTTAATATACTAAAGCCACAAGTTCATATTGAAGTCATGAGTTCATATATTGAGGTCATGAATTATTATATTGAGGCCACAAATTAATATATTCAGGCCACATGTTAATATATTGAGGCCATGAGTTAATATATTGAGGCCATGAGTTAAAATATTGAGGCCACAAATTAATATATTAAAGCCACAAGTTAATATATTGAGGCCATGAGTTAAAAATTTGAGGCCACAAATCAATACATTGAGACCACAAGTTAATATGTTGAGGCCACAAGATAATATATTTGAACCACAAATTAATATATCAAGACTAAAAGTTAATATATTGAGGCCACAAATTAATACATTGAAGCCACAAGTTAATATGTTGAGGCCATGAGTTAAAATATTGAGGCCATAAATTAATACATTGAGGCCACAAATTAATGTATTGAGACCACAAATTAATATATTGAGGCCACGAGTTAATATGTTGAGGCCACAAATTAATATATTGAGACCACGAGTTAATATATTGAGGCCACAAATTAATATATTGATGCCACAAGTTAATATGTTGAGGCCACAAGTTAACATATTGAGGCCACAATTTAATATATTGAGACCATATGTTAATATATTGAAGCCACAAGTTAATATATTGAGATCACAAGTTAATATATTGAAACCACAAGTTAATATATTGAGATCACAAATTAATATAGTGAGACCATAAGTTAATATATTGAGGCCACAAATTAATATATTGAAGCCGCAAGTTAATATGTTGAGGCCACAAGTTAATATATTGAGGCCACAAGTTAATATATTGAGACCATACGTTAATATAGCCAAAGTTAATATTGAGACCATACGTTAATATATTGAAGCCACAAGTTAATATATTGAGACCATAAGTTAATATATTGAAGCCACAAGTTAATATATTGAGATCACAAGTTAATATATTGAAACCACAAGTTAATATATTGAGATCACAAATTAATATAGTGAGAGCGTGAGTTAATGTATTGGGACCATGAGTTAATATATTGAAGCCACAATGTTAATATACTGAGGCCATGAGTTGTTAGATTGAGCCCCCTTTCACCCTGTTCTTCAATGGTCAGGACCCCCCACACAGCAGGTACTATTTGGGTGGTGGATCATTCTCAGTACTGCAGTAACACTGACGTGGTGGTGGTGTGTTAGTGTGTGTTGCGCTTGTGTGAGTGGATCAGACATGTCATTTGACCAAAGGTGTTCACAAACTGCACTGTATGAGGATAAAATTACAAAAACTGGACATTTTTGCAAAGTAATATTCTTATTTCCTTTTTATTCCAAACAATATCTGCCTTTACATTTGTACACAACATAAACTTACACATACAGCATGGATATAACCACACTAAAAGGGAAAATACATTTTCAATATATATATAAAGAAATAAAAACTGAAAAGAGATGTGCTGGACCACAGCAGGCTGTTATTTCAGACAGGTCAGTGATTTCACTGCTTATTTCATCCCCAGAAAGCAGGTTACTGTCAGAATTACTAATATACTCCATTACAAATACATTCAACCTTTCACTGTGTCCTTGGCATCTCACTGTACAAACCCAAACTCACATTTTCCACTCAGGATGACCCGCTTTGTGTGGTCAGTTTCAAATTTCATTTCATTTTCAAAGTGCAAATGTTCCAGCCTTAACAGCTCTGGACGTTTTTCAACTTAACAGCATTCGCTTAGCCACGTTTCAGTGAAACACCACTGAGAAACACTGTGAAACCTGTCAGTTTAAACACGTCTGTAGTTCAAACAGCATCTGCATTCATCCTTCGGCACGTCGGCTCCCTCCTACTTTAAAAACATAGTCCAACAAAACACACTGATGAAAAATAGCTGCTAATAGAAACGATCGAGCCTTAAATAGACCTAAAGTAAGACTCATTCACACAAAATCAACATAGACATTCAAGCTACGTTCACATCACCAGGCTGAAGTAGCACAACTCCGATTTTTTGCCTTAATGTGACTCAGATCTGATGTTTTCAGAGCTGTGGACACACAAATCTGATTTTTTGCCCTAATGTGACTCAGATCTTGTTTTCAGGGCTGTGTGGACACACAAATCCGATTTTTTGCCCTAAGTTTACTCAGATCTGATGTTCTCAGTGCTGTGTGGACACACAAATCTGATTTTTTGGCCTAATGTGATTTAGATCTGATGATTCCTGGGCTGTGTGGACACACAAATCCAATTTTCTGGCCTAATGTGACTCAGATCTGATGTTTTCAGAGCTGTGTGGACACACAAATCTGATCTTTTCAAATCCGACCTGAGCCACTTTCATATGTGGTCCTAGATCGGATACGTACCCGATTCGTGGCTATGCGACCTTAATGTGACGCTCAGATCGGAATTCATGTGCTTTTTTTTCCACTGCGCGTGCACCATCATTCAGCGTTACCATGGCAGCAGCGCCGAACAGAAGTTAAAGCCTGTAAATGGTGAAAAAGCAACACCTCACCTTTTTCACCTTCGTCTCGCTCTAATAATGAAGCTGAGAGCTGATCAGAGTTAATGATCTTCAGTGAAGCTCGTTCTGCTCGTTAGTTTGTGCTGATGATGCTTGTGATTCATTCACGTGACGTTACTGAGTAGGATGTGGTCATGAGGGTCATTTCAGGACACCGGTTCGTCACATTAATGACAGATTTGAATCACTTACCTAAACGAGTGTGAACCATTGTGTCAGAGATCGGATCTGAGCAAAACATCAGATTTGAGCAACGAGGCTTGTAATGTGAACGTAGATTTACACACGCCCCTCAGACTCAGTCCTAAACAAATTTGCATTGAATTATATCAGAAGAAAAAAAGTTTAGCCCTGAACTCAAACTACTAAATCTACAGTACGGCTGCATGATATTTATTTGATGTGTTCATATTTGTTCTCCCTTTTAATAATAAGTGAATAAAGTCAGTTAAGCAAAAGTATCACAGGATATAAACTATTTCACACGGTGCACCTAACAGCCCTTATTCATCAAAGTTGCTTACGTTCCAGGAGATCGCGAGTTCGATCCCTGGTGATGCTACAGCCATCCGTGGCCAGGAGTCCAAGAGAGCACAACTGGCCTCGCTCTCTCTGAGTGGGTAGGATGGCCCCACCTCTACCCCCATCACTCAGTCAGCTTTAAATTAGAACATAACAGTTTATTAACCTGATTGATTTCCAGTTTACTAATTATCTATTATCGATAAGAATAAAATAAGAATTAAAATAGAAAATAATGATAATGCTAAGTATTTGTATGCATGACAGTACAGTACAAAGGTAGACAATCTTTTAAACAATCTACTATCTTTAAAAAAAAAAACAGATGTTTTGTTCATTTCACGTTTTATTCTTTCCAGTGGTTGTAATTTTGACACTATAAGGTTTGGTCAGCAGGGGGAGCTGTGCACTCACTGCTCCACCTGAAACTCCGTCTACGAACTCAGCAATTGGCTCACGAGCTCCTGAATCGTGTTGTTTTATTGGCTCCCTACTGAAACATCTGTATAAATTAGGGCTTCATGTAAATAATACGTAAATAAGATTATGGTGCTAAGCGGTGCTTGATTTCACGCACTGAAGCTGATTGCGCTCACCAGTGCGATGGTTTCACAAACTAGAGCAGTTCGTACGTCATTAAAGACGCTCTTTTTACGCAACTTTGATGAGTAAGGGACAATATGATTCTCTAATGTGATTCTAAACGCGGACCCTCGTCCCCAAATTACTGAAAAATAGGCAAAAAAAGTAAGAAAAAATAAACAAGATAAAATACAAACTGTACATTCAACCTGTCTAAGTGTTGCTCATATTGCTCACACAACTATACCAAGCGATATGTATACTGTAGTAGTGGAGTGGTTAACTTAAATACTCCAGTGTATTTCATCCTGATCTCTATCGACTCCATCTGTATTACAGGTTTGATTACCATGAGCAATAATTTTGATGTATTTCTCTGCACTCGAAAATCACAGATAACAGAAGCCGCCGGGCTGTTGATGAATTCCGTGCATAAACATTTGAAAAACATAACATTTTGTCTAAAAGCATCTGTGCATTTCTTAATTAAAAGTGTGAAGCTGTGTATAAAAGGACTAACTCTACTTTTTCCCCCTCAAAACAACAGAAACAAACATCAAAACAATAAAATTATACCTCATGTTTTAAGAACTGGCCTCATATCAAACCCACAGATATATCAAACTAAACATTAAGCACGATCGGTGCAAAATGAAACCCTTTGAAGCTTAACACCCGTCCTTAGTGTACGAAGGCTGTCAGTGACCCCTGTGGGCCGCAGAGGATGCTGGGGGCTGTAGCTTTTCAGGCTGTGTGTCTTTGGCTTCTGTGTCGGAGGCCGAATCGGAGTCCTGGGCCTGCTGTTGCCGGAGCCACATGTCAGAGTAAAGACCTCCCTTAGCCAGCAGCTCCTCGTGTCTGCAGCAGAGCCAGATGATGACATGTTAGTGACAGATCTACGAATCCTCAATTCTAAAAATAGCTGCTAATAAAAACAGAAAGCAGTGATCAGTAAATTCTGTTTGACCTGTATTACATAAAAAACAATACAAAAACATGATATTTCATGTTGTAGCTAGGATAGGAGGATGTTTACCACTGTATTATATCACCTTTCCTTAATAATAACTTCATAATGCACCACGTGATTTCAGTCCGAAACAGGCAGGCCAGTCATGTACCTGCACTCTCTGATTGCAGCCATGCTATTGCAACACACAGAATGTTTCTCAGTGTTAACGTGTTGAAATAAGCAGCACGTGTTGCTCCAAAATGTGAAATCGTTGCAATTGCCTTAGAGGGATTCTTAAAACATTGAGGTATAAGGCTCAATCCCATGTCTTTTTTTCCCCTACCCCTTGTTTTCGAGCATCTCCTTGCCCCTTGGAACTGAGTTACAAGGGGTAGCAGTTGAAATCTTCCCCTACGAAATGGGACCCTCAAATAAAAAGAGCACTGCTTCATTAACAGCTACTAGTGCTGCTCTGTAGGCGACCCTACCCTACCTTCAGTGATAGCAGAGGAGGGTAAAATTCAGCAACCTCAATGCTGGGCTTTAGTTATATTTAGGGCATCATGTGCCTTCGAAGAGGGGGGGGGCAATTATTTATTATCACCCACCCCTAATTCTTCAGTGATGTGAAGCTGAGGTCAGATATTCACCAGCTTCTTGTTCAAATTTTCCTGTTCCACCTTAAATGGAGCAGCAGTTACATTCTGGTGCTTCAGGCATCAGAACTGCTGGACTATTTAAGATGGAACGGAAAAGTTAGCTAGCTAGCTACCGAGACATTAGCATAGTATTAGTGGTTTTTTAATGCTTTTATGTAGAAAAAGACCATAATACACTGAAATGACATTAAACTAAGACAATATGATGGTTATTGTATTTTTTTAACGGAGAAAATTCTCACATTTGTGGGTTTCTTTGGTCTCTTGTTCAGCCATCTTGCCGTTTTTTCTTTTTTTCTCATAACACTCTGTTTGGAGGGCCATGTAGCCCTAACACTTCGCCCTCCCCCTCTATCTCAACAAAAATCGGGACACCCTACTCCTAGACGTGAATGCGCGAAATAGAGGGCTGAAGGCTAAGTGGTCAGGGCAAGGGGGTGTAATGGGATTGGGCCTAAGTCTTGACCCCTTCTTGCTCATAAAGGACAAGGCCATCCTTGGATGCTCATTTTATACCAAACATGATTTTATACCCATTTTTCTGAACGTTTCACAATGTTCCTAGACTTGTATTGCCCCAGTCCAAACTGGTGCTGGTATCTGCTGGTATCAGGCACGTCAGTGTCATTGCTAAATTGAGATAGGACCACCACCCAAAAACATCCAGCCAGGAGTGGCTATGTGGTCAGAAACTGACCACTGATGAAGAGCCAGACTAACAGATGAGCTACAACCTCTAACCGAACACCAGCAAGGTGGAGCTACAAGAGAGGGGTTTCTAATAAAGTGGCCACTAAGGGCGTATGGTCAGATTAGAGGAAATGCTTAGAAGGAAAAGCTGCACCTCACCTTCCTCTCTCCGCAATCTGTCCATCACGAATAACAAGGATCTGATCCGCTCCGATGATGGTTGACAACCTATGGCAGACAATGACGTTACTGACAAGTCTACGAAAGACAAACGTGTTCAGTATAAATGGACCCTGATCTGATATGTGTTGCGGATGGTTCACTCGTGCATCCTTTACCTGTGGGCCACCACAACGGTGGTCCTGTTGGTGCACACTTTAGCCAGTGAGGCCTGAATGTTGCGCTCTGTCTGGGTGTCCAGGGCAGAGGTGGCCTGAGGGGAAAAAAAATAAATAAATTGGAAATTAAAGCCGATGCCACACGAATTTGACAGGAAACACAAGTGAAGTGCTCACTTACCTCATCCAACAAGATGATCTGGGGGGCTTTGAGGATGGTGCGAGCGATGGCCACCCTCTGTTTCTCTCCTCCACTCAGCTTCAGACCCCTCTCGCCCACCTGGGTATCATAGCCTATAAAATGACAATTCAAACAACAAAGCTTTCAAACCTGAACTGATAGCAGCTCATTCCAGATTTCTACAATGTTCAGAACTTTGGTGGAATTAATCTACAACCCATTTCCAAAAAAGTTGAGACGCTGTGCAAAATGTAAATAAAACCAATGATATACAAATCATTTAAACTCTATATTTCATTGAAAATAGTACAAAGACAACAAATCAAATATTGAAAAATATATTTTGAATTTAATGCAAGTTCAAATGCCAGTATTCATGATGGTATAGGGGTGCATTAGTGCACATGGCATGGGTGACTGGCACATCTGTGCAGGCACTATTAATGCTGAATGATATATACATGTTTGGGCAACGTATGCTGCAATCCAGATGACATCTTTTTCAGGGAAGGCCTTGCTTATTTGCCAAACCACATTCTGCATGGATTACAACAGCATGGCTCCGTATTAAAAGAGTCCAGGTGCTACACTGACCTGCCTGCAGTCCAGACCTGTTACCACTGAAAACATTTGGCGCATTATGAAATACGATAAAGGAGACCCCGAACTGTTGAGCAGCTGAAATCCTGTATCAAACAAGAACAAGAAGGGCTCCCGAGTGGCGCAACCGTCTAAGCGTTGGCCCTATCATCAGGAGATCGTGAGTTCGATTCCTGGTGATGCTACAGCCATCCGTGGCCGGGAGTCCAAGAGAGCACAATTGGCCTCGCTCTCTCTGGGTGGGTAGGATGGCCCCTCCTTCTCCCCCCATCACTCAGCGCGATGCTAGTCAGCGCAGGCGTCTGTTAGCTGACATAACAGATCTGGCGGTTGGCGCTTTCCTCCGAGCGCGTTCGGCTGTCCAATGACGTTGCGTGAGCGGCAGTTCGAAAAGAAGCGGTGGTTGGCTTCACCGGTCTCGGAGGAAGCCTGTTTTAGCCTTCACCCTCTTAAGGTTGATAGCATCGTGTGATTGGGGGAGTCCTAACTAGCGGGTGGAATTGGAGACGACTAAATTGGGGAGATAATAATTGGGTAAAACAAAAAAAACCCACAAAAGAACAAGAAAACATTTCACTTTCAAAACTACAGCAGTGTCTCCTCAGTTCCCAAACACTTAGAGAGTGTTGTTAAAAGTAGAGGTGATGAAACACAGTGGTAAACATGCTCCCGTCCCAACTTTTTTGGAACGTGTTTTTGGCATCAAATTTAAAACGGGCATATATTTTTCAAAAAACAATACAATTTCTCAGTTTTAATATCTAATTTGTTGTCTTTGTACTGTTTTCAATGAAATATAGGGTTTAAATGATTTGCATACATTTTGCACAGCATCCCAACATTTTTTGCAAATGGGGTTGTAGATTTTACTCTCCGTTCATGTCGGTGCACAACTGAACATTGTAACAGGAATCCAGAGAAGTAAAGCTCTGTTCAGAACTGCCAAGTCCAAGTGGAGCTGCCTACCATCTGGGAAAGACAGAATTCGCTCATGAATGTCAGCAGCGATGGCCGCCTCCTCCACCTCCTGATCAGTGGCGGAGACTCGGCCGTAGCGGATGTTCTCGCGGATGTTGTCGTTGAACAGGACGGTGTCCTGAGGGACGACGCCGATGTGCGCCCGCAAAGAGTCCTGCTTCACCTGACGTAGACACAACACGTCCAAGCATGTCAAACAATTTAACATATAATATTCTCGGGTTTTGCGTGACGTCACACTGTACAGTCGCCGCCATTTTGAGGACCGAATCAGGGAGTAACTGCGCTGCGCGATCCCTTCAGTTCGCTGTGCTTTGTGAATGATTTATCTGCAAGACGTGACAGAAGCCGAGAGACAAGAGACACACAGACCTTTAATTCAGTGTTTTCACTCCAGGCTTGGAGCCCCTGCACTATATAGTTTAGTGTTTCTCTCTGCTGTTCACCTCGTTCAGCTCAAGACGGGATTCATTAGCTAATAATATCAGGCATTTTAACCAGGAAACCACAGTTATGCAGTGCAGGGGTTTCAGGACTGGAGCTGAACTCTGAACTAGCTGCTCTAGCAAACTTACAGAATCACGTCTGTTGAAACACGATGTCGTTTCCCGACCCACGACATTCAGTCTGATATTTAACGATTATGTTCCTCCATTTAAATCCTCATTTAAACCTCCAGAAACAGAGAGTAAAGTTATACCGGCTGTCTGCAGCTCCGTTAGGGGGCGACTGTTTATCTCTCGGCTGATAACATCAGCTAAAGTTATCTAAAGGCTGGCATTGATCACATCTGTGTTAATTAGATATTATACGTTTTTCTCCTCTTTATGCAACACCATGGGATCTTTTACCCACCCAGACGTGAAGAACCGGTGGGCTTCTGTGCTTCTGGAGAGACTCTCCAGAATAGGAAGAGGGGTTGTGTATGAAATATAAATGTCAGGAAAACACAAATTTGGTAGCTTTCCATCAGTTTAAGTGGGATCAGGAGTTCAGGGGAAACTGTATAAGGATTTCAGCCTATTTTATCGACTTGGTCAAGGCAACTTTTTTCTCTTCCAAAGTAAGGAGAGTAATTTTAGCCATCTTTCACCTCTAGTTACGTTCGTGTGGAGCAGCGAAGCCAGAAATTCAGTCCTCAATATGGTGGCCACCACAGAAAAATCACATGACTGAAACCCTGGGATAGAAATTCATAGCACATCTGCATTGCTGAAAACATTTCCCTGGTCTTCTAGAACATACTCAGTCCTTGGAGGTCTGGTACTGGCCAGTCCTTAAAAAATAGACCAGTCCAGTGTAAAAAGGGAAAACAATCTGGTAATCAGTTCAAGTCCTGAAGCAGAGTTTGGGGATTTTCCTGCTCAAAAAAACACCTGATTCAACTTATCGGTTCATTACCAGTTTAGTTGGTATGTTTGAGCAGGAAAAACACCAAACAGTTCTGGACGCTGGTCCTCCAGGACCAAAACTGACTCTTCAAAAGTGAAGAGGACGCATATTTGATGCCAAAGCTGTTATATAACGACTTCTAATATTCACGGCTTCTTGAACATGCCATTATTCTTACTGTTATCGTGCTAATTTACTTTTATGTCCAAGTGTTGAGTCTCAATAAGCACACTCTTACTGAGTTCTCACCTTGGCGATGTCTTGGCCATCAATGCGAATGCAGCCCCCTTGAACGTCATAGAAACGGAAGAGCAGGCGGATGATGGTGCTCTTCCCTGAGCCTGACTGGCCAACCTGAGGACATTCAGTGAGAGAAGAACCATGAAGAATTCATGAAAGAACAGTCAGAAACACCTACTTTGTGCTACCACTCACTGGCCACTTTATTAGAAACACCTACCTTGTGCTTCCACTCACTGGCCACTTTATCAGAAACACCTACCTTGTGTTTCCCCTCACTAGCCACTTTATTAGAAACACCTACCTTGTGCTTCCCCTCTTTATTAGACCCCCTCTTCTCTGTTCATCGTGAATGGTCCTGTCAACAGTGGTCCTGTGATCAGCTTCTGATCACAGGACCACTGTTGACCAGTGTGGTGCCCCATTCCCAGTACAGGAAGCGTTCAGTGTAACTGCTAGGTTGAGAGTGGTCCACCACCCAGCCAAGGGCGTCTCTGTTGACAGAAACTGACCACTGATGAAGGACTGGAGGATGAGTAAATCACCAGATGTGCTATGGTCTCTAACTGTACACCAGCAACGTGGAACTACGAGGCCAGAGGTTTCTAATAAAGTGGCTAATGAGTGCGCAGATTAGGAGAAACATTTAACAAAGATAACAGCCTCTATACAGTTTAATACATCTATACATAACTGACTAACTGGTAGGGGTGGGCAGTATAATGATAACTTGTCGTGATAAACTATGCAACTATACGCTTTTCTAAGTATGTCATTGCTACTTCTATTACACACTGCTATAACTTATTTATAACACAGCCAATCTTTATTGTAGTCATTAAAGTTAGTGAGTAATAAGCTTCAAAGTGTAATAATCCTGGGATTTAATGGGGTTAATCAAGTCTGGTGAAGTGACTGATGTTAATTTGCTGGCTAGTTTAATGCAGCAATCTTTTACTCACAAGTGCGACGGTCTGGCCTGGCAGGACGGTGAAAGAAATGTCCTTCAGAATCTCCTTCCTATGAGGATAAAAGTGCTGTAACTGAATATACAGCTTCAATAAAGAGTTTTAGAAATTAAATTAGCCAAAAAAAAGAAGCGAACCCTTCCGTGTAGCTGAAGAAGACATTCTCGAACTCAATCCTTCCTTGCTTGTAGACAAGATTTCCCGCATTGACATCATCCTTCACCTGATCAACAACACAGGGCGGAACAAACTATTAGCTTCATATTCTTATAGAGTTTAATGATAGATTTGTATTTTTGTGAAGGACGAAAAAAAAAGAACCTCCTGTTCTTCTGTGAAGAGCTGGAACATGTTCTCCATGTCAATAAAGGACCTCTGGATCACCCTGGAGGGAAAGAGGGATACTTGTTTCCTTGTCTTTCTCTTTTTTCTGATTGACACAACAGTAAAGCACAGTGCTGTGGCTGAACGCAGCGCTTACCTGTAGTACGTCCCAAACCAGTTGAGCGGCGTGTAAAGCTGGAGGATGTACGTGCCAAACAGGACATAATCTCCCACCTGCAGGTCGACAGTGAGTGAGTACAGTTATATATCTTTCATTAATTTCATCTGTAATTTATTACCGTATGATAGTGGGTGCAGCCGATTCGGCTGAAAATAAATGGGGTAATTTCGTAGCTGGACGACTCATCAACAAAGGGATAGTTAAGCCCACTATACTACTACAACTGCATAACTATACATTCTATAAATGCACTCACTGGCCACTTTATTAGAAAACACTTACCTTATACATTCACTAACTGGCCACTTTATTAGAAACACCCACCTTATACATTCACTAACTGGCCACTTTATTAGAAACACCCACCTTATACATTCACTAACTGGCCACTTTATTAGAAAACACTTACCTTATACATTCACTAACTGGCCACTTTATTAGAAACACCCACCTTATACATTCACTCACTGGCCACTTTATTAGAAACCCCTACCCTGCACTTCCACTCACTGGCCACCTTATTAGAAATACCTACCTTGTACTTCCACTCACTGGCCACTTTATTAGAAACACCAACCTTGTGCTTCCACTCACTGGCCACTTTATTAGAAACCCCTACATTGTACTTCCCCTCTTTATTAGACCCCCTCTTCTCTATTCATCGCTGTTTAGCTTCTGATCACAGGACCACTGTTGACCAGTGTGCTGCACCATTATCAGCATAGGATGTGTTCAGTGTAACCGCTAGGTTGAGAGTGGTCCGCAACCCAGCCAAGGGCGTCTCTTGTGTACAGAAACTGACCACTGATGAAGGACTAGAGGATGACTAGTCCTTCATCAGTGGAACTATGAGGCCAGGGGTTTCTAATAAAGTGGCTAATGAGTGCGTACTAGGAGAAACGCTAAAGCAGAGACATGAAGGACATACAATCTCACTCTAGATTTATAAATGATAAAAATGTACTTAATATCTCCTCTTTACCTGGAGCTGCACGACAAATGAATGAAACAAAGCAGAACATAAAAACCAAGAGAAATCAATTACAGACTATAAATAAATAAATAAATTAATAAATAAATAAATAAATAAGGCCAATATTCAACAATTTTCTTGTATTTTTTCACTGAGGTCTCTTCAGCCGCTCTTTATCCTAAGAATTAAACAGGCTTTAAGGCTTTGAAGTTGATATATGTAAATGAGCTCTATTATGACTGGCTGTCCTCCATTGTGGGTCATTCAAAAAGCAGTCTGCGCTCACCCCTTATAACTTCACTGTGAGGGGAGGGCTAAGCTGCTGTAGGCTGAATAGGCAGGCACATGTAAATGTCTGAACGGACTGGAGAGTGAACAGTACTTATTGAAATTTTAACAATGACTACATTACTACCCAGAACCTAATGGTCTTCTATGATATGGGCCCTTTAAACACCCTTTTAAAAGCTTTGTCTGAGAAATGATGAGTACCTCGAATTTGCCTTCTGTGACAAAATAAGCACAGAGCAGTGAGCCGGCCAGCAGGCCTGAGCCGATGATCAGATTCTGCGTCTGGTTTAATAGAGCCAGCGAGGCGTTGGTCTTCCACTCCAACACCTGAGCAAACAGAGGAAAAAAGCAGCACGTGAGTGTGTAAAACTACAACTAAGACATACGGATGAGATTAGTTTTACATACGGATGAGATTAGTTTTACATGAGGACGGGATGAGGTTTACATGAGGATAGGATTACTTTTATATGGCGACAGTATTAGTTTTACACAGGGACAGGATTAGTTTTACACAGGGACAGGATTAGTTTTACACGGGGACAGGATTACTTTCACATGGCGACAGTATTAGTTTTACACAGGGACAGGATTAGTTTTACACGGGGACAGGATTACTTTCACATGGCGACAGTATTAGTTTTACACAGGGACAGGATTAGTTTTACACAGGGACAGGATTAGTTTTACACAGGGACAGGATTACTTTCACATGGCGACAGTATTAGTTTTACACAGGGACAGGATTAGTTTTACACAGGGACAGGATTAGTTTTACACAGGGACAGGATTACTTTCACATGGCGACAGTATTAGTTTTACACAGGGACAGGATTAGTTTTACACGGGGACAGGATTACTTTCACATGGTGACAGTATTAGTTTTACACAGGGACAGGATTAGTTTTACACAGAGACAAGATTAGTTTTACGTGGGGACAGTATTAGTTTTATGTGGGGACAGGATTAGTTTTACATGGGGACAGTATTAGTTTTACGTGGGGACAGTATTAGTTTTACGTGGGGACAGTATTAGTTTTACGTGGGGACAGTATTAGTTTTATGTGGGGACAGTATACAGTCTGACAGGAGAATGTAAACTGCAATAACTCCTTTTCCATATGATGGAATATTTACCAGCCTATCAATTTGCACAGAATTAACATGAAGTGCATTATTTCTACAGTTTTTTAATATTAGGTCAAATTTGCTAGAACACCCGTGGGAGCATGCAGTCTGTAAAAATGACTGATATGGCGGAATCAGACGGGACTAAAATCCAATCTGCTTATAACTGAGCAGAGACCCACGGCGTTCCCACCTGCCAAAACAGGCCAAACTAAAATGTCTGATTAGTCTGCAACAAACAGGTAGCAGTGAAAATGAAAACATGGTAAAAAAATTGCTTAATAATCTCAATAATTTAGTGTTTATATACGGATCTCATGCTGTGTTACCTGGTACTTGAGGATGGCTTCCTCAAAGCGGCTCACTTCATAACTCTCTGCGTTGTAGTATTTCACCTGTTCATAACAGCACAATGACACATTAGACATCAACCTACAATGTCTGGAATATCAAACATGAATCATGATCCATCTGTTTACAAGATATATTTGGTGTCTGACGAGGCTAATGTAGCTCAGAAATGGAAGTCTATGGTACCGAAAACTTTATGACAACAGCAAAAACTAAAAAAAGCAGCAAACTTCTTGGGTAACCATTCATTTAATAAAGCTACTTCGGCTATGTATCCGATCTAGGACCACATATGAAAGGCTACGTTCACATTACCAGGTTGAAGTGGCACAAATCGGATTTTTTGCCCTAATGTGACTCATATCTGATGTCTTCAGAGCTGTGTGGACATGCAAATCTGATCTTTTCAAATTCGACCTGAGCCACTTTAGCTACATTCACATTACAAGCCTCGTTGCTCAAATCCGATTTTGTGCTCAAATCCAATCTCTCTGACTCAATGGTCCACACTCGTTTAGGTAAGTGACTCAAAACTGTCATTAATGTGACGAACCGGCGTCCTGAAATGACCCTCATGAGCACATTCTACTCAGTAACGTCACGTGAATGAATCACGTGCATCATCAGCACAAACTAACGAGCAGAACGAGCTTCGCTGAAGATAATTAACTTTGATCAGCTCTCAGCTTCATTATTTGAGCGAGACGAAGGAGAAAAAGGTGAGATGAGCTGCTTTTCCACCGTTTACAGGCTTTAACGTCTGTTCGGCGCTGCTGCCATGGTAACGCTGAATGATGGCGCACGCACAGTGGAAAAAAACACATGAATTCTGATCTGAGCGTCACATTAAGGTCGCATAGCCACGAGTCAGATACGTATCCGATCTAGGACCACATATGAAAGTGGCTCAGATTCAGATTAGAAAAGATCAGATTTGCGTGTCCACACAGCTCTGAAAACATCAGATCTGAGTAACATTAGGCCAATAAATTGGATTTGTGCCACTTCAGCCTGGTAATGTGAACGTAGCCTTTCATATGTGGTCCTAGATCAGATATGTATCCGATCTAGGACCACATACGAAGGTGGCTTACGTGTCGAATTTGAAAAGATCAGATTTGCGTGTTCACACAGCTCTGAAAACATCAGATCTGAGTCACATTAGGGCAAAAAATCGGATTTGTGCCACTTCAACCTGGCAATGTGAATGTAGCCTTTCATATGTAGTCCTAGATCGGATACATATCTGATTTGTGAGTCACATTAGGTCAATAAATCGGATTTGTGCCACTTCAGTCTGGTAATGTGAACGTAGCCTTTCATATGTGGTCCTAGATCGGATATGTATCTGATCTAGGACCACATATGAAGGTGGCTCAGGTGTCGAATTTGAAAAGATCAGATTTGCGTGTTCACACAGCTCTGAAAACATCAGATCTGAGTCACATTAGGGCAAAAAATCCGATTTGTGCCACTTCAACCTGGTAACGTGAATGTACCCTTTCATATGTGGTCCTAGATCGGATACGTACCCGATTCGTGGCCGTGCGACCTTAATGTGACGCTCAGATTGGAATTCATGTGCTTTTTTTCCACTGCGCCATCATTCAGCGTTACCATGGCAGCAGCACCGAACAGAAGTTAAAGCCTGTAAACGGTGGAAAAGCAGCTCATCTCACCTTTTTCTCCTTCGTCTCGCTCTAATAATGAAGCTGAGAGCTGATCAGAGTTAATGATCTTCTCAGCGAAGCTCGTTCTGCTCGTTAGTTTGTGCTGATGATGCACGCGATTCATTCACGTGACATTATTGAGCAGGATCTGGTCATGCGGGTCATTTCAGGATGCCAGTTCGTTCAGATTAATGCCAGATTTGAATCACTTTCTTAAATGAGTGTGAACAGAGTGTCAGAGAGATCGGATTTGAGCAAAAAATTGGATTTGAGAAATGAGGCTTGTAATGTGAACGTAGCCCTTGACAAGCCCTGTTATACTCCACCCACCATTACATGCTGAGAGACACTGAGTCTTTCACCACATCTGGCTTACTTGCTTCTATCTGTGCCAAACAGGACGATCATTAACTGCAACCTTTCGGTCATGAACTTCGTGAACTCTTCGGAACCGCTGTTGTAACACTACCACTTTTCTGAATGGATCACACTGTGGAAAATCTAGAATAAATGCCGGATTGTTAGCAGGCCAACCTGCATCTACCTGGCTTAGTTTCAGCTTTAATCAGGTCCAGCTGTTAAGAGAGCTTAGAGTCAGGTGGGCTAGATTAGGCGTGGGTTACTGCTGAGCTCAAACGTGAATTATACTGTACCGTCTCAAAGTTCAGCAGGGAGTCCACTGCTTTGGCTTTGGCGTTGTTGTCGTGAGTGTTCATATCCCGCCTGTACTTGGTCCTCCATTCAGTGATGATGATGGTGAGAGCTTACAGAGAAAAACAGACAACAAAGTCAATCCAGCGGTTCTTAGTGTTGTATCTGTTCTTGCACAAACAGCATGAATTTGTCTGCATTTTGAGTCTATTAGAGACTCTATTAGAGTCTATTAGTCTAATACAGATTATTTAAAATCCTGGGAAAACCTAAATCCATGCAAATCCAATCTTGCTCTTGTGGGCTCAGAGTATGCATGGACAAAGAATGCCCTACAAACGACCTTCCAATGCCCACTGACTGGCCAGATTTTTCCCAATGTTTCCCTCTCGATGTAAACTGGTCAGACTTAGTGTTGGGAAGCGCTTGGATGAGCAGCATCCTCACCAATCACAGAGCTGGAGTGGTCTGTCCCGCCCACATGGCTTTAACAAAACTGGGGTAGTAACCACTGCTTAGCAACCACCTAGGACGCCATAGCAACCGCCTAGCAACTACTTACCAACGACCTAGGACACCATAGCAACCGCCTAAGACACCATAGCAACCGTCTAGCAACTGCTTAAAACCATAAAGGTGTCGGGACCAAGGGCTATAGCAGCCACCTAGCAACTGCTTAGCAACCACAAAGGACACCAGAGCAACCGCCTAGGACACCATAGCAGCCTCCTGGCAACTGCTTAGCAACCATGAAGGACACTTTATCAACCACCTAGTAACTGCTAAGCAACCACAAAGGACACCAGAGCAACCACCTAAGACACCATAGCAACCGCCTGGCAACCACAAAGGACAGAGCAACCACCTAGCAACCACCTAGCAACTGCTTAGCAACTGCTTAGCAACTGCCTAAGACACCATAGCAACCGGCTAGGAACTGCTTACCAACCATGAAGGTGTCGGGACCAAGGGCTATAGCAACCATGCTTATTAGAATATTAGGCCACGCCCAGCCAGTTCTCAGGTCTGATGAACGATTTCTAAGCCATTACATTTTGAGCTCGTCTTTTTTATTCAGACTGAATTTCAGTATCATACAAAAGTTCCCTGAGACTCTAATGACTCAACATGATTTGAGGGAAGTGTGTGATGGTTTTGTTATGCAGTTAGCACGATGCTAACTGGTAGCTTCCATTACTTGTTAGCCAGCCTTGTATACATGTACTGACTAACTGACTTCATTGAACTATATTTTGTCAATGTTTAAATAAAGCTAAAGCAAAGACAGTAAAAAGGAGTCAGTAATACAGCTATCAAGTTTAACCATTAATAGTTTAATCAATACAATACCACCGGTTTCTATGCTACAAGGGTAAAGGAGAAGGAGGTGTGGCGCTCAGGGCAGGTACTCACTGAGGTAAAGGGCCATGCAGATGAAGACGATGAGGCCGAACCAGGCGTTGAAGTAGGAGATGAAGTAGATGATGGCTATGACGATGTCGGCGATGGTGGGGAAGATGCTGAACACGATGTAGCTGCAAACCAAGAGAATCACGAATAAATACACAGTCCAGGATCTAAAAATGACCTTTTTTCTTCTAAGGTATCATATTGTTTTGTTTAAGAAGAGGAACAATGACAGAAACTTCTTCCTGATGCAGGTTTGGAATCACAGTTTGCAGTAACACATACATATTTACAGTGATGCTGATACGATGCGAACACTGTACAGCTTCACATAATTAGCAGGAAGCTGCAAAATGTGTCCAGAGCTGAAGACGATTCTAAAATGACAGATATACATGGAAAATATCAGATATCACTCCAAAATTTACACATCAGCGCAACCCCAATTCTTTTTATACAACAGTTAGTTCCGTCCATGCAAGCTGACTGGTTGAGAAGCGTTCTAACCGCTTTTTCACAAACACTGTATCACTCCGCTGAGACGCCGTTGCTAAGCAACGACTTTGACAGCTGTAGGAGACGCTCAAGACATTTGAACGTTTTTACTTCTTACTTTGCCACAAACAGAAAATGGACACTTTTAAGATCACATTTGACCGACGGCTGATTTGGTCAGACTCTGAAGATGAGACGACACTAAATTCCCAAACTGTCATCACCACTGAGCAGCTTTTCAGTCGGCAGCTGTGACAGAAGAACAGCTAAACAACCTGGAATCAGCCAGAAATGAACCCAATACCATTCGCCAAACGTGTAGTCTGATCTTCAGAGTCTGACCAAATCAGACTGAGCCATAAAACTGCTGCAATATCAGGTTTAGCTCAGTTTTGTCCAGATCAGTATTAATGTTGTTTTGTTCCAGCCAGTCTGTAAAGCATCTTACAGCCCATTTAGTTTGGTGTAAGGTATTGGGTTAATTTCTGGCTGATTCCAGGTTGTTTAGCTGTTCTTCTGTCACAGCTGCCGACTGAAAAGCTGCTCAGTGGTGATGACAGTTTGGGAATTTAGTGTAAGGAGCTGGAGAACGAACTGCCGGCTGTGCAGCGAGTGGGCGGAGCTCGTTACTCTGACGTAGCAACAAGCTGCTTGTTAAGGAACTATAATTTGGCGGAAGGAACTGCGAACATTAAACCATATTAAACGCCGCGTTCACAGCCCAGTTTATTAATTTATTACTTTATTTATTTAACTGGTGTATAAAAGCAATAGAACACAAGAGGGAGTGTGTTATGGCCAATAACATCATGGCTGTGATGATCTACGGTGACCAAATCACAGCCGTGATGGTATTTCGCGATAACACACTCCCTCTCGTTCTATTGCTTAAGCACACAATGACCAATCAATGAATGCACGTTTTGCTAATCGCAGCTCCACAAGTATCTCCACAAGCTGCTAATACTCCGGCAGGCTGTGCTGCAGCCGCTGTGTAGCAGAGCTGTAGCTGTATTCGGAGTGAAGCTGGCCGACCTGAGGAGGCTGTCGATGGACGAGGTTCCGCGGTCGATGCTGCGGATGACCTCGCCGGTGCGGCGGCCAAGGTGCCAGCGCAGAGAGAGCGCGTGCAGGTGGGCAAACAGGCGCACCTGCACCACACGACTGGTGTACTGCTGCACACGGATCCACAGGAAGGAGCGCATGTTACTGATGAAGCCGGAGGAGCCTGAGAGAGAGAGAGGGAGAGAGACAGAGAGAGAGAGGGGGGAGAGAGAGAGATATTAGAATAAAACCAGAATAAGAAAAAGTGATGGAAGAAACGGTTGATGGTGGTTTTGATTTATATTTCAATGATTTTTAATGGTTCTGGTTTAGCTTTGGTTTATGTTTGGAAATGAACTTTTTTCTCAATGTTCTGACCTCTTGTCCACATGAACACAGCATTTTTGGTAGACATTTCTTGAAAATTAAAATTTCAATTTATTTTACTTAAATTTAGTTAATTAGTAATCAAGTATCTAGTTTGTTTTATTAATTTAGTAATAATTTATTTAAGTTTTTAGTATTAGCAACTAAGTAATTAGTAATTAAGTAATAATTTAGTAATTACATTTTTGAAAATGTAATTAATTTATTGCATTTTTTATTTATTTTGTTTCAATGTAGTTAATTAGTAATTATTATATTTTTTAAATTAAGTAATTCAGCAATAAATTCAGTAAATATTTTTTAGTATTAGTAATTAATTTATTAGTAATTAAATAATTTAGTAATAATTTAGTAATTCAGTTCTTTGAAAATGTAATTCTCAATGTATTTATTTCAATTTCTTTTATTTCAATTCAGATAATTAGTAATTATTTAGTATAAATATTAAAAATTAAGTAAGTAATTACTTCATTAAGTAATTAAGTAACAACTTTAGTAAATACTTTTTTAGTTTTAGTAATTAAGTAATTTAGTAATAAATTAATGAAGTTTTTTCCTCTATGTTCTGACCTCTTGTCTATGGTTTTTGAAAACATCTAATTCCTGAAATCAGACCGTTAGGCTGCGCGTGTCTGTCAGGTGATAGGGTGATGTCGATCATCAATGATTTACAAGTGACCCCATGACCCCATTATGCCTAAAAGGTGATAATCAGTGTGTTAGGAAACTGACAGGGAACGAGAGAAGACTAAATTCCCTTCAAACAGCCTGGTAAATATACACTTTTACCAGTCTGCAAGGCACAAAGCTCAAAGTTTCCTCCGGAGAGAAACTCTTTCCCACAGAAACCACTTTTCTCAGCTGCCTGAAACGCCTCGTCGTAATTCCAGCCCTTTTCCTTTGTTACACGATGACATCTTCTCGTAACACAGTACTTACTGCCTGCCTACCGACAAGCTTGGCCCCCTCACACAGCACACAGCGGCTACTGGAGGAGGAGGAGTGTATTCAGTGTTGTATCCATGTGGACATGCTGACTGGACTTTCAGGATCTAGTCTGGATCAAACTGATCCGGCAGAACCGATGCCGCTGGAGAATCAGCCACAGCGGAGTTTACAGCTGCTCAGGAGGGAAGGGTCTGTCTGTAGACTGCAAGACAGGGGCGGAACGTGGAAGGGCGGAACCGCTCTGATTGTTGAACAATCAGAACAGAGTGGGCGAGCTGACCAATCAGAGCACACTGGGCTCATAGGGAAGCAGGGCTTAAAGACACAGAAGCTCTAAAAGAGCATTTCAGACAGTGGGTGAATAGAATAATGTGTTTTTGGAATACTGAAGCATGTAAAACTGTTCTAGACCACAAAAATAAAATTACAAACACTGAAAATGAACAAAACAGGTTCTCTTTAAATTATGAAAATTGTGAAAATTTAAGACATCGTTTTCTATATTCAGCTGAATTCCCGAGTGACTCCACTGTTACGATGGAATCGCTTCGTTTTTTTAATGTGTAAAGCACGTGGGCGTGGCTTAGGAAGTCACTTGCAATGTGAAGCTTGTCCATCAGGGAGCACTATAAGCATGAAAGTTGCCATAATCTACACCAGAAGGAGCTCATGAATGCACGTTTGCAGTAACATATATTAAAACAAGTAGTTTTCAAAAAATGTTGGTTTATAAATTTTCACCTCAGACACCAAACATGTCTTGGCTGATCGACTGCATTTAGGGGAAAATTTAGATTTTTTTGCCAAAAAATTCTTTTAATTGCCTCCGGCAAACGTTGATCTCTCAAAAAACATCACACACACTTACCAGCTCCACCACCTTGCAGGAACTTCAGCAGGACGTAGACACACACCGTAGTGGCCACGGTTTTCCAGGCAGTTCCACCTGTGAGCTGGTTCACTGCACACAAGAGCACAAGTGTGGCCTTTTCATAACTCCCTTCAATAACACCACACAAACACCTGGCTCTTCAGTATTACACAGAGCTGAAAGATGAATTGTTTTTATATCGAAATTTGAAAGATGCAATTTTGCAAACTGCAAGAGCTGCAAGTTTTAAATGGAAAACAATAAACTAATAACACAGAGCTTGTGAGCTGCCTGTAGATCAGTTAGACCAATCAGAAGCAACAAAACACATATTCTGTATATGTGACATCACAACCATCACAGCTAACTGGTAGTCTGATCATTTAGCGTTCAAGCTTCATGTCAGAAAAAGTGGATATTCTTGTCTTCTTGGGCAAAAAAATTAATAAAATTAAATAAAAAATCAAGAATGGAAATTAATTTATAGAAATTTACTGCATTTAAATTGCAATTGCAATACTGGTCAGAAAAAATTGCAATTCGATATTTTCCCCAAAATCGTTCAGCCCTAGTATTACGCTCAGTGGAGCAGACTGAAGCTCAGTCCTTAAGTACTGATACACTTTGGTGATGAGTTTGAAATCACTATTCAAATGACTGGAATCACCGTTTTCAATAAAATAAACCCAATTTTCCCGCAGACGCAAACGTATGAAAAGGGCTGTCAAAATGTTTGCTTTAATAGCATGTTAACATGCTTATTAACCCGAATTATTATTGTTCCCACAAATACGGAAGTCTGGAGAGGCCATGAGCTGTTGCAATAATTTTCTGGATTGTTATCTTGAGATAACAAGATAAGTAACTCGTTATTTTGAGATAACAATTCTGAGATCGCAAGATAAATAACTCATTATTGTGAGATAACTTTTGTTATCTTGAGATAACAACTTTTGTTTTCTTAAGATAACAAGATAAGTAACTCGTTATTTCAAGATAACAACTGTTATCTTGAGATCACAAGATAATTAACTCGTTATTTCAAAATAATAATCCAGAAAATTATAACTACCTCATGGCCTACCTCTGGACTTCCGTACACAAATTATTAATGCCACCAACTGTTTTAGCTCTGTTAACACGTCTTCCTAGTTTTACCCTTCAAACCATTCATAGTAGCCCAGGCTGAAGCCCAGCTGCAGCGCACTGTATGTAGCGATGATAGAATGTGTGGTTGTAGTGCTCCCGTTCAAATACAGTGTTTAAATGGCTTTTAAAGCAAAACCTTCAACACGTTTAGAAGTACTATAAGCAGACAATTACAGTGTGTTATTTATCATTTAACAGCTTCTTGTTGTTGCCAAGAAACCTGAAATATCTAAAACAGCTGAAACAAAATAACAAATTATTAACATCACAAACCATTTCAATATTAACAGCACAGTAACTCACCTATGTTCTTGTAGTAGATGGGCACGAAGACATTGACGGCACGCTCCACCCCCAGCAGGCTGAGGCAGAGCAGCACCAGCAGCTGCAGGAGGACGCTGCCGCTGGGCCACATGTACGGCATCAGCAAACGCACCTTCTTCCTGAAGTCCCGCCATGCTGACTGATTCTGCGCAGCGCCACCCAGCAGAGGCTGGAGAAAAGACACAAGGTTGAACGGGTCAGTGTATTTAACTGAGACCTGTAGTGTATTCATGACGGGGGAGGGGATGTATAAGGTAGGTGTTTCTAATAAAGTGGCCAGTTAGTGGAAGCACAAGGTTGGTGTTTCTAATAAAGTGGCCAGTTAGTGAAAGCACAAGGGTGGTGTTTCTAATAAAGTGGCCAGTGAGAAAGTCAGTACTACTACTGTGTATCCACACACCTGTCCTCCATTTTCCACATCACGCTCGTCCTCGTTGATGAGGAGCATGTACGGTCGCCGTGGCAACCCAGGAGCCTTGAGGCCTAAGAAGAACAGCGTCCCAGTGCTGAGATAACGGACCAGCCAGAGCGCGAACTCCACCTACAGACAGAAGGTCATGTGGATCTTACCGTGGGCAGAATGATGGACAGTCTGGTGACAGATCACATTTGCACAGTTTCCCCTTTTCCTAAACGTTGTCCATCAGCCAAGACACGCTTGGTGTCTAAAGCTTGCTTCTTTAGTTTCATAGAGGAGCTATGAGGCTAATGTAGCTAACAAATAATGGACGTACATGCCCAACAATTAGCACTCTGCAAAACGAATGTCTAAATCATTATACTTACCAGAAAATAGCCATTTGCCTTGTTGACTACTAGTGGAAAACTGTATTATTTACTATGTCCTCATGGCATTTGGCGTAATAACGCATGACAGCAATCCCCAAACTTAGTCTACGACCTCCATTGAGGATCGTAAGTTCCACTGCACGTGCACTGGTCCTCCCATTCGTTCCCCTGAATGAATGAATTATTACTGACTGGCATGTACTTCACTCTAATAATGTTTAATACCATTTACTATTTTAAACAAGTACTACTTTCTTTTTTTAGAAAAGGCCAAAGCAGAGTTAATCAGCTGACCCCCCCCCAGCTTAAGTACCACTGATCTAAGGGTTCTGTACAGTGAAGTGGAGGTTACCAAGAGACGTTTGAGGGTCATATTGTGCAAGAAAGCATAAAATATTAAAAATATGTTGATTTCAAAACAGGTTTCATGCCTTAATAAGGTTGCATGTATATTAAATAAGTGATTACGAAACATTTTGGGCAAAAAAAGTGAAAGAATGGCATTTTTTTGACTAAATACATTCATTCTAATTTAATTTCAGCACCTAAATTTTGAATAAGAAAGTTGTTTTCCCTCCTTCCACATTAAATACAATCAGTATCAGCAAAAATGTGTGTTCTGTAGGACAGTAAACAGTTTATATTCAGTCAAAACCAAATACAAACCAAATACACTCTTATGGTGCATTGCAAGTGCGTACAAAGTGGCTAAAATGAAAGTGAAAGTGTAAGAAGAAATGATAAATACAACTCTAATGACCTGGAACCTCCAATTTTGGCTTGCACTTTCCATGGATTATGGGTACTGAACATTTATGCTATATCCTTTGAGTTTAAGGATGGTTCATGGTTCATTAATAAGTTCATTCTAGCAGCCACAACCCCAGCTTTCATAGGCCTTGACAAACAGAACAGCTGCCAAACTACAGAAACACACTTCACCTTCCAAACAGGGAGTTAATCACAGTGGTTTGCCGCAAAACCAACATGTTTTGGAAGCAAATTCAATCTCGCTCACTGAGGCTGCGGAACTAAAACCAGCTGCAAAACTGCTGTGTCATTGGGAGGAGCTTCAGAGGAGCGTCAGAGGAGGTGAAGCCCAACTGGTCGGAGCTGAACCAGTTTGGGCGTGGCCAGACAGAGCGGGGGAGGAAAAGGAACGCAGCCAGTATCAACCATGAATCAGCAATTTTCACAGGAGCGTCATATAGTAACAGGAGTCTTCAGAGTCCATATTACAGAAACTTCTTAAGTCTTAAATTTTATCTTATCCGCTTAGTCACCATGGCAACTTTAGTTAGGACTGAATTTAGGACAGAAGCTGATACAGAAAAACGGTTCTTAAATTCATAATCTTACCATTAACTCCAGATAAGAAAAGTGTTACAGAAACATCCTAACTAGACTAAACCTCCTAAATACTGTCCTAACTTTAAGATAAACCCCAGAGGTGTCCTAACTTCTGTTTTAACCATCTGTTTCTATTGTTTTATGCAGTGCCAGGCAGCACAGTTCACTATAACCAGCATAATGACGCTACATTTATTTACATTGAAAACGGTGCTTTGACTTATGAGGTTTTTTCTAACAGCATTTTAAAACCCTAGTCAATGCAGACTCGATCTCCACCGTCCCCTCTTATTACCTTCATGTGTTAGTGTTGATGATACAATATTACAGTGATGGTGCTGAATAATGAGAAGACAGAGCTGAACAAGTGTCTGTTTATTAGGAGGAATAACGTTAGTGTGCTCGGCTAAAGCGTTTGGGAAACTGAAACTGAAACCGCAAAATGGCAATGCTCTGATAAAACAGCACGAAGCGCTGACACAGTATTATTAACTTTAGGTTTATCATGCTTTAGTTTTGTTTGACCTTTCTAAATCAGTAACGGTAGCTAACATTAGCTGTCTGGTTAACTAGCTTGATTACTTTGATTACGTGTTTATGTTTCAGCTGTGAGCGTATAGTTGGTGGCTAGGTAACAGTCGTGACAGTTGATTGTTGACTTTGATTGAATAAGTTAAGATTTCCTAAGTTAAATTTCCTAATATGAGATAAGAAAAGATGCTGTAAGATAAGATTCCTAAATTAAGATCAGATTTGCTTCTGTAACACAAATTTGTGAAAAATTATATCTTGACCTGTCAGATCTTAAGTTAAGACAAGAAGATAGGAAGTTAAACTTAAACACTTCATCAGCTTAGTCGGGTGTTACATTAGGAGTTTGCGACGAATTATAAACGTGTTTTTTCTTGTTACAGGATATTTCAATGCTTGAAAATATTTAAAATATTTGACAGTTGCAGCCGTACTCAACATTTCTTAAACTGCCCTGCACTAAAGCCAGTTAAACAGGCCTAATTAGGGTCTCCTTTTAACGAAACATGCAATTGGTCAGTGTGTTAGAAGTACTGAGCGTATCCACAACATGCTCAGAAAAGCGTATTGAGACATAGCGCTGCTGTCGAGACAAATCCCCAATATCCGTTTTTGGCATTTTTCATTTTCTGACATGATATGAAAAAGGCAGCTGCCCTTTATGTTGTGTCAAAATTTCATGATGAAGTGGACCAACAGATATGGTCCAAAACTACTTGGAAAAAAGTATTTCTCCATTTACTTCCATTAAAAGTTGAGAATGTTTTTCTTTGTCCTGTAAAGTTACTTTCTTAGAGATCTGAGGTTTTGTTCCGACAGCAGCGACATACAGGGTGATTCAGAAAGATTCATCTGATTTCAAAGCGCCATATTTTTACAACCGTGAGGCGCCTAGGAACCAATCACAATCCAACTGAAAGAGGGGGTCTTAGAGTTTCTGACTGGCTCCCTTCAGTCTGCGAGGAGATGAGACCCCTGAGCAGAAAGCGTTTTGCGTTCTCCACTTCAATCAGAGTGAATCCGTCATAACTGTGCGATGTGATTTTCATCGGCAGTGAACCTCTAACAGCTCAGCGCGCTCGTCGTTGGTTCCACAACACTGGATGATCTCCGAAATTGCATTGAAGGAGCCGCGAGTGCAGCGACACCGGACATGTTCAATCGAGTAGGGGATGAATTTGACTATGGCGTTGATGTTGTCTGTACAGCTGGAGGAGGTTCATATTCAGCACTTGTACAATTACATAAACTTTATGCTCAATTAAACCATTTACAGTTTACTGCATTGTTCTGTAATGATTTACAAGTGAAACATATAATTTTGAAATCGGATGAATCTTTTTGAATTACCCTGTATTATCATGATAAAGACAAATACTGTTGAGTTGCCTATTTAATATTGTTAAATTGCCAGACTGATAACAGAGTTATCAACAAACAGAGTGAAGACTTTTACTAACATACGCTACAGTACGAGGGCATGACTGCAAATCAGTTAAATGTTGGTTAAACGTCAATAAACATGTAGAAACATGTTGAAACGTACACTCACTGCATGCTCACACTGCTGTACTGAACCTGAGTGACCTTTCAGTGTCAGATCATGCTGATAAAGTCTTTCAGCCAACAAAGTCATTCAGAGTGGTTTGGTGTGAAACGCTCCATTCTAGAGAAACTTAGAGTCAGAATTGTTTACAGTGCTGCTGATAGGAACCAGACGTCCACCTCTAAAAGCTCCCTCACAGAGAGTTATTATGTAAAATGGCTAGGAATTCACTTCCTGATGACTGAGACACTATTTTGAGATAAGCTTCTGACTTAAAACGTTCTTTATAGGATAATCAGGGCGGAGGGATACATGCAGGGTGTTGTAAGTCCCCAAAGAACACTTTTTTTCGGATTTATGACTGTTTTACCATCATCAACACTCCATATAAACACTCAGAAGACACAAGTAGGTTCACTGGTGGTTCTGGATAGTAAATAAAACGGCTATATTTGTGTTGTAGTCATGGCGAGCCCTGGTTCCTATCACCACCACTGTAAAGGCATCTGAACCATTTCCCACCGACCCACTCCGAATGACTTTGTTTACATCTCACACACTGAATTATGTAAACATTCTAGAAAAAAATGAGTGGAATTCCCCTTTATTAACTGTGCTGAGTCATGTGTTGACTTCTCCACTGAGCTCAGATCAGCTCTGAAACGCTGTGTCATGGTGTGTGTGCGTTTGTCCAGTGAACACTCGACTCTGACAACAATGCTGAATGAAAGCGCTGGTGCCAAAGGTCATTTACTTCTCACATTACTGGCCTGTCTGAGAGGCACTGCATGCCTAAAGGCCAAAATTAGCAGCTTCTTTTATAGCGCCGTATTTAGGACAGTTGAACTGCCGGTGAAGATGCTTTACTGCACTTGACCCAATACACATCAGCTAAAGGTGACACTGCACTAACACTTCTGCATTTTACTGCATTTGAAACTCTGTAGAAATCAATACTACATTTCTCTGGGATGATAATGTGGGTGGATTCAATGTTTACATCGCATAAATGGGCAGTTTAACAATATTTATCTTCATCATAATAAAACGTGTCGTGATAAGCTTTCCTGAGCATGTTGTGGACGTGGTTAGTACTTCTACCATCTGACCAACTGTATGTTTCATTAGGAAGAGAGCTTAATTAGGCCTGTTTAATTGGCAGTTTATGAAATGTTGAATGGGGCTGCAACTGGCAAATATTTTCATTTTCAAACACTGAAATATTCTATAACAATAAGAGAAGACATGTTATTTTTAATAACTAAACCTTAAAATTATTGTTGGCTTTATTATTGTTACTATTATTTGCACTATTACATTGATTGTATTTCTCCATTTTGCTTTTTAATATTAATTTAATTGAAATACTATCACTGTTAGATAATTATTCCATAGAAACATGCATTAAAATGCTGATCCTACCCAATCTGGCAACCCTAATCTGGCTCTTAACAATGAAATCTTATTGGAGTGCAGTCTGAATAATTATCCTTCATCTCTGGGCAGCTAACTAGCCCAGCATTCCCGTATCAGTGCATCCTTTGCTTTAACACCAAATCAAGCTGCAATACGTAAGATTTTTTGTTGAAATTTAAATTAGCAACATTAGTGAGTCAGGAGACAAAAATGGCTCAAATATGATGAGTGTGCGCTGCTGTGAGTCGCCCTCTAAAGTCTGAAATAGCAGTTTAAAAGTCAGTGGGGTCATCTTTATGTACTACCGTCACACTCACAGGCTCAAAAAGAAGCTACGACTTGATGTTTAGGCCTCAAAATAAACATTATACTGATGAAGATATGAAAACAATAGGAGATAATACATTCATATCCTTGGAGGACGCGTCTTTCAGTCATCAGAGTCATCAGTCATCAAGTCTTTCAGTCATCAGATTCATCCCCACGGGGAAGGGGTCAAGCACAACCCACGTGCAATTACACATTTCCACCATAGGGGTCTCCAAATCCACAAATGCGTGGTATATGGTTGTGTATGGAACCGTTTTGAAAACGGCTCCATATAGCACCAAAAAAGGGCTACAAACTTGACTCTACACTCTTAAAAAAGATGGTTCTTCAAGGGTTTTTCAGTAAACAAAATGGTTCTGTATGGATCCATGAACACTCAAAGAACCCTTTGCATTGTTACATGGTTCTTCGGAGTGATGGAAAATGTGCTGTTACAAAATGTTCTTCCGCACGCCACGTGCAGTTACACATTTCCGGCAGAGAGGTCTCCAAATCCCCAAATCTTACGTAGTGCAGCATTAACTTACATGCATACAGTTAACATCATGTTATTTTTAGGTTTGGCAATGACATGGATACACAACAATTCTGAATATTAAACCTAGCATCAAGGATCGAATCGAACTGTGAGCTTAGTGTATCGTTACACCCTTATAATTAACCGAATGACTATGAAGAACGTAAAAAAATTCAGATTGCCAAGAAAAACCCATTCGCTTAAGGGAAAAAACCATCCTGAGTAGAGAGCATAAGAGCCAAAAGCCTCTGTTTAATGCTTGGTAATTTCACTTATGGGTGGGTGACCTGATGTGCATACATAAACTATGCAGGGCCAGAGATTCCTAACAAGCACTATGGAAATATGAACGCCAGCCAGCATATCCACTATGAGATCAATAAGGCTGGAGAACAGGAAACCTTAAAATGACTAAGTAATAAAGTCAGCCTTAATATAAACACCCAATTTCAAATGTATGCAACAGGTGAACGATCCCGAACCCAACTTTCTACTGCTTAGCAACCCCTGCTATCTCAGTGGCCTCTCAGAACCCCACACGGTAAGTCACGAACACCCACCTGCTGCTCAGTGCTCTCCAGCCCCCACCACCACTGAGGGCTCATCCAGGACACGAAGGCCAGGTTCTCGGCCGCGAACGCCAGCGCCCAGAACAGCAGCAGCACCACGCTGTGCCCTCTCGTCCGCTCCCTCACCAGGACCCTCCGGTGCTCCAGCCTGAGCGAGGCGCAGGCCCAGATCCACCCGAGAGCCGTCAGGCAGCCGTAAAGCACCACGTATCCGTAGATCCCGGCCAGCGCCGCCCTGACCACAGTCCAGATCACAGCCTGGAGGACCAGCAGTGCCGAGAGGACCATCTGCAGGCCGTAGAGGCGCGAGCGCGGCACATACTTGGGCTCCATCTGCGCGCCGTAGCGGCCGTAGCACACGCCGTGGAAGGCACCGAGGACGAGGGCCAGGCTGAGGAGGACGGACGGGACCAGCGTGAAGAAGAAGCAGGGGGTCAGGCCACCCTCCACCCACACCCGCTGCATGGAGACCCCCGCCTCGCAGTAGCTCTGTAGCGCCACCATGGCGGCCGGGTGACGCGGTCTTCACTCTAGATGGCTGAGGGGATGAGAAGGAGTGTTAGTGTTGGTGCATCAGAGGAGCCAAGCGTATCTATCAAACCTGTAAAGCTGAACACAACAGCTTTTTATGGACTTACCAGGTTTCATTTCAAACTTTCTTCTCCTCACAAAGCCATTTTAAAGCTTCTTATAATTTGTGTAATCGGTGTATAATAAAACATGATTAAATATTGGTTTACTGGTTAATCACTCCAATGCTGATTTTTTAAAGCAAATATCGACCCCTACTGATATGATTCCATTATCTTTGTACATCTGTAGTACAAAACAATTAACTTTATAACTAAAGCATAACGTAAACTTCAGAGAATTGCCAGTAATGATGAGTGACGTAGCCGATAACTCGGTGTTGAAAGAGAATATCCTCCATTACTGGCACAATTAATAGCACTCCCTGCTGAATTCTCCCAGTTTTTCTTCTATCTGTAGCTTTAAAGGTGAAACAGGTGTTGCACAAAACTACAACACCCATGGTGCACTGCAAGAGCAGCGTGCTAGCTGGCAAACAGCAACAGAGTAAACTGAGGTGATGAAGATTAAACTCACAAAAGAAAAACAAATATTATAACTCATTCAGACACGAGAGTCATAAACTGGGCGAAGTGTCCAGAAGCTTATCTCCGGTTCGATGGCCAGTGCTGTTCCCTCTGACCATGTGAACAGATGTTAGCTGTACAGTAAAGCCTGCAAGACATTTCCTATTTTCATTCCTCAATAATGCTAAAATATTACTTTCACTATTCATTTCCACTCAGGAGTTTTGGATCCGCACGTTTAAATGGGAAAGTGTTTTTAAAGGGGAATTCCACCAATTTTTCCAAATTTCTGCATATAATTCAGTAAACAGTCATTCAGAGTGGTTTAATGTGAATTTGTTCACTCTAGAGAAACAACCTCTGGTTTCTTTACAGTGGTGGTGATAGGAACCAGGGGTCGCCATGACTACAACACAAATATAGACATTTTATTTACTATCCAGAACCACCAGTGAACCTACACGAGTCTTCTGAGTTTATATGGAATGTTGATTATGGTAAATCTGAAATAATATGTTTTCTTTGGGGGCTATTTTGCCTCACAACGCCCTGCATGTATCCCTCCACCATGAACAAATGAATAAAAGAAGCTTACTTTAAAACTATCATTGAACAGTGTCTCAGTCATCAGGCAGTGAATTCATAACCATTTCATATAGTAACTTTCTGTGAGGCAGCTTTTAGAGGTGGACGTCTGGTTCCTATCACCACCACTGTGAACAGTTCTCACTCGGCAAGTTTATCTAGAACGGAGCGCTTCACACCAAACCACTGTGAATGACTCTGATCACAGCTTAAATGTTAAATTATGCAGAAATTCTGTACAATTGGTGGAGTTCCCCTTTAAGCATAATATTGTGCAGTATGAATTTCGATTAATCTTGTTGTTTTTATTGGGACATTTCTCTGTCTCTCTCTCTCTCTCTCTCTGGATGAACCAAGGCCTTGTCCTCCTCTGAAGGCTCTGACAGGACCATATGGCTCTAAGGGTTCTACTTTAGGGACTCCGACTAAGAGAAAACAATGGACACTTTCCATAGATAAGCAGTTAAATCTACTGACCATCAGTCGTTTTTACACATTACTCAACATTGATGAACAATTTAAGCATGAAATCGTTCTAAATAGAACTGTTCCCCCTTTTTTTAAGTGTGTACTGTAAACAATGTTGCACCAAAATATCCAAAATATTGAGCCTCAGCGCTCAACTGCTCATCTATGGAAAGTGTCCATTGTTTTCTGTGGTAAATCCACTTTTCTCTTAGTCGGAGTCCCTAAAGTGGAACCCTTAGAGCCATATGGTCCTGTCAGAGCCTTCAGAGGAGGACAAGGCCTTGGTTCAATGGTTCTATACAGCACCGAAAAGGGTTACAAACTTGAGTCTACACTCTTAAAAATGACGGTTCTTTAAGTGTCCTTTAGTAGAGAAAATGGTTTTATATGGAACCACGAACACTCAAAAGAACACTCTGCATGATTAATGGGTTCTTTGCATTGGTAAATGGTTCTTCGGATCGATGGAGAATGGGCTGTGGATGGTCATGGATGGAACCTTTTTGAAAATGGTTATATGTAGCACCAAAAAAGGTTCTGCTATTTTTACCATGTCACGCCTGTAACAACAGAAGAACCTTTTTTGGTGCTATGGAGAACCCTTTTCAAGAAGGTTCTATATAGAACCATATACAACACATTCTCCATCCATCTGAAGAACCACTTCACGATGCAGAGAAAGCAGAAGGGTTCTTCTGTTGTTACAGGCTTGACATCATAACAACAGCAGAACCCTTCTTGGTGCTATATAGAACCCTTTTCAAAAAGATTCTGTATAGAACCACATAAAACGCACTCTCCATCAATCTGAGAAACCATTTCATGATGTAGAGCAACCATCCATTAATCATGCCAAGGGTTCTTCGATTGTTCATGGCTCCACATAAGTCCATTTGCTTTACTAAAGAACCCTTGAAGAACCATCTTTCAAGCGTGTATAATAGCAGAACCCTTTTGGTGTTATATAAAACCATCATCAAGACAAGAAACACGTTCTCCATCAGTCTGAAGAGCCACCTCACCATGCAAACGACCCTTTAGCACGAAATGGTTCTCATGGTCACTAAAGAACCCTTGAAGAACCTTGTTTTTGAAGCGTGTAGGTGTCATGCTACCTCGCTAGCATGGCTATCTCACCCAGACAGCTCTAAAACTCAGTAAGTGTGGATATTCAGCAGTACTCCAGGAGGAACGTGTGTGTTTAGGACGCTGTGTGATCAGAGATGTGTTCTAGATAACTGACTGACCGAGCGAGCGAGGCCGCCTCCGTCTAACCGGCACAGTGACATTCACAACAACTCCGACCAGCAGGCTCGAACTCACCGTAACAGAGGCTAACACACTCACCTTCTATCACACCGGGCACTCGGGCGACTCTTACGGTCCTCCGCGCTGTCCTGACCGGCTGTCCGCTCCAGCTGTGCGGGGGACACGCTGTAAACACCGCGGCTCTGTCCTTGTAGCGCTCACTCACTACCACAGCAGCTCCATCCGTCACTCGGCGATCGACACTCTCCTGCGCAGGCGGTGTTTTATTCCCCACCGCTTTTCAGACTGATCCCCACCCGTATTCCGGCCTGTAGGCTCTCTGTGGAGGCTCGTGGAGGCTCGAGTGGGAGGAGCTAAGCTTGCAGCGCTCTGTGGAGTTTTAAAGCAGCCCCGGGGTTGCCAGGTTTGGTTTTCCCGCCAAATCGAGCCAGTTTTAAAGGAAAATAATATGAAAAGGTGCGGTTTTTTGACCTACCTGTAAATGTACTGCCACCAAAAAGATGATTATCTGACAATATGGATGAAAAATGACAAACATATTCCTTTTCGTGAGTGTAATGATTTTAGGATGTGTGTAAGTGCACGGTTGCCAGATTGTCAGATAACGCACTCAACAGTCGAGAATGTCTAAAACCGACACTTCAGGCAGAACAATACAGCGTTTAAATCAACATGATACAAATGTAAACTGCTCTGTTAAGGGTTAATAAGTATTTGTTGTGGTGTCTCTGTCGATCTTTTGTCTTTATTTTCACTTGGATGAAGAACCAAAAGCTGGTATGACGAACCAAAAACGTCACTTTTGATTCTGAGAAACGCCTGGGCAAGAATACACTTTTCTTCATCAACGTTTTTAAATATTTTTGTACAGAGTTTTTACTTATTAAAAATCCACCCAAAAATGACCAATCCAACGAAAACCTGCTCAATTTGGCAGCAAACCACCCAATCTGGCAACACACATCCTTACGCAAGCAGCATTTTTTGCCCACAAGAATGTCAACAAATCCCACCCGCGCTCCGACAACCGCCCTAAACATGAAACTCTGTGTTTTTCTTAGTTTTCTTTAGATTTCGTAGATGTTCCTCTGTTTAAGCAGGTAAGTCTGTTTAATACAGAGCTTCTGTAACCTCGTTGCCATGGTAACGCCTGATACCGGTTAGCTCACGTGACTGACTGGAATTCCGCCTCCTGTACTGGAATTATTATTATTATTATTATTATTATTATTATTATTATTATGTTCTAAATCTCTCAGGTTTGCTATTCCACATCATTCAAAAATCTCTGACCACCTTTATATATATATATATATATATATATATATATATATATATATATATGTATATATGTATATATATATATATATATAATATATATATATATATATATATATATAAAATCATAGGCACTGACTTTTTCCCACTGGCCACTGTTGATTGGCCAGGCGAACTACTCGTGAGTGTGAATTGGCCAATCACGGCGCAGGAGGCGGGTCCTGTGCGGCGTGCTCACTCCTAAAGAAGAAGCCGGTCAGCAGCTCGAAAGAAAATCAGAATTTACTTTAAACCTAAAACGATTACATCTTTTTATGAATAACTAACTAACTTATTGCCCTTTATAGACAAAATAAAACAACCGAGACGTTCGTTTCAACTGTTACAACAACAATAACGTGTAAAAATGGAGTTTGAACACATAATTCCCCTGTCACCTGTAATAATTCAGCTTGAACATGTAATATTTTTACTGTGATATTTATTTAGCAATAAATAAACATGTAAAACTGGAATTGTTACTTTTGACATTATTTTATATAGTTATATTTTATATCATTATTTCTTCTATTAAAATGAATCAGGAACAGCTTTCAGTTTTTTCAGTGCTACCTGAATTCGTACATGCTACAAAATAAAAGTCCTACTAGGAAAGATCAGAGTTCGATTTCTTACGTTGAAAATTTCATTTTAATTAATAACAGTTTAGATTTAATTTTTGATATAAAATGGTGGAGTGACGTCTATTTATAAAGTATTTATAAAGCACATATAAAATCAAGTGTTAGACAAAGTGCTGGACAAAAATTTACAAACTCAATGACGTAACAGAGGCTAAACTGCCCCAAAACAGAGGCTAAACAGTGTTACAGCAGATATTTTTATGTTGTGATCATTTCTTTTCCCACTTCTGAACAAAAAAGACACTCCTTTCTGCTCTATGACAAAAGTGTCTGTCCCACATTGCAAAACAGTTATTGAATCAAAGTTAAATAAATGTTAAATGGTCAACAATAATGTCACTGAATCGTCTTTCTAATTTGACGTTTATTCTTAATCACTTCTACATTTTGAATTATTACTGAAACAACATGGAAAGTTTAATAAAACCCAACATAGCACCAACACTAACGCTCCTCAGTTATTATTCAACCTTTTGAAACTCCTGTAAAGCACAGTCAGTTAGCCATCCTGCTTAATCTACAGTAAAGACCATTTCTTAAAGAGCCAACAGGCCTAAAACTACAACATTTACTGCTGTATAAAGTTTCTTTATTCAGATTTACACCAATCAGACATAACATTATGACCACCTCCTTGTTTCTATGCTCATTGTCCATTTTATCAGCTCCACTTACTATATAGGTGCACTTTGTAGTTCTACAGTTACAGACTGTAGTCCATCTGTTTCTCTGAACACTTTGTTAGCCCCCTTTTACCCTGTTCTTCAGTGGTCAGGACCCCCATGGACCCTCACAGAGCAGGAACTATTTGGGTGGTGGATCATTCTCAGCACTGCAGTAACACTGACGTGGTGGTGGTGTGTTAGTGTGTGTTGTGCTGGTATGAGTGGATCAGACACAGCAGTGCTGCTGGAGTTTTTAAACACTGTGTCCACTCACTGTCCACTCTATTAGACACTCCTACCTTGTCAGTCCACCTTGTAGATGTAAAGTCAGAGACGATAGCTCATCTGCTGCTGCACAGTTTGTGTTGGTCATCCTCTAGTCCTTCATCAGCGGTCACAGAACGATGCCCACAGGACACTGTTGGCTGGATTTTTGGTTAGTGGACTATTCTCAGTCCAGCAGTGACACTGAGGTGTTTAAAAACTCCAGCAGCACTGCTGTGTCTGATCCACTCAGACCAGCACAACACAAACACACCACCACCACATCAGTGTTACTGTAGTGCTGAGAATGATCCACCACCCAAATAGTACCTGCTCTGTGAGGGTCCATGGGGGTCCTGACCACTGAAGAACAGGGTAAAAGGGGGCTAACAAAGTGTACAGAGAAACAGATGGACTACAGTCTGTAACTGTAGAACTACAAAGTGCCTATATAGTAAGTGGAGCTGATAAAATGGACAATGAGTGTAGAAACAAGGAGGTGGTCATAATGTTATGCCTGATTGGTGTATTAGATAACAAGATACCATTGAATGGCAGCTATGTAGAACTTTTTGGCTAGTTAGCATAGCTAATATGAACAGCTGTGAGCAGAGATTTTACCTCTATAACGTAACGGCAAATCAAGAAATGCTTCAAAAGGATTAACATTCAGTTTTAAGCCAGTGTTATGTGTCCCTCAAACATCAAACTTTCAAAAAATGTTAGAAATATACGTCTGTTGGCATGTCCGTCACACGATCTCGCTCTCTGCTATAAATCAATGTACATTCAATGTCACTCTGGCCTACGATAGCAGCTAATTATTTTCATTGATAGTTCACGTTGATCCAACACAGTGTTGACAGGGAAATTTCAACCTCGACCAAACTGATAATTCTGATGCAAAATCACAAATAGATGACTGTCACCGTGCTAACTGGTTATGTTAGCATACAATGCTAATATAGCTGAGTACTGACTCTACAAACCTACTAGATAAACTAGCATATCACTGTTGTTGGAACAAAACCTTGTATCTCCAAAATGGTAACTTTACAGGAGAAGGAAAAAACATACTTTACTTTTAATGTAAGTCAATGGAACCAGACAGGCTTTTTCAAATGATGTAAAAAACTGAAAAACAACAAAAGTGGAGATACGAGGTTTTCTTCCAACAACAGTGATATGTTGTGTATTGAGTGCTGGTATGCTGACCATGCTGGATGACCAGCTAAACCAGTACAAACCGGCTTGGACCAGCTGTGCTGTTTTTTTTTTCAGCAGAGCATACAGCTTTGAGTCCATCAACAAGTGTAGGCTTGAAATCACATTTGAATGTTTAATATGAAGGTTTCTGTTAGCTTTGTAGCTCAGTATTTAACAGAGAAGCTGTTTCAAATACAGAATCAATCAAAAAGTGGTGTGCAACGTCTTTTTAAGGCCCTGTAGACAGACGGGCAGGAACAGGGACAGCAGAGGGCAGTATTACTCCATCTGTCACTGTGACGGTGTGGCTTTCTGGGAGTTTTTGTACATTCGAGGGATTAAAATAGTTCAACAGTGGTGAAAAATACGTCAGATGTAAATGACCATGTAGCTAATGACTTGTATCTAAGCTAAGTGTTCATTTATGAACCATTTTAATGTAACTGTGGACTGTAGCCTAATGCTAATGTAAAATACAGCAGGGACCTTTTAAAACCATTGATTTGAGTGTAATTAATCATTTCTCCTGAAGGTTGTTTCTTAAACAGAGCTGTAGTTTAAAACATACATATCCATTTTTGAAGTTAAATCAGTGAAAAAATGATTAGCTACAAGTAATTAGCAAAACTAGCAAACAACATCCTGAGGTAAAAAAGTATCAGGCAAAAGCTTAGCATATGTTAGCATAGGAGCTAAGGTTTGTCAGGAGCTATTCTTCTATTTTCGTGTGGTTTTTGGTTTGATACAAAATGTTAAAGCTCAACAGTGAGAGCTACAAGCAACAGCAAAGCAGCTTAGGTGCTAATAACAGAACAGAATGAAATTAAACCTGAAAATAGAGCCAAATGCTAACTGTGAGGCTAAATGTGACAGAGTAGAGTCCTTTCTTTACAAATGTTCTAAAAGTAAAAGTGTTATTTGAAGACACTGAGCTCTCAGAAAAGCACAAATCTTTTTAAGTGGTTGAATGGAAACATTTTGAGGAACAGATGGTGATTTTTTTTTAAACTGAAAGAACAAAAAAACATTTTATTTGATGTTTCTGACATTAATGCTATAGGCTTATTATTACATATTATAACAAGTAAGGTATTTACGCATATAACACCTATAGATCACCTTAATATTACATATACATACCTTTTT